AGAGGAAAGAAAGACAATTAAGGCAATATAACAATCACTCCCCTGCCGCAATTGCTGCCCCCGCAAGAATTAAACATCTCTGCCTTGCCTGTCCGACCCCTTACTTCTAATTTCACCTTCGTGCATTTTACATGCACTTCTCGTATCTCTCTTCGCGAGAATTATAAGTATATATTAGTTTCGCGAGAAGCTTTTTATCTTAGTTATTATAACGTTTTAAATAAATGATTATATATATATAGTTTTCTAGAAGTTATAAGTAAGGCTTAATACCTTCCCTCTTAAGCTTATAACTATTATATTAAATACTACTTAGCTAAAATAAGAGTAACTTCCTTAGCGTCCTATAGGCTAACTACTATATTTAGTGCCTTTAGATACGGACGAGGCTATCTACGTCGCTTCCGGAGCTAAGGGGGCGCGCTTATAGGTGCGTGTGGGCGTGAGCCTAACCTTTATTCCTATACATTGGTCTATGGCCCACCTTGGGCCGTGGCATTTAACGCAAGGGGGATAAATCGCGCGCATAGGGCGATTAAAGGGGGTCTTTAGGCTCGACCGAAGCATTTTGCGATTCAGGCGGTAGGTATAAAAGAGCGTCCCCGCTACAGTAGGTCACTTATTACGTCCGTCTTCTCCCCATTCAGCTGTCGGGGATCAAGCCCTCTGTCTGTCTGGCAATAAGTCTCTCCGCCGCGTAAGCAACCGTTACTTCTAGGCCTCGAGCCTCGGGCCGGTCGTCCGGTTTTTTAGCCTCGGTTTCGTCTGCTAGGTCTCCTACTATAGCATCTTGCTGGTCGATGTCGGTGTCGGCGCCATCGTTGCTTGTAGAGTCGCCGGATGCGGAGTCATCCGCTTGCTATGCGTATCGACGCAACTGCAGTTCGGGAAGACCGTCGCCGGTGGCGAGCCAAAGGAGCGCTTCTTTGGCCCTAAGAGCGTTCGTAGGAATCATCGGCTCCTATTCCTAGGACGTCAGCCGCGCCTCGTCTACGGGGTTAGGTGCTGTCGCCTCCTTTATCCCGCGCTGAGCGTGGTGCTAGACGCCCTTGTTAGCGGCCGTGTGTTATGCGCAGCGAATTCCTTAACAGTTGGTGCCAAGAAAGTAAGAATCCACGGCCAGCAGCCCTGTTAGGCGGGGCGAGCTCGCGAGTTCCAAATACATGAGGCGGAGCACTGGAACCCAGTCTTTCTTTGCTACTTCTTACGTGGCATAGCAAGCCTTATAGTAGTAGTCTATATAACCATGGCCAGAGGGCGTCGTAAGCTAAGGCATAAACTGACTCGCACCAGATCGTTTTTAGACGTATTAGTAACCTTACTGCTTGATTGGCATATACTTCGTTCTAAATAATGCGAGACGAAGCCTAGATACCCACCCAGTCTCTCTTAATGCAAGGCCGCCATAACTAGTACTTCTTTCCCGGGCAAGGCAGTACATAGCATAGCAGCCATATAGAAGTAGTCTGCATAAATATAGCCAGAGGGCGTCGTAAGCTAAGACTCGCACTGGATCGTATGTAGACGCATTAGTAACCTTCTGCTTGATTGGTGTGTACTTGATAGTATTCGCGCGGCATTTCTTTAGGGAGACCACCTGGTCGCACCCCGGCTATGCTGAAATAGACATGGGTCGGACATACGATAAAATCGATATAGATGGAGTAAATCCTGCCCACCGAGAACCCGGTACAACGCAAAGTACTAGTTATTAGTGGGAGCATTCGTATGGGAAGCGTTTCCAGAGAGTATCTAGTAAACTCTTAGTAGCTTTTTCTTCCTGTGAGATCATTTTAATAAATTCTCTCTGCTCCTTTTTACCTACCTACTATGGGTGGGTAGGTACAGAGTCAAGGTAGTATAGTTGTCGGGAAGCAGACATAGTCGCTAATCACAGTGCACTTATTGGAGTGTATATTCCACTTTTGCCCAATATGGCGTATTGGTTTTCGTAACAATAGTAGTTTTGGGAACTTAGTTCCAATACATTCGTGGCGCAGATGCAGGCCTGACTCAAGCCTTTGCTTTGACTGCAGACTTCATGTTAATTTTATGCGCCCTATAAGGCTACGGAGTGCATTTACGAATGCTACCTGCATGCTGTATGTGTAACTATCAAGATATTAAATCATGCACTCCCGAGTGGGATGTTGAAGCCGTGAACTATTTAAAGGCTTCATACCAGCTACATTCAGACAAAACATCTACAACATCCTCATCCATTACTAAAATCTCAAGAAATCTTTATCATTCCTTTTCATCGAATACACTCTCTGATCGGCATTTATCAGCTCATCAGGCAATATGAAGCACTTTAACCTCGTTCTCGCTACGGCAACCGGTATCATCGGCGCTATGTCCGGCCTCGCTTCGGCCCAACCAGTCGATAGCCCACAGAATGGCAATGCAAACACTCCCGTCATGATGACTGAACCGGCGGTTCGATCTCCTCGCACCCCGGAAAGTTCCGAGCAGGTTAGGAAGTGAGTGTATGCAGCTTCGTAAATACTTTACTCTTCTAACCCAGATTTAGAATCGTTGAAGATGATACTGGCAAAGGTGTAGGGCTTTGCACGTTCCCCATCGGCAAACAAGAGTGTGATGTTCCGTAAGCACTCTGGACACATTCTACGCTCATTATATAAAGCATAAAGCTGACTCTCATATAAGGGCCTTGAGTGCCAAGGCAATCGAGAAGTTGAAGGAAATTGGTGCTGAATATCTACAGCCTTATGATATCTGCCAGCTGTCAATTGGCCAGCAGTTAAACAATTGCAAAGCTGGCAATGCTGAAAAGTCAGTGATGGCCTAGGCCATTAGGGCTAGCTATTCTGCCATCAGGTTGCTCGTCACGGCGTGGAAATCAATTCAATCCCATCAACTTGGCGTCCCCGTTAAGTTGAGTTGACAGCTTACTCATAATTTCGCCCGTTGAGTTGAACCACCGCATCTGCTAGTTGAATTGATGGCATTGAGTTGAAGGGGTTGAAATCTTTAATCACGTGCCGAGCTCTCTATGCTTTAGTCCCCGCCGGCTTCGCCATCCCTCTCCCCGTGCTATATAATGCGATTTCAGCCTCTCTTGACACAATTAATGGGCCGGGCGCGCTTGTACTTGCCGCCGGCCAACTCATACTCTATTCCGTTCAAGGCATTGGCGGGCCCTGGAAGAGGCCGGTGTCCTCTATGTAAGGCAACTGACATGCGCGCCAAACCACTTTGCTACGAACGCTATTGTACGGACGCCGTGTGACTGATCCGTCGTTCAGCCACATTATGTCTTCCACGAAGGGAAACAAGATACCATGTTCTTGGCACGGAAACGTTGTGCTCTATCATTACAGGAGACCGGCCCCCTCCGGAGAGGTAGAATGCTCCGGAAGACCCCTTTCATGTCGCTCGGGCTGGCTGGGCATGCCTCTGACCTCTTGGCTCCGCTCCTCTTAACAGATACTGCCAAGCAACAACAGTCAATTAGGTAAGGGATACTTGTGCAAACAGGGCCCAAGGAGTCACATACACGCACACCCACCCAATGATGACCCATCTCTACGCATGAGGCCAAGGGAAGTTGCAATTTGGTATCAGGACATCAAGGACATCAGGGAAAGGCTATATTAGCAGCTATATCGGGGTCTGGAGTAACTGTACGTATATATACCCCCTTGGGTCTCACGTGGCTAGAAAGGGGCATGCACATTTGCACATCAATTCATTGCCCCTGATCACTTCCACATGCACTCTCAAACACCCGTTTGAGAGATAAATTATCTACCACGCTTTTACGTCTGAAACTGCTGAGATAGCTCCTGCCAACGCATTCTCATCCCACTTTAGTTTCGCTCCATGGTTCCAATCAGGGTTCGCTGCGTTTGCAATAGGAACACATAGCCAGAAGATATGTGCATGATGTGTTCTCTTCTGAGTATTGTTTACAAAGATGTGGTAAATATGCACGTTGAGTTTGGCGGGAAAAAAAGGCCGCATTGCCGAGTAGTCACCCGGACACAACAGAATCCTCCTAATCTAAGCCTGCAGGCCCTCCTCTAACACCAGCACGTCTACAAAAGGCCAGAAGGCAGAAACCTAAAGTCGAATTTAAAGCCTAGTAGAAAACTTCTCTATTTGAATGGTACAAGACATCAGGCCTTAGCCCTTCGACTGGCAGCCAAGATAGAGGCAGACGTCCAAGAGGAAGAAGAGGCACAGCGAGATTTGTATACAGACGAGCTCGCATAGAGATATATGCGATGTGTGTGCTAAAGAGTCTGCTAGGTAGGCGCAAGGAACATGCGCACCTAATTGTGCGGTCTCGGCGCTGCGCATTGACCGGCCACACTGGCCCACTTATTGATTGCTGGTTAGCCAAATATGAATGCTGGTTAACAGAGGCGTACTGTGAGGAAACCACTGGGTTGTGCAGGCAAAAGTGAAGTGACACTCCAACAGATGACCTGGCAGTGGTCCCTATATGCCATGGAGGTGCTGGTGGCAGCTGACACGTACATATACACACGGTAGTCGTGCACTTACAGAGTGCGAGAATATATTGGCACGATAGTTTGGTTGTTGGGTGTTATTACTACCTCTAGACGATATAAACGGATTTACTCATCTTGTGACAAGATTCAAACTCCAACCAAGGTTCATTTGTCATATTCCCAAGAGCGTCATAATTCCTTCCTTCAATCCCCAAGAGCTCCATGGTTATATAAAGCCTTCCAATCCTGTAAAACTGGCCCCTTGCGTTTCCAGTTGCATGCAGCAAGAGAAATACAACCCCCGCGGGTTGATTTTCGGCCGCATCGACCACAACGGCCAGGCCATGGATCTGGTCTACCGGGATCTCGCCGTCAAGTGCAAGGTAGTAACTGTTGCCTTTTCTCCAGGCATCATTGGCAAAAAATGTCCAGTCGTCCTGGCGGTCACTCGCCTTATGCATCTGGATGGTGACCAGCCAACCGGAGAGACGGATGAAGCCGCTTGTAATGTCGACGGTTCTATCCTTGGTACGCGTCTCGACATGGTAATCAACCACAGTGGCAACTTGACGCCATCTTGTGCGTTCTTCTTGGAAGCGACTGAACGCTATATAACCATCCATGCTGGCCCAGGACCACGTCGGTGCTCGATATGAAGGTGGTGGATACCGTTGCTCCAAAGAATGGCCATGCCATAGAAGTTGGTATTCAAGATCCTGTTCCCAGAGTCCCGCACAGTAATCGACGTTGAAGATGCTCTGAATGAGTTTCGCAAGGCCGGATATTGCAACCAGCTTATCGCGGGGGTATGTGAGGCCACATTTTGTGTAGACCTCGACGACCTCCCTCCACGACTCCCAGAGAAGGCCGGTCGGAGCGGCTGGATTTCCACCCCTTGCCAGGTTAGTTGCGTGTCCATATGAGCCGCAAAAGGCCCTCTGCGTAATTTCCCTCGGGATCCAGTGGTGGAACAACATTGGTGGCAAAGCAGCACGGTATGTTTCCGAAGCTACCAATTCCGGGCACTCCCAGAACATCTCGGTTGCACACATGTGCAAAACTCTTGGTGCGAGCAGAATCTCTTGCACAACCCATGCCCTTTTCATCAGCGGCATCTTGTCAAACGCGTTGACTCCGTACTTGTGGTCGTAGAGGGTATAGTGGCCGTCAGGGAAATCTGTTCCTTGCAATGTTATAACAAGCGGCTCCATAGAGAACTGCATCCTGCTTGGCAGACATCCTGCATCGGTATCAGCTCCAGATGTTGCCGCGATATTGAGGACTGCGCCTCTGTAGATGTCGCTCATTCTCGGGGCCTCACGTTTCCAGTCGTCTTTGGAATCTTGCATAATGCATAGCGAGTCGATCCAGATGAACGATGACCCCATTTCACGAGCTACCATGATGGCATCGCGAAATGTTCGCCCCAGCTCGGATATGGAAACACCACCCTCGAGCCTTTCTTTTGTCTCAGACGTCAGGCTTAGTACGTTTGACTGACCCCAGCAGTGGCTCAGTGTCGCGTAGCGTAGGTCATTTTCATGTATTGACGAACTGTCCACCAAGCAGACTTGGTCTTGATGAGGCGTGTCAATTTGTAGCAATCGGGCAGGGTGTTGGCTTGCGAATTTCAGTCGGGGAACCCAACAACTCTCATGATGGTTCATGCAATTTTGGAGCCATGTTCGCGCGCAGCTCATGTCAAACCGGGCACGGGATGAGCTGGAGCGCACCTTGACCGGGCTCTCTAGATCTGTTTTGCATTAGCATGTCTCATGAATATGCGACGTGATGGGCTACCTTTGACAGGCTCAAGGCCAAAGGCATGCCATCCACCACTACCTTGAAAGCCTTTCTCATTGAATGACAGAGTCAATTCCAGCACCTTTGAACAGGCTGTGCCACGTCTCATGCTGTATACAGAGACAGGATTGTTTGTTCCGTCACGCCCGCCCTCTTTAGTTGACTCGCCGAGTCGGCGTCGGCCAAGTATCTCTGCCCACACGACAGCACAGATGAAGCAGCTCTCGGAAGCAGATCTCTCTAGGTCAGCAAGGCTCTGGTGATGCTTAAAGGTGTCTCTTTGGGTGATTGAGGACGAGACGCCGCTGAATATCTTTTTGCAAGCGTGACACACGCTGTTCATGACTGCGGGCAGTGGGCACTCGTGATTTTTCCCTATCATGAAACTAACGTCCCAGAGGTGGTGTGCCCACCCCAGCCAACGCAAAGTGGTGTTCACATGGACAGATGTCGAGATGATGGCGAGCGGGGTCAGCAGCAACATGATGATATCTACGTGTCAGCAGGACTAGTACTTATACCGCGCCAGAATTGCGTCTGTTGTAGTGTTACACTTTTACCTGTTTAAGCGGTTGTTCCTTTTCGACAGTATGCATGTACGTGCATGCAGGCTGCCGGCTACGGAGGAGTCAGCAGCTCTGGCAAGGGCAGACTTGCGGAGGAGCTTGTAACTAAAACCAGTTCATCTTTTTTGGCCCGACTAGGTATACCATGCGAAGGTGCTAATAGACGATCAGCCATCGAGGGTTAGAACTCGAATGCAAGCTTCAGCAGCAAAAGCGTACGCCCGTTGACGTGTTAATAAAACGGTTACTTTTGATTTTTTACTGCTATAAGGCTCAATGCTACCGAAATTGGATCCGTTCAGCAAAGTTGAGGCCTTCTCATTAACCCACATTAGAGTTCTCCGGGGTTTTCCATACGAATACGGAAATGCCTCCCTCGACGGGTAAAATTAAGTTCAGGGCGTATATTATCTGCCTTTCCGCAGGAGTTTTGACAGGAATAAATATAGAGTAGTTAAGCATTATAAGCTCCGTCAACTCTACACCGAAGACTATATAACCATTTCGGAACGTTTATCGCATCGAAGCGAGCTGTTATGGAGGTTGTACAGAGACCGTTGGACGGTGCAAGCCTTCATTGTGTATCTCTGGCAACGAACAGGCCTTTGGTTGCGTCGAAAGATTTGGCTTGCTTAGCTCGGGTCATATTGATGGAGACAAGCAGGGTGCCGGTTATAGGTTCAGTAGTAAGATCAATCGTTTAGCACATCCCGGTATGGACGCCCTCAAAAATGCTATGGATGCCCTTTGTTGGGCGGCCCGTCTAAAGGCGGTAGGAATTGTCGGGACTTGGTTTTCCGTACGCTCAAATCTCACCTTAGATCTCGTGAGTTTTTGCCTCTAGTCACTCCAATTACAACCTTGGTTGAGGGCCTGATGGTATCATGGAGGTAACGCGAAGATAGAGGCATTGCGGCGGCTCAGTGTCATCTGGAAGCGCATCCCGATTGCCTTTCAAACCGAAAATGAAATACCAGGCGTGCCAAGATCTAAAGTGGGCTGCAGACAGATCAGTCAGGCACGGTTCTCAAGCTTCTCAACGTAATAGAAAGTCCAATGTATATACTGCAAACCCTCTCGTGGTTGTAGCCGCAACCTACGTGGAGGAGTCGGTGCGGAGGCGCCAAGGGAAGAATGCAACAGCCTGCGAAGAGTGATTACAGAAGGTGATCATAGCAGGAGACTTCAATCCCCACGACTGGCCATGGGTGGTTGAGCGCTCTCGGTACCGTGCTTGTTCCAGGTGACGCGTAGCCGCCCGCTTCTTTCTCGTCTCAGCTGGTTTTGGAGCGCTTTCAGCACGCGGATGGCTATCACGAGTCGACGACCCTCAGTGGTTTGCCTGCGCCGCTCGTTGGCCTGTGTGCCTTGTCCATTCGACGCTGCCGCGCCAGTTCCACCTTGACTTGTCGAAAAATAGCGGCTCACGACCACTTTCTTATGGGGTAACAAGATTCAAGGCCTTTCTTCGCTTCCCATGTTCATGTGAAAGTCTGAGTGATTCATGAAGGTCCAACATTTCGTCTCAACATCAATCTGGAATAGCTCATTAACAGTGGCGTCGATTGACGAGACTCTTGATTTTCTGAAATCGTCGGAATTAGTGAGCCATGTTAATAATGCACGGCAATTCAATTGCAACGATACTACGTTGCGTCGGCGACATCAAGGCAAATAGCAGCCAAGATGTTAACGCCGACTCATTATATAGACATCATATCTTCCTTATAAAAAGAAAAAATCTCTCAGGCTCTAGTAAATTCTTTATAGAGGCAGGCAGTATAACGGTTTAACAGGTTTGGTTCCAACAGGCTACCTAGTAGCAATAAATATTTTAATGTTAGAGAGGGAAGAAGAAAGAGGGAAGAGGGCTGCCCTCGTATATGAGAAGTAGTACTCTTGCCCCTAATAGGTCTTAGGGCTAACCGGGGCACTCGCAAAACGGGGTTGCCGAGGAGTTACATTATACTGCCACTACTGTTTCAATTTCTCGAAAGAGCCGATCCTTGATGAGGATCATGGAAATTCAGAGTTCCGGTCCTGCCAGAAGAACCTGACCTAGAGTTGTTGTGTCACGTACCTCGGCCCCATAATGGAATGGGAGGGATCTTGATTCAATGGCTCTGCCGAAAGAAGATCTTCCCCGAGTCATTGCCTATGTATCTATTACGTACTACAGTACTGTAGGTACGGCATGACTCTATGCTGTACACTCCGTAGGACTTATAGCCCCACAGCAGTTCGTGATACATACCTGGCTTTTGAACTCAACCTCAGCTGAGCACAGCTGAAGGTGGCTCGGGTCAAGTGGCGCCGAGGCCAACATGTGGCGATGGTCAATCTGCCTGGCTCTGGAACTACTCTTTCAAGGCTCCACAAAGACATTTACCACAGTATATGTGCATCGGTATTCGCTGTCATGCTTGGCGTTTGCTGTCAATGTCAATTCGTCGGGTAATTGGCGAGCTCAAACTCTGGTTTTGGTCACTCGAGCGGGCCCTAGTCGCCTGTCGAGAAAAGGTTTTCATCATTCCTCGAACGAGGAAAGATGAGAGTTCCAGCAAGGCCACGGACACTCAGAGCTTCCAGCCACCGAAATCAAGCGCCAAACCTACGAGGCCTTCCAGGTTGACTGCGTCCAGTCGTTACTTGTATCGACAAGCTCTTGCTCCCAAGCCACCAAAATTTCCAAGCCGAGGCTAGCCAGGCGGGTGGGGTCTCCGAAGAGGCTGATGATGCTTATAATCCGCTGCATCGTCTTGCTGGGCACGGCGGCATGTATTTGCAGCGCTCATCGCGTCTGCACGCCAGGCACTCTATGCGCCGTGACCGTGCCGCCTATCTGCAAAGCCATCCCGACGGTGGTGAAGCCAAAGCCAACGGTGGTGAAGGCAAAGACGACGGTGGTGAAGCCAAAGACGACGGTTGTGAGGCCAAAGCCGACTCTCCCCTGCGTCCAGGATGCCTACCTTGTCATGGATAATGTCTTGTACGCAATGGACTTGAAGACTGGCAAGACTCGGACCATTAGCAGAATCGCCTCAGCGGACCCCAAGTATCCGTTCAACGCCATCGGCTTCAACCCCAAAGACAACTACCTGTACGGTACGAAGCATAAGCACCTCTTGCGCCTGTTTGGCGACGGCAGGACTGAGGAAGTTCTTCAACTGCCCATCCAGCCCAACATGGGTGACTTCGACGAGCACGGCAAATATTGGTGCAGCAACGGGGGAAAGGTCTGGGCCAGCGTCGATCTCGATCCACAATCCAGGACGTACAAAAAAGTCGAGAGCGGCAAAGCGACCTTTCCGGGTCCAAAAGCCGACAGGGCATTCCCCTCCGACTGGGCTTACACGCCCGTCGCCAGTGGCCATCTTTACGGCGTCGGTGTTCTGCATGACAAGGGACGCAGCTACCCGGCTCTGGTTCGCTGGTCTACCACGTCTAAGGCGTGGAGTGTGATATATAAAGCCAAAAACTTCAAGGACGCTCGATCATTTGGTGCCGTCATGTCGACAAGAAACGGCATCATCTATGGGCTAGAAACCACGTCTGGCAATATCGTTCGGTTCGACCTTTACGACCACACCAAATCGACGGAGATGCGCGGAGGCCCGGTGTCGCGAAACAAGCCAAGTCACACTTACGGAACCCGTTGCTTGTTGCAGCCGGACAGCCGTTGAGAAGAGGAACTGAGACGGGCGATTGGCGGCCAAGCAGCAGAATAGGCGTAGGACAAGCTAGTCAACCCTGCTACGTGAAAACAAAGCCCGTGGCTCCGGGGATCGTGGTGTTGTGTCAAGCAGTATGTCATGTCACTCCTGGACGTAAACATGATGGGCCACCCTGCTCGACATCTGCTCGGGCGGATGCTGCGGTGCCTGCAGGGGCCTCACAGAGACACCCCGGATGTCTTGTATGGGTCTGGGCTGCCGTCGCCGGAACCGTGCTGTAACGACATACAAGCTACCGTCATCAGGTCTCGAATGAACCTCTCGTATGAGTCTCAGAGAGCATGGTAATTCGGCTTCAACCCCAAGCCGTTACATGTACCTTTGGTTCGACATCAAACTCCAGGGCCAATTGTTTGGCGTACTAGCGGATTCAACAGAATATCATACTGCTATCACCTGTATGAGAGTCTTGATATCAGAGTTGGGTACTTTCAAGCCAACCTTTCGCGCCGCCATCTGCAGAAAAGCACAAGAAGCATCTTCGCCTTGCAGCATGACTCTAATCCGTCGAACTTTTGTCCGCGTGCCACGTCACCTTGTTTCCGCGACAAGCATGCAATGAGTGCAAAGCAGGATCAGTGACTCATCAACCAACATGCATTGGCTGTTGACTAGTTGTAATTGGAAGTTTGAGGCTCTGGGGTATCTGCCTGTCCTTTAACCAGTGAGAAGAGCCTGGTGGTGCGATGATGGTTGCGCCATGAGCCTTTGATTGGCTCAAGTGTGCATGCAACCAACTGTACTGCAACCCACAAAGGCAGCAAGGCGCCTACTTTCGTCTGGAAGCCTGAATCACGAACCATTCCTCGTATGCTGCCTTCTGTCGGTTACCTGACTTGCGGGGAAGGTTCATGCAGAGTCAGGTCTGTGCCAATGACAAGCCAAGAACAAGGTCCTTGTCTCGTCGATGGCCCTGCAGCGCATCCTCAACCTGGAGCTCATGGACTCGCACGCATTCGAGCCGCGTGGTGATGTCCCGACTCTCCCGGCCGGGAAAAGTCAAGGCAAGACACAGCAGTATAAAGTCTGGTAATAGCCCACTGCCGTTCCCAATCTTGCCAAGGCCTTGCAGATCACCACAAGCCCGCACCGGACCACTGCAATACACGAACTAGTAAATGGACTTTTCTTCCCAAACTTGGTTCCAACGAGGACTGATTCTTTGGCCAGTAGAAACTAGAACAACTCACGAACGTTTCCTCCACACAAGATGAACTGCCCGAAGTGCAAGAAAGGCAATGTTTCGGGCAGAAACACCTGGGAATACTGCGGTACTGAACTGCCAAAAGCCATGGGCCGACCAGCAAAGTAGGAATAGTCAAAGGGGGGGCGGGGTACAGGATGAACGTACGATGGTGACAGCTTCTCAGTGCACCTCAGTTGCAAAGTCTCGGTCTCGCTGAAAGCAGCGCTGCAATAAAGTCTGGAGTCATGATCGCGACCGTTCAATCTAAGTATTCTGGCCCTCTGACTCTGCGATGAATTCCACTCCTCGACCATCGAGATTTGGGTATCTCGTGAGTGCATAGTAATCGAGCCAGAACTCCTGAGCCTTCGTGTAGTCCTCCATATGCTTGCGCAAAAGGGCCTTCCACGCACGGTCATCCTCGTCCTCAGAAATTCTGGTGGACACGAATTCCCACCATGCTGGGAAAAAGCCGCATCCTTCCCAGTCGATTATGCCCGTGAGCTTGCCATCGTTGACGAGGACATTTCTTGTCGTCAAGTCCCCGTGAGTGAAGGTGTAGGGCTTTGCCGGGGGCATACGTCGTCGCAGAAGACGTCGCGCATTTTCTGGCACATGCTGCAAGGCTTCGGTCGTCATCTCCTCCCAGAGTTGATCATCAGAGGACAAGGGGCCATGTGGAAGACCATAGCCGTTGCAAAATAAAAAGGCCGAGTAGACTGGTTCGGCGCCCAGGCTCTGGATTTTCGCTGAACAGAGCTTTCGAAGCTGGGAAAGGCAGTCTGCCGTCTGCTTGGCGATAGCCTCCTTCTCCGTCTCAGACATGGCCGGCCACGCCTCTTTCAGAGTTGTACCCGGGATTCGTTTCGTGATTAGGAAGTAGCGGCCGTTCTCAGTCCACTCCTGGATAACCTCCGGAGCCGGTATTTTGGTGTTCTCTTGGATGAATCGGGTATTTCTGGCTTCAAAGTTGGGAGGACTGTCGGGCATTTCCTTGACGATCAGGTTGGACCCGATGGCCCAGACGCCCCGGTCGCTCATTTCATAGAAGAGTTTGACATGACTGTCATAGCGACAGGATTCTTGACGCTCCTGTGTCCAGCTGCATGCAGCACAAGGCTGGTCGGCCGCCATTTCGCACCCCTAGTATGTAGGATGGTTCGAGCTTGAAGGTTGAAGTCCAGCCGGACGATGATGTTTGCGAGAATAGCGAGCAAGGGATTTCCCGGTAATCTACCGAATCCCGTGACTTATACCGGCATCAACTCAGCGGCTATGGCGCCGAATGACGCTCTTGATACCTTGAAAGTTGAAACTCTCGGATCCAGCTGCTCATGCCAAGACAGGTATGTATACTGGATCTGGCAATCTGGGTCAAGCTGTGTGTGTATTCCGAGTGCCTCCCCTCTTTGAACCCGCACGCGGAGCCAAATAAAGGATTGGTCAAGCAAGAGTTGTCGTCATAATAAGTTAATAAGTTAATAACCCAGCCAAACCCAGTCTCCGCAGTCCGGACACCAACCCGCAACACGACACGATGTCGGGCGGTAAACGACTGGAGCGCTCCCGGCAACCCCCGATGACCCTATGCCTGGAGAAGATGGATGCCGCTTGTCGACGCCGTCTCTTTGAAAAGAAGAAACTGGTTGCCTTCCAGATGTGCTGAATTTCTCTATCTTGAAGACACACTTAACTTTACTAGTGAGTTTACATTGAAAAGGACGTCTCGTACCGCGTACTACCTATAGCCAAGTCTAGTATCATTATGGCATTGAGTAACAACCTCAGCTTCAGCCCGTATCACTTCGATGCCGGAAGTATTCCAAATCCAAGCCCAACTTCCATTGACATTCGCAAGACTACCATTATGCTTGGGTCCTAACGAGACTCTTCTACACGCGAATAACATGGGCACTCCTCCGCGGTCATGTCACAAGGTGGAAAAATAAGGAAGAGAATCTGGCTTGGGATGACGCAGTCGAGGCGATGCGCGAGATGGATAGATCATCAGACTACTTGGGTGAACAGTTTGACTGGTCCGTCTTCTTCACCTTGGTCAAATCCGAGCCCAGCAGTCCAGCGCGCTGGATCCAAGCCTAGAAAACAGATATGGTCAGCTGTGAAGTGCTCCAATGTGGCAAATGTGAGGTCTTACATCAATAACCTTGTCCTCCAGGTGCTGCTTCCTGCTAAGGATAAAGAGGGTACTAAAGTTGCTGGACTGCACGATGGCAATGTCTCCGGTATAATCTAACAAAGAGTCAAAGTCAAACGAAGGTGACCGAGTTCGTCTAGGCACGAGCCCTCACCTTGAACAATGTAATTCGGCCCCGGGCATTTCGAAGCAGGCCGACCGGGAAACTGGACCCGGAAGACCCCGTCGGCCCCGTACGTGGCATCTGCGGGAGCCGCCGTGCCGAGGATGCTTTCGAACTTGCCCCTGTTCTCACAAGAGTTGTCGACTCGAACGGTGCCATTGGCCTGTATCTCCGTCGTTAGCAGACGCCGTCTGCCATCGGGTTCCCTTACGTTGAGCGTGTACTGCGCGCTGATGCATCTGCAGCCGGCCGTGAAGGGAACCAGGGTGCCGGCTACTTGATACCAGCGCCCGAGGAGGTACGACTCCAACTGAAACCCGCTGTCGGCCGTCGGGTACCAGCACTTGCCGTCCCAGGTGGCGGGGACGGCATGGGGTTTGGGCGCTGCGGGCCTGATGGCGGCCGCGTTTGCCAGCGCCAGCGCGGAGAAGCCGAGGAGAGCTGAGGCGCGCATTTTCAGAGTTCTGGGCAGCATTTGCTGTTGATCGAAATCGTATGTGAAGTGAGAACGAGGGTAGGAGTGAGTTCACAACATGCCGTAAACAAAAGCCTCCTCTTGAGTGAAATGTCTCACCCTCAAATCACACGTCCCTCCCACAGTTCAACCTCCTCACAACGTTCGAGACCGAAGATGGGCGGATTCCAATGTCACGCTGAAGACGACATGGCGCCCCTGGCTCCTTTTGCAAACGTCTCGTCGATCGATTCCCAACGAGCCGTCACCCGCTGCGCCGCGCCTCGTCTCATCTCCAACTGCTTCTCTCGGACATCTATGACGCTGAGACTACGCAGCCCCTGCGCTGCACGACAACACGCCCTCGAACATGGCATGGGCTGATAAATCAAAGTCGTATCCCGTTGGACGGTGCAGCGTGTCATTGGTCAGGGTATTTCGATCCCACAGAGCTTTTGACATCACTCTTTCAATCCTATATGCACTCCGCTCAGGCATGGCTCGGAGCGTTAGCCCCAGCATAGCCTCGCATTCAGCCAGAGCATATATATGCAGGACAAAGGGCTGAGGCAGGCCATGATACATCACCGAGAAGGGCTGGTGTCAATGTTGTTTGTGCAGCATCTGTGCAGTAAAGGCAACCAAGCCAGTCGTCGGGGTATCTCCACTCCTCGCTTCCATGAGTCCCTGCAACATGTACCGCTCACGATGAGAATTGAAAGGGACAGGCAGACGTAGTTTCCATTCTCCATAGCGCGGATATTTCAGAACCATGGCACTGCTCTAGCCAGCGTCATCTCCCCGCTGGACCCCGAGGCAGCTCCTGACTGACAGCACGATGACGGGAAACGCACTCGGTCGGGCCTTGGGGTCCGTCATCTCGTCCCCTTCTCATGCCATCTTGGCACCTATCGTCGTAGCGTCAATCCATCCATGCTAAACCACGGCGCAAGTAAAACAAGAGACGCTCGGGCAGACAAACGACTCGCCGGTACGCGCGCAAGTAAAACAAGAAACGCTCGGGCAGACAAACGACTCGCCGGTACGCCGCTCCCATGCTAGCCAAACTCCTCAACCGGCCTGGACTTCCTTGTCCCAACCCAAAGCAAAGATAACATAGCCCGTAAATGCTCCGGGCATTATACAACTGACAGCCACTAATACCTTCCCCCCTTGGGCCCTCATCCTGAACTGTCGAGCACCCATATCTCATGTCGCGTTTCTCCAAGCCTGGTGCGCCAGCATCGACGCCAGCACGCCGGACCCATACCAGCCGACGCCCGCCGTCTCCCTCTTCCACAACGTCAAGGCGACCCAGCAAACAGTCGCCAGTTCTGCGACGGCCCACGCAGCGAGTACATGGGCCGCCACTGGACCGTATTGCTTTTCGGCGCTCGCATCTCCCGTGCCGCGGAGGGCGAGCACGCCAGACATGGCCATGACGGCGAGTTGACACTCGACTTGGCTCGGAATGGCTATGGCCAGGGTCGATAACCACGCCATGAGTAGAGCGGCGAGGACAAGAGGCTCCACTAACCGAGGATTCCAGGTCCGGGCTCGGTCACGATTGCCTTTTGCCGACGCCTTCGTCCTTGTCTGACTTGGTCTTGTACCCTGGAGCGTTCCATCCCCTTCACCGGCACCATCGTCCTCGTCTTCTTGGTCGTCTTCCTGGCTCAAACTGAAGCTCTGGCTAAGCAAGTCCGCTAAAGAACTTGCATCATCTCGCTCTGGCGCAAAGAACTGCGGTTGCCGAAACTCGACGCCATCCCTCATCTCGCTGCGCTCTGCATCTCGCGCGCTCTCTCTGCGGTGGCCGCTGAACATAACCCTGTTCGGCTCGACGGGCGGTTGCTGTGGTTCTGGCACTCGCGGCGGGTTCCGCAGCCGCCGCGCTGGGTTCAGCGGTGCTGCAGGGACCTTGTATCTGAAAGGGTTGCTGCTCATGTTTTCGGCCGGCGCTTGCCCGAGCATGCCGGTACCCTTGATCGGCGACGGTTGATCAGCAAAGGCGCGGTGCCGAGGCGTGATTGGGGACCAGTCCATCTCTTCGGCATATTGGACTTCGCGGGTTGGACTGTTTGGCGCCATCGAGAGATTTTTCATCAATGGGGCCGGGCTGTTGATGTGGTGCCGCGAGGCAGCAGCCCTGAATGGAGAAGGTGACGGCTTGGTTTGCTGCTCTGGCTTCGGTCTCTGCGGGGTGCTGTTGGGAGAGTCGAGGGCATCGTTGAACAGTTCGGACAGAGTCTTGGTGGCTTCGTTTTTCCTCGTTGCGGGAGACGCCGCCTCTCTGGCGGCCACAGGCTGGCTATTGGTGCCGAAGAGTGGCGACGTGTCGACACGGATCGATCTCCTCGATAAGACATATATCTGCAAAGCGGTCAGCAGCGGTTCCGGAAGCGCCATCGAGTGCAGTTCTCACCAATGCCGTAACAGCTGCCATGGCTATGTGGGCGCTCAACTGGGCGTGACTTGACTGTCCCTGGCCCCCATCGATGACGAGAACGCCGCGGAAGACGAGGCGACAAAAGATGATGAGACCCTGGAAGCAGTACCACTGCGTGAATCCAAGCAGATGCCGCGTGAAGCCGCGGTTCAGCTGGACAAAGTGGGGATTCCACCACGCCGACGCCATGGCTGCTCCGGTGCTCCACCAAATGAGCGTGTCTGGTGCGGGGAGGACGGTTGCCGCACGTTTAGCCCAGTCCAAGGCTATCGCTGAAGCTGTTAAACCGTCGGGGTCGCGCAGCCCGTCGCCCGGCTGCTGCATCACGAGGGCCATGGTCGTGAGGTGCCAGAGCAGCTGCAGCGCGAAGCCCGCTCTCCAGATGGCCTTGCCTAGGCTGTGGACTTTGTCAAGAGCGGTTTTGGTAGTCGTGGGTTTCCGACCTCGACTCAGGTCCATCATCCGCCGCAGATGATCCGTCTTTGCCGTGTACCCAGCCTGCCGTATCCTGGCCTCGACCTTGTCGGCGCACTCGTCGCAGACCTGAGGATAGCGCTTCTCGAGGCCCCGGCGGTAGCGATAGTAGTTGCGCTCGAGCTGCGCATAGTCGGGGTCCGAGGGGTCGTCGGGGAAGTATTGCGCCAATGACTTTGTGAACAGGTGCTGATTCTTGAGGCACGTCGGGCAGAAGATGCTGTCCGTCGGGGTGGGCGACTTGGGCGCCGCATATCGCGTCATCGTGGCTTCGCGCTCCGTGGCGACTGGAGGATCCATGATGTCGCCATTCTGCCGACCGTCAGCCCCAGGACAGCACATGGGCATTGCGTGTACCGACCTCGTCCAAGTAATTCGTCGCGTCGCAGTACAGACAGAGAAAGTCGCGGATGGCGCCGTCGTACTGGAGCCCTGACCTCTTGCCGCAGTAGAAGCAGGCCAGGTGCCTCGCGGCCCGAAATCGCGCCATGGTCGCTGATCTCCGGCGCGGCGAGTTGCAGGAGACACGGGCTTACTCGGTGACAGGACGGTGAGCCAATGCGTGGTAAACGGATCCGAGGATTCTGCCGAAAGGCGGTGGGAAACAATTTCATGCTCATTGTCTCCGACTTGCCCAAACAGGAGATCAACACAGTACGTACTCTGGGGGGCTTACTTGGGCGCTTGCGCGGCTGTTTAAGCGCGCGTGTAATTAGTCCGGACCTCCGGAAAGCCGCATTGAGGAATGGAAGAAGGAGCTGTACCTTATCGCACATTGGACCTTGCCTTATCTACAGCCCATCCTTCCCAGCGTCGTCATCTCATCCTCATCTTCAACCACAACTTGCTTCCTCCTACCGGCGCGAGGCGTCGCCCCAACCAGCTCCTCACGCTTCTCGCTCACACCATGTGAGTGGAAGACACCGCTTGCTTTGCTCCGCTCTGCTCGAAATAAACAAATCCAGAGAGGAGAAACGCACGGCTCGCTCCCACAGCCATGGTGTCGTGATGACGGCGCATCCAGCCGCTTCCGCGGCCGCCGCCCTCGCCCCGCTGCTTCTGACCATCCGCTTCTCGGCCTCGATCCCCGACCTCAACCTCGACATCTCGTCTCCTCAGCGCACCACCGTCCTCTCGCTCAAACACCTCCTGCGCACCCGCCTCGATTCCCGCAACCGCCTCCGCCTCATCCACCAAGGCCGCATCCTTCCCGACGAATCCGCCCTCAGCGCCGTCCTCAAGCCTCTTGCTCCGCCGACCTTTTCGGACGACACCGACGATGCGCCAGCAGCAGGCGCAGTAAGCAGGGCAAAGAACAAGGGCAAGGGCAAGGCCGTCGACGCCGCCAGGCCCGCCCCCGTCCGCATCTACGTCAACTGCTCCATCGGCGATGAGCTGTCGCCCGAGGAGCTCGCCGAAGAGCAGGCCGCCGCCGAGAACCCCCCCGTCGAGCCTGCCCAAGGGCCTAGCACCAAGCCCCCGGCATGGACCCGCCCTCGGCCGCGCGGCTTCGACCGCCTCCTCCAGGCCGGCTTCACCTCGTCCGAGATTTCCACCCTCCGCACCCAGTTCGCCTCCATCCATACCGAGCGCTTCGCTCCCGACGCCATGCCTTCTCCCGACTCGCTGCGCAGCCTCGAGGACGCGTGGATAGACTCCAACGCTGGCGAGCTGCCCTCTGCCGCGAATCCGCTCGAGGAAGACCTCAGCAGCATGTCGACTGTGCTGGACATTCTCATTCGCGGCATGATGATTGGCTTCTTCTTCCCTCTCGGCAGCTTGACGTGGCTCCTTCGCCAGGGCGTATGGAGCGATAAGTGGCAGATCTTCGTAGGCTCTGGCGTGGTCTTAAGCCTCACAGTCGGCGTCGTAATGGGGATCTCGGGAGAGCATTGAGCGGCTCTGGAAAGTATTCTAGGCGTTTTCGCTGTCTTTTCTTTGTGAATGGGGTTGAGAGGATGAAGCGGGCCATCTCCATATTCCGTATCTTTAGGCCATCGTTTGGAAAAGAGACAATCCGACTGGCAAGCAGATGCACGCATTCTTTGCAACAAGGACGTCATGCGAGAAACAGCCACGGGTTCAGACTACGATGGTCTGCCTCACCCACAATGGAGGGCGGCTGTGCTAGATATACTAGTAGCGTCAAGAGGCCTACTCTCATCACGGCCATACGCATCAAAATCACACATGCATGACTCTTCCACGCGGTGTAAAGAAACATGCACCCCCCATACACCTTTTGCACCGGCGATCTTGGTGTAGAGGGGGGGCGTTTTTCTTTTCACCCCTTGCCTCCCAACGCTCCCCAACTCCACAGCCGTGAATCAACGGTGGAAAGGATGGTTCAGACGCCCGCCGATATCCTGGCGCCTAACGGCCCAGGACGGAATTCACATCAACAAAGCAAAGCAAACAGGGGCCCGACCCGTCTTCCGCCTTAAAGTGACGCAGGTCCTCCTTACAGGTACAGACTCTGGGCGGCCACGATGTCTCTTCGGACCTTTTGCAGGCTCTCCTCAAACTTTTTCATCAGGTCGTCGTTGCCCATGACCTTGGCGGCCTGGGCCATTTGCCGCAGCAGCTCTTCAAGGCGGCGAAACAGCCGAATCAGAGAACCCTCATAGATTTTCGTCATTTTGCTGCCAAGACGTTAGCTATCATGATTAAGGCTTTAGAATTCGACTCACCAAATCTCGGAAAATGGCCGGCCCTGGGCCCAGCTGTAGACCGTTTCCATCAGTTGCCACTTGAGGCTCGTGACGTACGCCTCCTCATTTACGTCGAGCTTGCACTCCTGGCTGACCTTGGCAATGATTCGCGCCTTGGCTTGGATCTCGCGGTACGGCTTCTGCAGGTCCTCCTTGAGCGCGTTGGTATCCACCTTTTCGTCAAAGATGAAGCAGCTCAGGACGGCAGCGCACGTCTCAGGCGTCAGCTCGTTGAAGAACCGGTCAAAGAGCAATTCGGACAGCAGCAGCTCGTGGCCTTCGGTCGAGGAAAGCTCACAGGCCACTCGAGCCTTGAGCTGCACCACTTCGGCGTCGTTAATGAACCCGAGTCGGCGTAGCACTCGCTTTCGGGACTTGAGCTCGTCCAGTTGAGCAATGCTGTGGGCCTTGGCAATCGACTTTTTCTTTTCCTTGACCTTATCTCCCATCCGGACCTTGGCGTGGTACTGGTCCCAGAGCGATGGGAGGAGGGGCGAGAGATGGAGCGGGTTGGCCAGGAGCCTCGACTCGAGCACTTCGATCTTGCGCAAGAGCTTCTTGAACGACTCGTCCGTAATGTCCATATTTTCGATTGGGTCCAGAATGGGAAGCCCATCGGGAAATCGACGTCTGACCTCGGCCAGCGATTTCCAGGCTTGCTCCTTGTCCTGCTGCGTCTTCAATCCATCTTTGGGCATGAAGATGCGGATCTGGCCGATGGCCTTGATGCACGTGAGCAAGCAAGGGACGACTTCGTGGACGGTGTCTTGTTCACCATTGGCCGGCGACAGACCAGGGGGCATTTCGCTTGTCGGTTGGCCTAGGAAAATGTCGGCACTCGACGAGGAGAGGGGCAGCAGGACCTCAATTAGGTGCGACTCCTGCGGCATGTGTTGGGCTTCGCCCATTTTAGGGCCCTTGCGAGGAGTGTGGTTGACGACCACCCCCCAGCCGAAATCAAGTCCGCCGCTGACATTGTCGGGCGATTCCTTGGGGTTGTAGATCTGGACCAGCCGGCCGGGCTGCAGGAAATCAAGGCTGTACTGCGGATGCTGGATGACGGCGCGCATGTCTCTCGTGTAGGTGTTGAGCTGCTGCCGAATCTGATAGTAGTCCTTGATGGTTGCTTCGTCGGGAATTGTCAAAGCGTCCCGCCCCTGCTGAAGGGCCATCAAGTCTTTTTCCAGCGAAGGAACGCTAGCTGCGTTCTGGAACTGGTGGAAGCACCTCTCCAGCATGAATTCGGGTGAAATGGCTTCAATCCTCAGCAGGTTCAAAATCATGTTGTACCCGAGGTAGAATGCCGAATTCAGCCTATCTTGGTGCCCGGTCACAATGTCCTTGGCAACGTCTGGCTCCAGCTTGTCGTCGATCATCATGATGACGATACCTCTGGCGTCCAGGCCTCGTCGACCGGCTCGCCCGGCCATCTGAACGTACTCAGACGATGTAATGGGTCGCCGTTGGATGCCGTCCCACTTGGTGACCTGGGTGAAGACAACCGTCTTGGCGGGCATGTTGAGGCCGATGGAAAAAGTCTCGGTCGCAAACAGGACCTTGATCAGGGACTCTTGAAACAGAATCTCGATGGTCTCTTTGAGGATGGGAAGCAAGCCCGAGTGATGAACGCCGACGCCGCGCTCCAACAGGGGCAAAATGTGCATAATCTGAGGCAGCTCGCGGTCTTGCTCGGACAAGCTTTCCACGGCGCTGTTGAAGACCTTCCTCACCAGGGCCCTCTCCGAATCGTCGTTGAAGTCGAGGTTGGACACCTTGATGGCTAGGTCCTCGCACTCGCGCTTGCTAAAGTTGAAGACGATGACTGGGTTGAACTTTTGCTTAATGGTCATCTTGATGATCTTGTAAATGTCAGATCCCTCGTCGGCACCGCCCTTGTTCGTCTTTTTGTTCTTTCCCTTGCCCTTCATCTTGGCATTGACATCATTGGAGTCGGTGCCCTTTCTCTCCTCCACCTCCTTCATGACCTGGTTGAAGTTGTGCTCGTTGAAGTTGCCCTTCTCGTCCACCACGATGTGCGCGCCCTTGCCGCCGGCGGGGTAGAAGTAGTTTTGCAAAGGCGTCGGCCTGAAGTCGGTGTACACAACGTGGCAAGCCTGGTGGTGGATCTTGGCTATCCACTCGGCAAACTGGAAGGCATTCGGAATGGTGGCCGAGAGGAAGACGTACCGAACCTTGTCGGGAAGCATGATGATGGTCTCCTCCCACACCACGCCTCGTGTCTTGTCTCGCATGTAGTGGATTTCGTCAAAGACGACCCAGGCCACCTCGCGCATGATCTCGGAGCCGCGGTACAGCATGGAGCGCAGAATCTCGGTTGTCATGACCAAGCAGCTGGCCGTGGGGTTGATGGTGACGTCGCCCGTCATTAGGCCGACATCCCCGAAGATGGCGTCAAAGTCGCGGAACTTTTGGTTGCTGAGGGCCTTGATCGGACTCGTGTAAATGACCCTTTGGTTGCGCTTAAGACACTGCGCGATGGCGTACTCGGCAACGACCGTCTTTCCGGCACTGGTATGCGCCGATACCAGCACGCTTTCGTCGCGCTCAATCGAGGCAACGGACAGGCTCTGGAAGGGATCAAGCTTGAAGCTCCACGTCCTGGCGGGCTCGTCGGGCGACTTGTGCTCCGACAGAGGCACGTATTCGTAGTCTAGATCCGGCGGAAGAGCTACCTGATGCTGGATGTTGTGCGACAGGACAAGAGAGGCGTCTTGAGGTAGCAAAGTTGTGGCTCCGGCAACTTCTCTCGACTGGGCTGTATGGAACGAGTCCGTCATGACCGGGCCCACGCCGTCCTCCTTCTTGCGCCGCTTCTTGTCCTGCTGGCTCGGCGTTTCGGAGTCGTCCGAGTCGTCATCGTCGTTGGGAGACTCGGTCGCATCGCCCATATCGACGTCGGCTGTGTCCTTTGCAGCACTAGCGGCAGCTGCTCCGTTCATGGCCTCGTCGGCCTTTCGCTTCTTGGTCGCGTCGCGGTTCCGGCTCTTGGGGGGCGGTCGCTCCTCTTCGCTGTCGCTCTGCGGGGCCGCCTTGCCCTCGAACACGTCAAACATTTCATCCATGTTGGATGAGGGCGCTGCTGAGCTGGGTGTCGAATGCCGGCGTTGTCAAGGTATGCAGCTCAGAGCATTTGGTCGGGCGACTTCAGGTAAAACAAAGTTAGCGGGGGCGAGCGCTTAACAAGGGCCTGTAGAAGAATCTAGGTCGATGGTCCTACAGCGCATTCGCCCGCTAAAAAAGGCATCCAGTCGCAAGCGAAGCGGCGTTGAAGGAAATTGTCAGAGGTAGATTCTCGTTGACGGCGGCCCAAAAAGATGTGGGCGTGCTGGGGAACTGGACGGCAGAAAAGAAAAATCACTAGGCCCGGAGCGCAGGCGGTGAGGGGCCATCTCGATCATCCAGCTGCGAGACTTTGCTGCCGAATTCCTAGACCGAAGTATCCGCAAGTCACGTGGCCCTGCTTAGCCAACCGTTTTGATCTTGGTCCGCCTCGGACCACCTTGAATCAATGATCGCAACCTCCAACCACGGCCGCTGAACTCGCACGCAAGCTACCGCCCAAGCTCCATTGCACCGCGCTCACCTTTGCCACAGTACTTCCTCCCACGACCCGGCTGCGCACACACTTCCCCGGCTAATTGATACTCCCAGATGCTCCCCCGCGCCGCCGCCCGCACGACGACGTCGCTCGTCGCCCGCCGAGGCTTCCACGCCACAAAGGCCCGCATGTCGTCGCCTTACCACTACCCCGAGGGCCCCTACACCAACATCCCCTTCAACCCGCGCAGCAAGTGGTTCGGTCTCTTCTACTGGTCCTTCCTGGCCACCGGCTTCGGCGCCCCGTTCGGCATCGCTGGTACGTCGTTGCGCTCCCGTGCCGACCCATCACGCCCGACTAACGGCGCGCTGTGCAGTTTACCAGACCTACAAGGAGCAATAAGCGTGACGTGCGAGACTTGGATTTCGGGATCCAAAGCTCATGATAGAAGTTGGACCAGAGGGGAAGCTTGCCATGGCCGTGATCTAGCAAATGTCAGGCAGTCGGCTCGCAATGAGCGAACACAAGGTTTTCTTTGTCAATTAAACCAAGATTTCGCCTTCCACCGCGAAGTCCAACTCACTCGCGTCCGATTGATTGCCACGCGGCGTCGCCGCCAAGTTCACCAAGCAGCCATCCAAGTCATCTCTACCTGGTGCAGCATCCCAGGGGTATCACGAGCCGCGGACGCATGTACATGTAAAAGATACAATAATAATACACCGGCTATTCTCAGAGCCAGGACCCGTCTCTTTTACTCCGTCTATGCGTCATTTCGTCCCAATTACCCGAAGGAGATCTCATATCCCTGCCTTGCAGTATATTCTCGTAGAGGGCGTGCATAAAAGGCTGGCGATCCGCAGGTACGTCCCAGCGCCGTACCATTGCATCAAACGTCTCCTCTAGTGCTTCCGCGGACGAGCACTTTTTGACAGCTCGCAGGGCCCAGATGACGAGCCAGCGATCTATCGGGAAGTTTTTTGCGTGCGTGTCGCGAGCGTGATAGAGGGCCGAGAGAAGGCCATCCAATCTCGGCTCGCTCCAGTCCGAGCCGGGGAAGCCCCCGTGCATGTAGAAGCCCTTGAAGAGCGCCAGGAAGATGGTCGGGTGCACGGGGACCTTGAGAAACTTCATTTCGTCCAGGTACTTGACGACTCTGTTAAGGTTTCCCACCCTGATGGCGTAGTGCTGCACCAGGAGTTTGTAGGTGTGCAGATCTGGCGACAGGTGGACCGTGGTTTGGAGCGTCTCCTTTAGCTCGGGGTGCTTTTTGCTGACCTTGGAGAACATCATGATGACTTTTGTAATGACTTTGCTCATCATGTAGTCCCTTTGTGGCAACGCCGGGGCGAGGGTGTGGTTATTCTTCATGCGCTCGTACGTCTCCTCGGCGGGGCCTTCCTCTCCGCATCGAAGCAAGCCCGAGATGACGCAGTTGAGGACAACGGTGTCGATCATCTCGCCGGACTCCACCATTTCCCGGTATGCGGCGCGGATGCCGCCCGAATCGAGCTTCAGCCCAAAGTAGTGGATGAGGCTGACATGGTGAAAGCGATTGTACTCGATGCCGCGGCTTTCCATTTCCTGGTATATCATGTCGGCGAGCGCAAAGTTGCCGGCCTTGGCGGCCACGTCAAAGAGGATGTTGAATGTCACTTCGTTCCCCGGGACGTTGGCTTCGCGCTCCATCTCTCTCCACAGCCGCAGCGTCGACTCCATCTCTCGGGCAGTGGTGCGAGAGGCATACTTGGCAGCAAATGCCAGGGCGAAGTTCCATTGGGAGCGCCGCAGGGTGAGCCCCGCATCCTTGACATCGGCAACCAGGGCAAAGTAGCGCAGCATGGACTCCATGTCGCGTTTCCGGGGAGTGCCCATGACTCTCATCAGCCTGTTACGCCATTGCCAGGTGATGTGCAGCATGCGAGGCTCGGGCAGGAGACTGTAGAGCTTGCATATCGACTCGAGAGAGACGCGGCTCGGGTGTCGTAGCCTCTGTCCGACGGCCGTGTATAGCCGCACGAGTATCTGTCGCGTATCGTTGTCGATCCTGAATGTCTCGTCATGAGTGGGATACTGCACGTCGGGGCTCTTGTCCGACACCCTGAGCCTCGGTCCGTCCGGCGAAGCGTAGCCTCGGCGGTAGGGGTCTCTGTGAAAGTCGATACAGTCGTCGACACTCGCCTCGTCTTCGTCGTAAACGAGGGACAGCAGATACTGCCTGTCTTGAGTGGGCGTATGCTTCCGACCCGGAAGAGCGGGCGTGACAGGGGAACAGGCGGCAGCGGAAGCCGTGCTGTAGCAGCTGTGGCGGGCACGTCGAGGCCGGGGTGTCTGAAGGACGCAGCGAGCTTCAACAGGCGGCGCAAAGGTCGACAGGAGCCATGTCGAGCTCTTGGCACAGGCTGCCGGCCGACTTGGAGAGCTCCTGGGCGGATTCGAGGCGAAGCTCCTCTTGGACGCTTGCACATTTCTTACGCTGGCCGACGAGCAGTTGAAGAGTAAGGCGCCACGAACGGACCCATCCACTCGACTGGGGATTTTCATGGGCTCCTCCTCATGGTGGTGCAGTCGTCGCAGCAGTCGTGGTGACGAGAATGGGTCGTTTCTGGGGAGCGCAAGCTCATCAAACGGCCGTCGAATAATTGCGATTCAAAAAGTACTTTGTAGTGACTGCTGGGTCCAGGCGGCGGCGCGCGGCGGCCGTCGGTCATATGATTTGCCGATGTCTCTCCGCCAAAAATTCCCAATAGTAATTATTATTTAGACCGATGGCGACGCACACGGGGCCGGGCCGAGCAAGCACACAGCTTGGACTGGCGAGCGACAAGCACATGCAGCCATGGGTGGGCGACAGATACGCCCCGCCGGCGTCTACAACGCGACCGCCCTCCAACTCCAGAACGCTTTCCTCCCGGGCCACCGAGCCGTCGAGCCGCCGTGGTTCCGAGTTATGAACTCGATTCCTCCCGCCGAGCCCCTTGTGCGAACCGTCACCCCCCGGCATCGCGCGCCCGACCGCCGGGCGACGAAGCCGAGGAACCTCTATCGGCCACAGAATCTCAGCTACCTAGAGGATGCGCTGCGGGCAACCTTTTTCAAGGACCACCCGTGGGAGTTGGCGCGCCCTCGAGTCATCCTGGAGCTTGACGGCAAGGACTACCGGCACTGTGACTGGAGCAAGGGGCTGCGGCAGCCGGGGATGCCTCTGTCGGGCGAGTGGTGAGTTTACGCGAGGCAAACTGAGCGAGCCGCACGGCCGCTAACCAAACCGTGTCTACAGCGTGGTGCAGCGCCAGCTATGGCTGATGCAAAACGAAAAGCTGAGCAAGCGCAAAGCCTACGACTTGGTCCGCTGGGACTTTTACCGGCTGCGCCAGGCTGAGGAGATTGAAAGCAGGATCGCCTTGGAGGAGGCGCGCTACGTGGGCGCCTACTTTGGCAAGACGAAGCTGGAAGTCGGCATGATGCTCGAGGACAAGGAGTATGAAAACTGGAAGATCTGGGCCGGCAAGCAAACCGAGAAGCTCGAGGCCCGTGCCAACGCGGACATCGAGACCTTTGAAGTGGAGGATATTGAGGATGAGTTTGAGGAGGCCGACCGTGGCCCGGCACCCTCGGAGGCAGAGCTGCAGCAGCCAGGCGTGAGTGGGCCAGATTTGCGTTGACCACCTCGAGGGGTGGCTACAGCGTGTATATACCCTGTAAGACTAGGACCATGTCTCGTTGCGCCGGACGCGAGTGGCTACGCATCTGGCCGTCTCGAGTTGAAGACCATTTCCCCGGCGTTGACCAGCCCGTACATGGCAGCAACCTGTTGGTGCTGCACGTACAAGGCGTCGGCGATGCCCGTGTACAACAGGAGCTTCCCCGTCAGACTCAGCGTGGAGATGCGTGCCCACGACTCGATGTAGACAAAACGCATGCAGTCCTCGGGCACGATGAAGAAGACCTTGAGCACATGGGCTACCAGGGCGACGAAGAAGCCGGTGGCGGGCCCATTGGAGAGGATGAGCCTCGGATACCGCAGTCGGCGGCCGGCTTCGTTGGCCGGGGGCGACAAGAGGACGGAAAATATGTCGACGATGCTGACGAGGGAGGTAAAGGGCGTCGTCCAGAGAGACTGGTGAACGCGGCGGGCGCGGGTGACGGTGCGCGTGTCGTGGGTGCCGGGCGAGGACTCGGCGGCGCGACACAGTTGCTCGAGCTGCTCCTCGTAGTCTTGGAGGTGGTGGCGGGACATGCGGTCGCCGCTGGAGATGAGATAGCGGCGATGGAAGTTGGCGAAGGCGCAGAAGCCGTCGTCCATCATCATGAGCATTTCCTTGGTATGGCCCCCTGAGCCGAGGACGAACAGGTAGTAGTCGTGCGATGGCCGCTGGGCAGAGGGTCCGTCAGCGCGCCGCGGAGGCTGGGGCCATTGCCTTGAGCGGCGGCGTTGAAGCAGCTGCACATGGCGTGCCTATGCGTCTTGTCAGTATGGATGATGAACATCAGGGACGATGATCATGAAGAGATGGGGGAGTCGTGCAGTAGTGAAGATGGCGAGGGCGATGAGAAGAGCCAGGCATGTCAGGAGCACGGTGCGCCAGGAGCGGACAATCCACACAGAGGCAAGGCCGGTGCCGCCTGCGATGGCCATTATCCCAGACAGCACGGCCAGGCTGGAGCGCATGGTGGACAGCGCTGTGTGCTGCGGATTCACGGAGAGAGCGCTCCAAGGCGAAAGCCTTTGCTGCGTTGGCCACGAGATCGACTCATGCCCTTTGTGAGTCCAAGTTCGATCAAAACGACGAGAGTGCGATGATTCTGTCTTGCCGGGAGACTTTGCAGCAATGTCAATGGCGTGGACTCGGATCGTGGGTTATGGACTGAGCACGTGGTGTTTTCACCAGCGACGCCGGGCTCGCTCGCTATAGGGTAGGACAAACACACCACCAACCCCGAGTCTCGAAAATCCTCTTAGCGCAACCTCAATGCCAGCTGCATTTTCTCGCTCGACCAACGCAACGTGGCCCTTGGCAAACAAAGACTGGAGATGCGCTTAGGCTTTTGCATTTGAGAACGAATTGCGAGTCCGAAGAAAGGGCTGTGCCAAACGAACGAGCTCGAGAGCCGCCAAGCGAAGTGGCAAGCATCAACAGGAATGGATGAAGAAGACATGACTGAAGTGCGTTCCATTCATGCTCAGAATTGACAACAACAGCAGTTCTCGCAAGGGGCCACGGCCAACACACGCATTGAGCCCAAATAGCAACCGAGGAAAATGGCTCATCCACAAGAGCAGGACACAAGGAACAAGGGAAGGAGAAGGCAAAGAGGAGACAAGGAAAACAAGGCAACATTGAAAGAATCGATCCACATAGCCGCCAAGTCCATCCCAACAACCACAGCAGACGCAGCAGAGCATCCTCGCGGCCTCACTGGGCTCCCCCTTCAGCAGCGCGGCGAGCGATGACTCGGCGGGTAGCCTCCACCCCGGCCCCGTTCAGAAGAAGATCGATGTTCTCGCCCGTCCTGGCCGACACCTCGATGTAGTGGTCGGCACGGATGCTGCGGGCGTTGGCAGTGGCCTGCGGTGAAATGGTCAGCCAGAGGCTCTCGTCTCTTCGTTCCACCATGACATTTGGGACAATCGAAAATACGAGGGAGACTTGCATCCGAGACGTTGACGCAGCAGCTGTGGCACAGAGGCCCCGGGCAATGGAGCCCACGAAAACAGGCCCGTCGAAGGTCCCTCTTCATGCCGACGATGTGGACGAGCGGGTCGAAGCCTTGGGTTTGAACATTGAAGCCTCGCGCGCGGGCATGGATCCACTACCGCACACACATACGCAATTGCGCCTCTCCTGTCAGAATCGGAAACACTAGGGATTTCGGGATGGCAAAGGGCACGAGGGAAGAAGCAATGCCGCCTCCCCATCGCCGTCGCCACTCACCCATTGCACAATGGCGAGCAAGGTGATTTTGTTGCCGAGGTCGAAGCACAGGAAGACGCCGTGCCAGGGCATCGACGCCAGCCGCTCGACCGTGTTGAGATCCGGTGCACCCGAGGTATCCTACAGCTCGACGGTGACCGGGATGTCCAAGTACTCGCGCTCACGCGTGTACGTTTCGTACATTGTTCGCTTCAGCCCGTGTACCTGTGTTGGCAAGATGAGTCAACATGGCGCTCATACTGCCTGGAAGGGGACAGGGGACACTCACGTCCGGGCAGTATCCATAGCGCGATCGGCTGAGCCCAAGAGTCAAGGTTAGCCATCGCTCCCTCATTTCTTTGCGCTCGAAAGAAGGGGATGAAATTCCCGAATTCCTCGGCGGAACGGGATGGGCGGTTCAGGGTCTCCCACAATAGAAGGCTTGTCTGGCCGGTTCCCCGGCTGCCGACGAAGAGGAAGTTCAGGCGGACGGGCTTCGGCGGCGTCGGCGGCGGCGGCGGAGCAAGAGGCGGCGAGGCGGGACCGGCATTCCTGCGCTTGCGACTGAACAGGCTCAGGGCCTTGAACAGCTTCTGCTTCCTGCTGCTGCTGCCGGCGCTGTCACGCACCTCCTCGGAGGTGGTCGGGACCCTGGACGAGGCCGACGAGCCGTGCATGGGCGTGTCAGGGCGGACGAAGCTGAGGCGGGCGGACGGGCGAGGCGGCAGGCCCGATGGGTAGTTGACGACTGGTCTGTCTGGGTCCTCGAAAGCCTGCAGAAAGCGGTCAGTTGACATCAGACACCAGAGTGAAAGGAGGCAGGGTCAACTTACGCGGTGGGCTCCAGTCTGCGCCGCTTGGAAGTCGTCGCCGGCAAATGGATCGTCGCGCTCATACCGAGTCGGAACTCCGTGGCACCATTCCATGATACGCTGGGTATGCTCTTCGGACGACATGATGGGTTGAGCTAGAGGTAGCCGATGTGGCACGTCGCTCGCGTCGAGAAGCTCAAGTCGAAGAATCCAACAGACGAAGCGTGAGAGTGAAGTAGGCTGACGACGTCAAACGATAAAGCCCAAGTTGACGAAGAAATCAACCGAGACGAAGCGCGAGGCGAGAAGAGGTTGCAGCCAGATAGGTATAGTCGTGAAAACTGCTCGTTCTCGTGGAGAGGCAGGGCAGGAATCAAGTCAAGACCAAGCAGAGCCGTGAAAACGATTCCTCTTCGTGGGTGAAGTCAAAGCCGAAGTGAAGAGAGTGCAGCGTCGTGAAAGCAGTTCGTTTCTGTGCACGTCAAACGCGAAGCTAGGTGAAAAGAAAAAACACAGCCGTGAGAACTATCCCGTTCCTGCAAATAGAAAAAGGCAAAGGCGGAGGTGAAAGAGGAAAACAGAGCCGTGATGTTTGTTCGTTTCTTCTCGTCTTCGGTCAGAGCCCCAGCTGAATTGAGGGGAGGCAAAGGATTCTTTGCGTTGCGTGAAGGGTGAGGAAAGAAGAAGAAAGCAGAGTCTGAAAGATTTGCGTGCGAGGCGTATGTCTGCCCTTGAGCTTATAGTTGTGGGAAAAAGCGGTTTGTTTACGCAGCTGGTTGTCAGGTGGGCAACGCGAACGGAAAAGGGGTCCGAGGTGCACGTCAGGGAATGGCCACCGCACCTCTTCGAATTTCGTTGCCCGCTTACAGCTTGATTCACATGACTTTTGTGGGTTAGGGTTCGCAGTTGCCAGCTGTCACTTGCATTCTGTTCGCTGCTACCCGGGCACATGCTCACAAGCACAAACCCCTATGCTCGACTTGCCCGCATCGCCGCATTTGGCAGTTTCAACTCCAAGACGCACTAAGCTCCCTTTCCAATATACTTCTGTTGATAGTAAGTTTTTGAATGTTGTCCCCATCTTACCCCTTGGCTTTGATGCAATCCTGGCAAACGCCCCGAATCACTGCCACCCACCAGCACTGCTCTCTCGTCCTTGCGAGTCGTTGTCTATAATGGCAAACCCCCCATTCTTGGCGAGTTTGTTAGAGACTGGGCAGTATGCAATCCAACCTTGGGTACCTACGTGGACGAGTGGTGGTTCCTCCATATAGATGCTCCCTATTATCATACTCCTCTGCAGCACAAGAGAAAGAGCGGTAACTCGTGGGGACAGGCACGCCAGTCTGGCGGGGATAACTTTCGCTTTCATCTCTAGCACATTCTATGGCTCCTGCCCCGAAGAGCCTGACCCAAGATGGCCAGCTCATCCCACCATCGTACATTGCAGCCGCATTCGTTTCGTGCTTCAGCAGGGCAAAGTGACGCGTCATAATATCCGTCTCCCGTTTCCGACAACGCCTAGGGTGTGCCTGAAACCCGACGTCATAACACCACGCAGAATTATCATGAGCAGCTTACTTGAGAAAACGCCGACCAACACATCACTACAGGATCGGGACGCTCAACCCACGCGTCCAACGCCTGAATCGAAGAATAGGGTATGTTGAAAACGTCGTGCCGGGTTGAACAGGCTTGCTGGAAATGCGACCCCAGCCCGAATCGCAGTATGCCTGCCCATTCGAGACGCACACGTGGCGTGGTGCAAGCCTGGGGAGAACAGCGTGAAAATCAAAGCAAGAAACACAGGACTTGAATTTCAAGTCGTAAAACAGACACCAGGAAGGGAGAGCCGAGCGAGTCGATGAGATATCACTTCACTTCGAGGGCAGACATCATGGTGACGTCGACTCACACGCTGATCTGGCCGTCGTCGTCGCTCTCGTCCGTGTCAAGGTCGGAGCCTTGCTCGGACTGCGTCGAGAATTTAGACCGAGGTCCGCGCAATCCGTGACACGCCAAGTCGAGGTCTGCGCGGACGTCACGTTGGATCTGTATGAAATATCGCCGTAAGCTCCTCAAGCCCTTAAGAAACCCGCAATCCGGCTCATCTGGGTGCTGCGGCGGACACGGCTTATCGTCCATCTTGTCCAGCGGCGTGAGGCTGTTGGCAAAGTCGGCCATTTTGAAGTCGATTTCGCGGCGGTTTCTCCCCTGCCTGCGAGACATCTCCTCGGTATCCGTCGCGCCGCCATCGGTGGCCGAGTCGTACATGGTCTCGTACCCACCGTCGTCGGACGTGTCGCCGTCATAAAACATGAGAAGGCTGGCGGCATAGAAGCGATAGCCGCGCAGGCCGCGGACGATTTGCTCCAGCTGTGCCAGCTTCCTCAGCACCAGCGGTATGTGGCGCAAAACGCTCTCCAAGTCGACCCCGTTGTAGAGAAACTTTTGCAGCGCGTCTTGGAACTCCCTGCCCGCCTTGACCTGGCGGCCAAAGTACTTGTCTTGGAACTCAAAGCTCTGCGTTTGTACGTTCCAGACCTGCAATCCGCAGATGCGCACGCCCAGCTCGGCAGAGGTGGTGGTCCTGCACTTGTCCCGCTGCGACTTTTGCTTCTTGGGCGAGGCGTCGACGCCGTACTGGCGCGTGCCCATCTTGAGATCCATCATGCACGGTCGCTTCATGCCAGCCGTCAGATCCTCCATGAGCAAGAAGTATTCGGCGCGGTCTCTCCGAGACTTTGCATCCATCTTGGCCTCTTTGGGATTGATGGGCCGAGGTATCTTCTTGAACTCCAGCGTTGGGGTGGGCAGTTCTGACGGCCCCGAGGCGTCGGCCTCTTGCGTGTCGACCAGGTCGTAGCTCAGCGCCGGTTCCGCCTCTCCGTTCTGAGCAGCGGCCCTTTGGGATGGTGACGAGGGCGGAGTGCGGTCAGCCTTGTAGTCTGCGTCATCTGCCTCCTCAAAGTACTTGAGACTGCCGCGGGACTCGCGCACGTCTCCGGGTCTTCGTCGAAGCCCGCCAGCAGAGAACCGTCGTTTTTTCTTGAGACCTAACAAATTAACCTTTAATATCTCCGGCTCTGGCGCGCTGGAGCCGGTAATGTCCTTGACTGGGAGTTCGGCGTTGTGGAAGTCGGCCGTCAGGAGACCAGCGTTGGAGCCCAGGCCGGCTGGAGATTCGTCTTGCCGACGCATGAGTGGTGAAATGGACCGGACACCATCGCCGATGTGAGAAACCACCTCTTCTTCCTTATCGCGGGCCAGGTTTGGATCCGAGTTGGATGGTCGAAGCAGTCGCTGGAGTGTCGGCCGTGGAATCGAGCGCTGATGAGGCCGTCTGTGCTTCTGGATCTCGACCGGCTCCTTGAGGAAAGCGTCGTTGAACACCTCATTGCGGAGGCGCTTGTTGATTGTCGTGGCCCCCCAGCTGTTGGGCCTCTCGTCCAGCGGGGGGCGAGGGGACGGTTGCGGCGCCGAGGAATCACACACCCTCGAGGTCGAGATGCTTCGGCGACGAAAGAACTCGGGCGGCGGCGTCGGCTGGAGGAGGTTGCGTGGAAGGATGTGCCTGTTGTCGTCAAACGTCACGGTCGGTATCTGCACATTCGCGTTGGCGAGGGACTGGCTGATGACCCTGGTGGTCGGGACTGTGCGAGCCTGGTCGCCGCTACCAGGCTCGGCCGATGCGCCGCCGTGACCGTTTGCCCAGTCCCCCTTCTTGACCTCTAGGATCTTCTTGCGTTCGGCGGCGGCAGCGTCATCCTTTCGGGCAGTGCTTTTCCGCCGGGACTGCTTTTGAAACATTACATTCAGCACACCGATATACCTTGAGACAAACGTTAGCAACATAGAGCCCTGGGGGAGGGAGGTATCATTGATGCAAACGACGGGACACAAAAAGGCAACAGAGAAATTCTTGGCGACTCGTGAACGACGTACCGGGGCAGGAAGGGGAGCAAGTCACGGTGGTATCTCTCAATCGTCTCGTAAAACTCATTTTCCCTATTATTGAGTTGCTTACAGACGGCCCGGCGAGAGAAGCGCCACAAGGTGGTGTGACCGCCCACCTGATGCTTGTATGGGATAAGCTCAATGGCTTCGAGGGGCTTTCGGGCATGGTGCTGGTGCTCATGCACGTGGTCTTGGTATCGCGTCACGGCCCGGGGCAGTCTCGCGGGCATGGAACACTTGACCTCGAGCTCGTCCTCAACAGCACACTGATCCGACGGCTCGAGGCACACGTCGCCTTTGCGGGACACTGGAGTCTCACGGGGACGCAAGGTGGGAGAGCCAAAGGCCGGCTCATCCTTGTCATGGATTTCGGGCTCCGGCTCCGGCTCATCGGCCTTGACCAGCCACGGATGCGTCTTACTCTGCGAAAGCGACCTGGGTCGCGAGGTACGGACAAGGTCCACGCCGTCACCCGGCTTCATGCGGGCCTCGGGCATCTCCTGGTGAGGCAGGAAGACGGCAGAGGATATCTTCTCCTCGCCCGAGTCGTCGGCGTCCGCCTCGACATGTGCGTCCCCATCAGCGTCAGAGCCGTCGTGATGACTCCGAACCCGCGTTTCGCTAGCCGACTCCGGTTCACTCGCCTCGCCCTCGGACTCGAGTGCCGGACACGGCCCCACTTGTTGAGGCACCTTTGAAGTGTCGGCGTCTTCCTGGCCGGTGGGTTTGACCGGTTGGGGCCGCGTCGGTGAGGCCGCACGGTTGGTCGTGACGATCCCTCGCACGTCAAAGTAGTCTGTCTGTAGCGAGATGGGACGAGATGTTTGTCGTCCCGCAGCAGACATGAAAAGGGTCTGAATGACGGGTGGCGTGGATGCGTCTGCCGGGACGTCGCTCGGTGCCCTGGCGTCTTCCTCGAGTGCCGGCGACAGCTTTTCACGTTGAGTGGGCTTGGCATCCTTGCGACGACCCTTGTCGTCTGGCGGCAGCCCTTCCTTGAAGAAACGTAGGCTGTAGCTGGCCTTGCGACTCCGTGCGTTGGGCTCCACGCCGGCCATGGCTTCCGCGACGGATTGCTCGACCAGGCCGTCCTCTTCATCGCCATCGCCCGAGCCAATAGACCAGACTTTTTCATTCTTCTCGGAACCCAGCGTCAACGCGTGCTCGACAGCTCTGGGGCGATGTGAAGACTTGCGTGGCATGTCGCGCATCAGTTGCGTGGGCAGCATGGGCGTTGACTCGAAGGATTCGAAGGAAGATGCCTTGGTGGGCGTTGACGAGCCGTCGGGGACGCTGGAGTGAGCAAAGGTGTGAGCGTGGAAAGAATCCGAAGTCGATCGGTCCAGCTCAAGGGAGGTCGAGGCCCTACTCGTGGTCCTGTCGAGGAAGTCGCGGTGGTCGAGGAGCATGTCCCGAGCGTGCGTCAGGACGGACTGGTCGTACGACGAGGGCACGCTGGTAGGCTCGCGTCGGGCGATGGAGATGGTGGCGGGGGCAGCCATGGCAACGGGCTGGATCAGAGAGGGCCCGATGTCGCCGTCTCGGAGCGCAACATGGCCGGGAGACGAGAGATCCGTGTCTTGCGACGCGCGGGGGGGGGCAGGCGGCAGAAGAGGCTTGGGCGGCGGCTTGTGCCGATCGGGGCCGTCTTGTTGATGAGTCGTCGGCGGGATGCCGCGGGCAGATGCCAGTGCCTGGCTCAGCAGCGAGCGACTAGGTTGCTTGGGGCCGGCACGAGTCTTTAAATCATCGGCGGGATCCGGATCGCCAGCGCGGGAAGGCAGTGCGATGGCGTCGGCGGGGGTAGGAGATGAGAAGGGGCCATGATGTTCTTGGTCGGGGCCAGCAGGGCTCGGGTTGGAGCGCGCGGGCGTCAGCGGTGCAGGGGGTGCGGCATTTTCGAGGTCAGGATGCGGGCTGGACATGAGGAGAACATCTGGCGCGGCAGGGCGAAGGCGCGGGAGGCGTTGGGGGGTGGTGAGAGGGACGAAGGGGAGGAGGAGTAGGAGGAGGAGGAGGAAAAATGGGGAGGCGGCGACGTGAATGGATGGATGATGGGAGGCGGCCGTCTGTGGGTGGGCGGGCTGTGTGGCGAAAATTAGTGGATGGGCTCTAGCGCTGCTGTCGGGCTGTTCAGGCCCCGTTTTGGGCGCGCCTGGCACTCTGAACGTGCCGCGCTGGGTAGGGTAAGAGCCTTGCTTAACCGCTGGGGTACATGGAGACAAGGACAGGGTACAGGCACTGCAAGATGACTGTTCTGCCTGCTCCGTGCTCGCAAGGACGCGGGCAAGTACCTAGGTAGCACGACGATGGGATCGTGCGGCCACGGCGTCGAGCCACCTAATGCAGGATATCAGTCTTCGCTGATGGCCGAGAGGCGCAGTGAGTCAAAAGCAGCGCCTGAGACATGGAAAAATGTACTGTAACGTGCAAAAGCGATGGGGAGACGCGAGTCGCCGGCTAATTAGAGGAAGAGAAAAAGAGGGAGGACGAGGGTGCATGTGGACGACTGGCTGCCATAAAAGACGGCCACAAGGCTGTTTGGCGGCATCTTAGTGGTCGGGGCTAGCGTCTTGCAGCGCTGCGCCCGCGTTATTTACCCCCCCTCCATCCCACCGGGGCGGGAGGTGGGAATGTCCAGGGCATTTACAGCACCGAGGAACGTGGGGGGGTGTCGGCTACTGCTAGCTACGACTTCTCCCGCGTCCACACGTGGGTTCGACGCGGCGACTGTCGTGGCCTTGGCACTGCTGTGCTGGACGCTCAGCGGCGGGTATGGTGGCTCGCTTGCTGACCCTCCGAGGGCGACATGGCCAGCGAGGTTCTAGCGTCTTGGCTCAGGCCTGAGAAACAAACCCATCGTAGATCATTGCCTCGTCATAACAAAACAAAACGCGGGAGAAAGTACCAAGTACGTATGAGGCGTCTGCTGACAGACACACGGATACTTGCATCAATGAGGTACAGGCATGAACCAGTAGACCCATGCATAAACGGCCCATATGCATGTATCCCGTATGGAACAGTCCATGTCAGCTGCTCGCCGCTCGGCCACCGTGTCCGTCACAAGCAAGACAGCAATATCCCCGAGTCTGGCAAATCATACCTCATCATCTCTTGCGACGCGACAAGATTTGCTAGGCCGAGCTTGTGTCGCCCAGCCGTCGGGTGATTGGTCGTTTCCACGCGGGCACGAGGCTCCTATCGACACCAACATTGGCCGACCCAACGAATGCTCCAACAAGACGCCGCCTGTCCTCGAGCCAATGGCGAGCGGCTTTTTTGACTTGAAGCCATAGAACATGCTTGCAACGCAGCCTCGGACCTGCTTGCCACCATTCGTCGGACTGCGCAACAGTCCTGGTACCCAAAGAAATGACACGTTTCTGCCGCACACCCGATGATTGCAGTGGCATCTGGCCTTTTCCGCTGAGACGCTGAATAGCCATTCCATCAACCTTGCGCTACATCCCATCAAACACGGATGACCGGGCACAGGTACCTGGAGTTACTTCAACACAGCCTCGGAGCGGCGGAGAAAAGGTGCCGGCATACAGCCGATTGTCTGGTTTCTGCCGAGTCATGCCCCGAGGTACGACCAACGGGCTCAGCAACCGCACGACGGGTGATTCATTGCAGTGCCGTTCTGCACGATGCCGTCCCATTCATCCTGATCATCGTGTCCAACCCTCGGCGCGTAAGCACTTTCTCGGACCCTGCCATTTGATAGACAGGGCGGACTGGAGCAGCCCAAGCTTAAAGCCTACTCTACATAATACTGCTCGTCATCCTGGCCTTCTCTCTTATGCCGGGCCTCGTCGGTGGATGCACCGACCAGGGACCTGCGACTCGAGCGTCTCCGCCGATAAAGTCGAGCCGTCGAAAGACGTCGATTGCAGCCTGGAAAATCCCAACACGTTGCACTTCTGTCTGATCTCGGCCATGCTACCCGGCCGCGCTGGCATATGAGTCACATCGAAGCCCCGACTTCCCATTTTAGGTCCAAGACGAGGACACAACCGACAACGATGAACTCGGCCGTCACCATAGCCTATTTGCCGTCCCCGCTGATTCTGCGCTGATGTGACGGCATTCATGCGCTACAAGCATGAGGTAGAACCTCTGACGCATCAACGCCTGGTCGACCTTTTTTCTTGGGCTTGCTGCAGCTACTGTCCACTCCAAAGACCCAGGCCGGGCTAGGGTGCATGGAAACTTCGGACTCGGGTGGTGGACCCTGCTCTGCTTTTTGGGGCGCCAAGACCGATGAAGAGAGCATCCGCCAGCATCCAGATATCACGACGAGGGATATGGACGCTGGCTCGAACGAGGCTGAGGACGCTTCTCGCCTCCAAAACGAACCCGGTGGAGAGTCGATAATGTGAAGAGACCATGGCTTGGAAAAGAGAACCGGCCGCGACGAGAGAGCCGCCTCTTCCTTGTCATTTTTGCATCGAGTGCTGTTTATCCCAGTCTCGCTCGACGCCTTTCAGTGCTTGGCGAGCGATGCTGCAAACAAGAGGTTATGGCAGCTGCATTGTCATCCCTGAACCTGGCTCGTGGTGGTGATGCTATCTCTATTCTCCTCTGCGCCACACGATGAGAGAGGGGGCCGGTAAACGCTACATCAACCGCGAGGTAAATGAGAGATTTCCACAGTCCCCCTCAGACTCCACATCAACCCAGTCCTGGCAAGGCGTTTGGCGTTGAGCCAAAGAATCACACCATCAGCCAGGCGCATGAGCTCACAGCGTGCGGTGGCCATGTGTGGCCCACGCCTGTCTCTCTTTGATACTGAGGCATATTCGTTGGCTCCGGCAAGTGGTCTTCGCATTGTCCCCCACAAATGACGATGCCCGACGTGCAGTCGTCATAATGGACTATGTCCATCAGTGATTCGGGAATAGGCAAAACTCGAAGAGGGCTGGTCTCGGCTCGGAGACTCCATGACGGCAAGGGTATTATGTCAACGATATCTGCACCTGTCCCTGGGATTCTTGAATGATGGACGCGGGCGTCGTCGGACTTCAGGACTGGGCACTCAACTCATCTCAGACTACAATCGACCCTCTTGAAGCCAGGAGCAGGACATCGGCGTCTCAATTCCACAAGTCAAGCTTCCGCGGTACGCAAAAGGAGAGAGCAATGGCCCCCTCTTACAGCGCGCAGGCCCTGTTCGAGGTTAAGAACCTCGTGGCCGTCGTCACCGGCGGAGGCTCCGGGCTGGGCAAGGTCATCGCCCACGCGCTGGCGGCCAACAGCGCCAAGGCAGTCTACATCCTCGGCCGGCGCGAGGAAGCCCTCGTCCAGACCAGAGACTCGTCCCCGAACCCCGACGTCACCCACCTCATCGTCTGCGATGTCACATCCAAGGACTCGTTGGCGGCGGCGGCGGACCGGGTGCGCAAAGACGTGAGCTACTGCAACGCCGTCTTCGCCAACCGCGGCATCGCCATGGCGGGCGTCGGCGACGCGATCCGGCACGTGGGCAGCTCGTCGGCAAAGAGCCTTCAGGAGAAGCTGTGGGCATCCAGCATGGGCGAGCTCACCAAGACGTTCCACGTCAACGTCACGGGCGCCTTCTACACGGCCGTCGCCTTTCTGGATCCGCTCGACGAGTCCAACAAGCGCCTCGTCGTGTCCTGAAAAGCCCCAGGTCGTCATCACGGCCTCGATCGCGGGCTTCTCGCGCATGCCCGAGGCAGGCTTCGCCTACGGGCCCAGCAACGCGGCCGTCATGCACCTGACGAAGCAGCTGTCGACGGTCCTGTCACCGCTCAAGATACGGGCCAACTCCATTACCCCGGGCATTTACCCGAGCGACATGACCGAGTCCACATTTTTCAAGGACTCTGCCAACCAGGAGGGCGGCCTATCCAAGGAGGCGGTGCCGCTGGACCGATGTGGCGCCGAGGAGGAGCTGGCCGGGGCGGCGCTCTTCCTGGCCAGCAAGGCCGGAGGCTACGTAGACGGCAACATTCTCCTGACGGACGGCGGACGTCTTGGCATCATGCCAGGATCGTCCTAGAAGTATCAAGGTACGACGGTTGTGCGCTGGCCAAGCTGCATAGCCTACTTATCGATACTATAGGGACTGATCGAGGCTGGGCGGGCAAGTCTTTCTGCAGTGTGTTTCTAGCTACCATAGGTACGGCCGATTTCGGCGAAGGAGAATGCCCGACATACTAGTTGGTCTCCAAACTCAAGCGGCCGGCACCGGTCGTCGCTCTCCAGCTTCCGTCGAGAAAACCAAGACACTCGGTGGTCCTGTGCTACTAGAAGCGACCAATATCAGGAACAGAAGGTATTATTCTCTCAGAGTTGGGACTACCTATGCCTCCAGTCCTCAATTTAGGTAGGATAAGCTGGGCTCTGGGATTACTTACCCGGTGGCTAAGCCGGAGATTCCAATACGTCAGGCCCACATGTCATTGTGGCTATGATTCGATGCAATAACAGTGAATCATTGGATATGAGCACAGCTGCGGATTGACTTGATCGTACTTGGTGGCTTCGAAGTTCGAAGATGAGCACGCGCGGTGTTTGGTCATGACGAGGTCGAGCATTCCAAATGTTGACACGGCTGGCCCTTCTCGCCCTGGTCGTCGGCACATTTGAACGTGGGTGTCATGGTGCGTCAGCCTGCCGCCTCCTGCTTGTGCTTATGTTTGGGTCCAAGGAATTATTCGAGGGCAGACACCCCTTCGACACCGTGGCAACGAGCACGCTGCAGCCTCCGCCGCTGGAGGAGCCAGAACGGGAGGCGGAGCATGGAGTCCTCGACAGGAGAAGACACGCATCGTGCCCTCATGTCCTCATGCGAGCCACCCATCGCCGAGTGCTACTTTGAGTCAAGTACTGACGCTCATCGAAGTTACGTGCAGACAAGCGTGACACTGCTTCCTAGTCTCGCAGGACATCCAACGGGGGGATTCGGTCAACCCCCGTTGGGGAAAACCAAAGGAGCTGATTACTTCTGACATTCCCGGGGAGGGGGGGCTATGCGTCCGTAGCGTCCTGAGAAGATCGACAAGCGGCCGCGCGGCTCTTCGAAGACCCCCTGTTCCACAAAATGGTAGCGGTCTTCAAGTTGCAGGAAAGCTTAGGAGCATACGAAACAGGAAATCTAGAGGGAGTCTGGCACGATACGAAACAGGGGAGAAGTGAAGTCTTGAGAGAGCTTTCATAACGCGCGGTGACGTGGCTCGCGGACGGGAATTCCAGCAAGAAGACTTTCCTACTGACATGCAACACGTATTCATCTTGCAAGGCGCTGTTTTCTCACGCAGTGCAGCTTGGATTCTCGAAAGCTCAGTTGGAACGTCCAGGCGACGTTGGCACCCCTTCTCGCTTGACGATGCCACGCTGTCAGCCCGCTCATACGCAGCAGGATGCTCGTGATTGCATGTTCTGACCAATCATTCACCTCACCAAGGTCTGAGGTTACGAGCAAATCGGATCAGCTGGATGCAATGGCTTGAAGCCGATGCAATAGCCGACTATTTCCATGTTCGTGCTTCAAACGTGTTGCTGTCAGCAGGCGGAAGCCGCTGATGATCCGCACCAGTAATGCATTTGCCAGAGCGTTCCATGTTTGCCCGGCCAAGCCGTCTTTTGCATATCCGACAGTTGCTGAACACCGCGGGTCCGGCCTCACCGCGTTTCCAGTCTCGTGGATTGAGGCTCCCGACTTGACATTTTGTCCTTTTTTATTTATTTAGGTATCCCCATGCTCGACGTAATCGGTCAGCCATTACGAATATGCCTTGTCTCTGTCCCTGGTTGGCTTACCCCGTGTGGCTCACCGGCAGATTATCAGACACAGCCCGCTTCAGTCGCGACTCACGGCGGACTTTAGGCCGTAGCGCCGGGCGGGCTCGACAAGGACGCCGCTGATTTATCATGTGCTCCACTGGAACCGCCGGAACACTCTTGCTTGGAAGCAGACAAAGCGTCAAGCGGCATGCGGACTGACCTGCTTGAGCCTTGCGGATCCGCTAAATTCTGACGAGATCCCCGTCACGTATGGCAGGCGGCCAAGTCGACGCGGAGGACAGCTTGGTAACCTGGTCCGTCGTTCCGTCGCAAGCTCGGTGAGAACATCTCCTCGTCGGATTTAACAAGGGCACGCAGGAGGTGGACTGAATCACTGTATATATATATATATATATATATATATATGTGCATGTATAAAAACAACGCCAGGGCCCTGACGGCTCAGACATTGCTGGACCCTGGAATCTTCATCACCTTTTGAACGCATCCAACAACCAAACAGACGGTGTTCCCTAGAATCGAACATAGCATCCACGACCATGGCATCCACCGACAGCGGCGTCAGCATGGCCGCCTACGCAGCCCCCTCGTTATTCCAACCTCACCGAGCCCGAGATGCCATCCGGGACGCTCACAAGAAGAAGATCGCGCCTCTGCTGGGATACTACGCCGGCCTCAGCTCGATACCCATTACTCGCTTCTTGGCCCCCATGAACTTCGACGTGGTCTGGATTGACTGGGAGCACACGTCCTGCAACGTCGAGACCATGACAACCATGGTCCACGAGGCCATCTTCATGAGCCAAGGCCGTACTATGCCCTTTGTCCGAGTCCCGGGCCACGACCATGCCGCCATCGGCTACGCTCTGGATGCCGGTGCCAGCATCGTTGTCCCTCAGGTATGGGCCTGGAGACAATACGGACTCGAGTGCATGATGCTGACTTGGCGGTTGCAGGTTGATACCGTGGAGCAGGCTCTGCATGTTGTGTCGGCGGCCAAGTTTGGCACTCGCCAAAGAGGAACACGATCTGCGCCGCCTTTTCGGCTTATCCCGTTCTTGACGGATACGCCGTACGACTCGAGCCGGGACATTTACACATGCCTCAACGACCAGGCCGCCATCATGATCCAGATTGAGACACTCGAGGGTAAGTCTCCAGATTCGGATCTCACAGCATCGGGCGAGGGGGCTAACAAGGCGCCAAAGGAATCAACAACCTCGACGCCATCTTGACCGAGGTCCCGGACATCGACATTGTCTGGCTGGGCAGCCTCGACGCCCGCATCTCCATGAACCTGCCCGGCAACTTTGGCCTCGGGGGCGACGAGCCAGAGTGGATCGCAGCGACAGACAAGTTCTTCAAGGTGCTCGACAAGCACGACAAGCCCTACGGCGGCTTCTCCTTTGTCCAGCCCCCCTTCGGCTCGGCCGAGGGCTTCAAGAAAGCCACCGAGCGCATGTCGTTTGTCATGGCCTCTGCCGACGTCATGCACCTCGCCAACCTCAACGAAGACCTCAAGATTGCCAGGGGGCTTGTCGAGGAGGTACGGGTGGCGAATGGCGCGACCAAGAACGGGGACGTCAGCCGCGTGGAGAAGCTGGCTCTGAAATCGAACGCGAAAGAGATTCCGAGTGAGTCTGCGTGAGATGTAAATGGGAGAGTGGCGATGAAGGGAATAATGAATACGTAGATAGATAAACTTTGTAGACTTGAACACGAGCATTGCCTGTCATGTACATTCAGGCTTGACCTACTGTCCTACTCTGTCCAGCTCTTGCTCATCACCCGTACGACCCATGGCTCGTTGACGTCCTCATCACCTGGCAGAGAGGGGAGCGAGATGGTCATCAAATCTGCGTAGTGGCGCTGCGGCGGATAGTAACGCAAATACTGAAGATTGCAGCTTCTCACCTCGGCGTAGGCCACGTTTAATCCCCATGATTCTCTTTGAAAGAACAACTCTCTTCAGATAGGCGTCGTCAAGTGTGTACTTGTTGGAACACAATATCTGAACTTGAAGCTTGAACACGCACGCACGATGCATCCTCTGTCGAATCTTCACTTCTGACAGAATAAAATAGCTGTTCCCTTCTCTGAAGAGAACCATGAATTGACAGGAGCCAATAATGCTTCGAATTTTCGCGTAGTATTCTCATTCGTGACCTGGCACGTGGATGATGCAAGCGCATCTCCCGTGTCTTTTGAAAGAGGCATGGTCTTACACGTATTCGCCATCTGAAACACGTCGGGGAGAGCAACACCGGCGGGATGACGTGGAGGCTTGCTCCGGGCGATGAACTCTCGGCACTTTTGAACCCGGTCGACTCTGCTCGCGTCGCCAGCCGAGACATAAAGAGCCGCAAGGGAGGCTGTTGCCTTGCCGCACTGCGTGCCATTGATCCCGCGGGGCCCGCCGAAATCACAGATTAGAGCGTGAGACCGTGAGTCATGAATAGACGTGCCCGAAGGATTCCATAACCAGGCCGAGCGCCGACCACCACTGCCACTGATGCCTTATTTTCTGGGCTTTGGTACGCAGGATGGAACTTGGCATGAGCCGTGTATGAATTTCGAGTTGTTCGGATCGAGAGACGGATATCTTTGAGCACACTTAAGCGCCTTAATAAGTCGTTGAAGCCCATCAGGTTGCGAACGAGCTTGCGGCCTCGGTCTCGTTTTTCTTGTCCTTCTACCAGCCCTTGTCAAGTTTTGCTACCGCTTCCGGATCATCCGACCCGACGTAGAGAGGTGAGATTTCTCCCCAGTATACACAATTCTAGGAAAGTCCAAAGACATTGTTTAAACAAAGACCCCTTGATATAAAGTTGCATTGAACCCCGTCTTTCATAGGCGATTTCCCGGATTGAAGCTTTTCTGAGAAAAAAAAATGCAAAAGAGACTGCTTTGATGCCTTTGATTTTATTACATGTTTCCGAATTATTCCAAGTGTTGCGTTGGTTATACAGGTCGCCTCCCATTAACACGTCCAACTCGAGCATCCACCCCCCCAACCCTCTCTGTTCCGCCTCTTCTCTTTAGAGAGCTTGTCGGCAGGATCAGGATACGAATCGCAACAGCCTTTGCATCCGTTGGAGCGTTCATCCTTTGCCTGCCTGGCCGCTAGTCTTTTCCCAGAGTTAAACTTTACGACACCAGTCCTTAGAACTGCCTATCTTAGCGACACCCAGTCGGCATTGCCTCTGTCCTCTACAGGCTCAAACAGTTTCTGTTTCGAATCTGTGGAGGGCACGGCAATCTTCCACATTATTGGGCTGCACATGACCCATTGGGCGGGTGACGTACGTGTTAATACAGGCACCGGGATAATATGAGAGGATCTGCTGATCGACTTACTGCTTTTCGGGCTGGATCCGCGACAAACTATATCAACGCTGCTGGGCGAGGCATTGGTGAAGCGGCGCTGCCCCAGCTCATGACAGGACCAGTGGGCCACGTATGGCGGGATGCGAGGTAGTGTTCTCCATTGTCTCGCGATGCAAGAGTGGCGATGCACTGGAGCAGAGAAACTGGGTAGCAACGATGTCGATGAGTCGTCGCAACACTGTCATCAACCGATACTGTCAGAAGTGCGACACGAACGTCTTCCCGCGGCTCAGCTGCTGAGGTTCGAGTCAGGGCAACGGGCAATGCAATATGGAATCAAGGGAAGAGGTTGTGGGGGGGCGGGACAATTCTACGGGGACAGGTTCCCGCTCAACAGCAGGGAAAAAGCATCTAGTCACCGAGCAATGGTCTTTCCAGGGACGAACAGTGCAATGACGGCATCCAAGGCGTGACCGAGAGCGAGTCGAGAGATGACAAGGCGACTGTACAGACTGACGCCGAGCTGAACCAACGACAAGGGCCTGCATTTTGGAGGATTCTGACACGGCAACCGGATGCAAGGTCCTCGACCGAGCGTCCGGTGCGGTGCTTTGCCAGCTTCCCGGCAGTTGCATTTCATAATGATAGCGTGAAGAAAGAAAGGCGCCCGGCTCTGCTGGTTTGCCGGCGGCCAAAGCAACAGGCGCCCGGAGAAGGCAAACCATCCGGCCGAGTTGCCGCCGTCGAGTGTCGAGCCAATGCTACTGTGCGTGTATGCAGATGTGGAACACTCGTTTTGTCTTCGAGTCACTGTGCCAAAGCGGCTCGTCACATGTGGACCTGTTGTTCCAACCGTGCCAGGTCTGTCACAGCCGACATTTACACGGCACGATTCAATAGCCACCGGTCAAGCTATCCAAGTATCCATCAAGCTTCCCCTGGCCGTGGCTCGGCGGCTAAAACCGGGGACTCCGCAAGCATGCTACCCATCACTTCCCGGCTAGTCTCAGTTCCGAAACAAGCGGCAGGGCGGGCTTGTCCCAATGAAGACTCGTGGGCAAGTATAGCAAGGGAATAAGCGCCTCTTCGTGCCGTGGCCCGGGAAAGCTGTAACATGGCCTGGGCAGGACGGTTAACCGGCACCGCAGAAGTGCACATAGCGTCAGGGGCACTCTAACCGCCCAGCCAGGTTTCCTGGTCTCCATGCCGCGCAAGTGCAATCCCGGACCAGTTCGAGGGTTCGGCCACTTTAAACTAGCATCGATATATAAGAAATGAACGGCAATGTGTCAACGTCGTTGCTTCCCCTGGGACCTGCGAGTCCGGCCGCTTCTTCTACAGTCCCTACCAGCAATGGCTAGGTCATGGACCACGGTACGAGTCTCTTCGTCGCCCGTGTAACATGAGGCACCAGAGACAGACTGGTCCACACATCAGGCAGCCTGACCTCCAGAGACTGGGGCTCGGTCTGGGACGGCCTGACTGTTGCTTTCAAGTCGCCAAGCATAACCAGGGGCCCAGGCGGTAGGCTCCTTTGCATCAAGCACGTCTCGACAACTGGCTGACTGTCGGTAGGTCTCGGGTATGCCGCCATGGCTGCGTGGAAGGAGACGCTCTCTTGGCATGTCCAACAGAAAGCCAGCACGAACGAGAGGGCTGGCCCGGCGTCCGTGTTTGCCGTCGAGAACCGGATTCTCTTTGCGGGCTTCCTCATCACACTAGCTTTTAGCTATACCCAAATCCCGTAGGTATGAGGCTCGCCTACCGATGCGTGGTCCATGCTAACAGAACACGGACTATTCTACGTTATCCGTCTTATGGAATGCGATACATTCTACGATGCGAGCCCTCCCTACGGCGGTGATGGCGACCGGTGCAGCATTGCCGAGATTGCGGCCAGGACAGCCACGCAGTTCAGCATCTTCAACATGTCCACGACTCTCTGCGGTATGTCATGCGGGCTGCCATCGCGAGATACAGAGCAGTTCTCACATTTCTGCAGGAATATTGAATCTCTTCGTGGCCAGATGGCAGGTCCAGAGGTTCGGTCCACGAGCTGCTCTCGTGGCCCAGATCTTTGTCCCCGCCATCCGCGTAGCCGCCCAGATCCCTGGTGTCCTGACAGGGAAGAGAACCGGGATTGCAATACTCCAGGCCAGCCAGGTCATCACAATATTTGGGGGGCCTGCGGGATACTTGTGAGCAAAGAATGGTCCAACGTCTCACGAGATGCCTCGCTAACAGCCGTGCCAGTTTTGTCATCAACATCATCGCCGGAGGTGTTGTCGAGCCCGCACGACGAACCGCCATTTTCGGGAAGCTCCAAGGATGCATCATGCTGGGGGAAGGGATTGGGTTCTTAGGTGCGAAGCAACAACAACAATAACAACAATGAAAGACGTTGTGTGGCTAACCTGTAACCAGCGGGTGGAATGGCTGGCAACGCCTTCGACATCAGGGCGCCGTTCATAATCGCCTTCACCTCGTTCTTGCTCGCCGGCGTATACGCAAGAGCCGCCATCCCGTACATGGCCCCAGACTCGGTGCCGGTCGAGAGCAGGCCGAGCCAAGGGGGCGTATCTACCATCTTCGCACCCTTGAAGATCGTTCTGCCGCAGCGGCTGCGACTCGTCGATGGCAGAGTGACGAAACACTACGGGGTCATGTTCCTCTGCGGCGGTTTCTTTCTCGGAGTGGTAAGTCTTGGAATTGGATATGAGTCTCCCATACGTGGACTGACGGCCAATCTTGACGTCCAGCTCGCCACCGGCTACGCGCCCTCCCTTATTCAGATGTATGCCGCGGCGGACTTTGACTTCAACCAGGCCGACAATGGCTGGCTAACGTCCGAGTTCGCTTTCATGAGGGGCTTGGTTCTCATATTCATCTTCCCACGCATCGTAACGTGGGGGAGGAGATGGTTTTCGTCTGCTACGCCGACTCCGGAGCGATTTGATGAATCTGGCGAGGCTTCCGCGGCATTACTGCCGAGCTCTCCTGGGCGGTGGGATGCAGATGCAGAGGGGTGGGCACGCGAGGAGCTTGTACGCCTCGATACCTGTGATCAAGGACGTCGTAGCCGCCTTTTCGACCTCGTGTTCCTGCGATGGAGTCTTGTCGTCGACGGGGCTCTTACGACGATGGCGGCGTTTAGCACACGCCGGTGGCATGTGTATCTGGGTAAGTTATCACCGTGGAGTCTGCCGCGCGAAACAAGCCATACATCTACGAGTGCTGATCCGTTCTACAGCTGCCTTGGTCCTGCCCTTTGGATCTGGGTCCGCACCTACAGCCAAGGGCATCATTTCGGACATGTGCAGCGAGTCTCAGCGGGATGATGCCCTCCATACAATCACGTTGGTGGAACAGGTGGCAAAGCTTGCGGCCCAGGGCCTGTTCGGTTTCGTGTTTGCCAGCCTGGCGGAAGAGCGCAAGGCCTACGGCACATTCTTCTGCAATGCGGTGAGCATGGGGCAACCCATTGATCCCTTTGACGATCTTGTACTGACCCCTGTGCTCCAGGCTGTTGCTGTGACGGCCATGGCCGTACTGCTATTGTCAAGCTTCCCGCCAGCCAACAGTACTTTGATCGACGAGACGGCGTACGGCGAGGACCTCGCTGTTTCGGAAATAAGAACATGGCGCGCCAAGACGAGCGTGCAAGAAGCAGACAGATAGAGCAGCGTAGCGAACGTGGCCGAGAAACAGACCGATTTGATTGCCAAAGGGCGGAGGCCGACAATAGAGCATCACCATCGATCCAGAGGCATATTTGACGGGGACGACATTCTAGATGCTAGAGAGACACGGCCTTGATACTCGACGCGTGGCGCCAAAGCAAACAAAGTCTTCACATTCGTTATATTTTTGTCAAAAGGGGCACGCACCCGAGCCTCTCAAGACATGCTACCTCCGGGGTCAAATGAAGGAGCCCGAGACTTGAGGTGAAGTAGCTTGGCCTCGGTGCAAGAGGCAGCAAACTTCGTCAACGGCGGGATGCTGAAGCATTGCACGGATGTCCAGTCCTCCACCAACACCATAGCTTTGGGTAACCCTTGCTGTCCAATCAGGCACGGCGTGAACAACGTCTGGTGCCGAGACAGCCATGCTGCTTCCACTTTTGGCGCGGTGTAAAGTCGCGCACTCCGAATAGATAGTCACTGCTTTCCCGGGACCTCAAAACACCCGCCTTACCTTGTCAGCCCTCGCTTCATCCTCTCCCCATCTGTCCTCCCACAGATGCGCCTCGACGTAGCGCCAGCCCATGGGCGCCCCGCCCATCTGCCACCGGTCCTTCATCTCGGCGAGCGTCACCGGGCAGACCAGCTCGTGCAGCTCGAGCACGGGGTACCCGTATTTGGACTGCTTGAGCCCGGCGTTGAAGTCGTCGTTGCCGATGCCGAAGGGCTCGGTTGGCACGGTGCCGGGGGTATGGCGTACGGTAGCCGGTATGACGGCGATATGTCTGCGTACACGTCAGCACAGCGGCGAGCGGAGAGGGAGGGAGGGAGGGGGAGCATACGTGATAGATGCCCGGCCCTTGCCGCCGTCGCCCGTCTCGTACAGCCACAGCCTGGTGACCCCGTCCCGTAGCCGGTACTTGCGGTACTCGTGGTTTTTCTCCCGGCTCACAACGTTGGCCAGGTGGACAGGCTTGATGGCAATGAGCACGTCGGTCAGGACGCGATCGGTGGCGGCTGCTGCGGTTGCTTTCGGCCGGGCCTTGAGCTTGGCCGGCGGCGGCTTCTTGGATATCCGGTGCGTGGCATCTGATGCTAACGTGGAGGAGGCTCGTGGGGCGAGAGAGGCGTCGAGCGTGGTTTGCGTCAGCGATGAGCGTTTGGGCGCCATGCCGATGGGCAGACGGGCAAGCAATAAACGGTGCCAGGAAGCATTTCGTTGAACGCGTCTTGGGAAGCACGAAGCAAGACGCGTGGATGACTAACTTAACAATTGCCGGGATAAGGTCGCGTAAAGTGCCTCGGCAGAGGTACCTATGTACTCCGTACCTCTCTAACCCCTGTTTGAGAATGACATCTGCTTGACTTCTTCACGTTCCTCGTCTTCCCTCAGAATGGCCCTCTGCAGATATTCGACGGAAAAAGACCTGAACAGCCGCTTCGGATTCTGCATCCACCGCTGCACCTCGTCCCAGATACGGCGCAACCCCTCGGCACCGTTGCCCCCGAAGCGGCTCTTCAGCCGTGCGAAACTGCACAGCCCGTCGGACCCCAGCAGCGTCATGGCCTCGTACCCGCCCTCGCCGACGTACAGCGCCTTGGACAGCTTCGCACCGCTCCAGTCCACGACGAGCGGCGCGTAGAGGATATGCGGCGTCCGTCCCGCCGCCAGGCCCGTGGCTGCCGACCAGGCCGCCAGAGGGCGGTAGAGGAACACCTCCTGGTACGTGCCGGCGTAGTCGGCTCCGGTGATGCGCACGTGGTGCGCGCTGGTGTCGAGCAGGTGGCTCATGCTGCGGAGGAGATTGCGTGCCGGCGTGTTGGCCTCCAGGCGGGCCACGTCGGCGGGCTCCGAAATGCAGATGGCGTGGGGGCCGTGGCGCGGGCAGCGGAAGGAGATTGTGGCCTCATGGTACTCGTTCAGCCGGCCGTGCTTTTCGGCTAGGCCACAGCCCGCCACGGGACATGCAGCGCGGAGGCCCAACGTCCCGTACTTGGGCGACAGCTGGCGCCCGAGCCCGTCGTGTTGGGCTACCATGTAGCCGACGAGCGAGGGCATGGCCGGGCGGGAGAACAGGTCGGACTGGAAGGCCGTCGTGAAGGGTACGCCGGACCACGAGGACGAGAGGCCCAGCACCTCTTGGTAGTCGGCCATGTCCGTGTCCAAGGCTCCGGGGACGTTCCTGTAGCACCTCTGGTATTGGACCCCGCCCATCTCGACGCCCTGCCCCTCGACGGGCGCCGTGTCAACAAACGTCACTTCGACGGAGACGGGCGGCGGCTGAACGTCTGTGCCAGCTGCCGTGGCTCGCATGCTGTCGCGGACCGCTTGAGCGAGCAAGAAGGCATAGCAGAAAACGACAAGCGTGCCTGCGTGGGGCGAGTTGTTTGGCTGCACCCCGGCGTGGATGACGATGGGACGAGTCGGGACGCCTTGTCGCGGGCAGTGCTTTGGGTCCGCCTCGTCCGTCATCGGGGACCGGAGCTCGTCAGAGACGAGAGCAGCCAAGACGGGCTCGACGACGCCGTGCTCAAAGGCATAAGCGCCGCCGCCGAGCGGATCGTGTACCTGGCCGTCATGGAAGGTTGCAAAGACGGGCTTCTCGGGGCTCAGGGTGGGAACCAGGTCCTGGATAGCGGAGAGGATCTCTCTGCTTGTCGTTGGCGAAGAAGCGCCATTCGTCAGGAGCCGGCTTAGCAGGCTGACAAGATTGCTGGCTGCAGCGGCGCGACCCGAGACGGATGATCTCATGCTCTGCTGGGCTGTGGCGTCCTTCATCAGTGCGACGTGGTGAAAGGGGCCGGCCAGTCCAAGGACACCGTTGAAGGTTATTTGCCGAATCACGTCTGCACGTCTGCAGCAGAGCAGCTAACGAGCAGCATGGTACTGATGCCTTCATGGGTAAGCGCCCCATTATATGCTCAGGGCCTCGGGCACCCGCGAGCCAATGGGAACCCTACCCGTCTCACTTCACTGACTGCATTGCCGTTTGCTGCTGCTGCATTGAGCATCTGGGTATGCTTCATGGCCCTATAGCGGGGCTACGTCCCTCGGCTAAGACAGTTACCGCAATAACAAGACGGGAAGGGAAGCATACGCATTCACTCGTGTGTTCATCAGGAGCACACACCGCTCCCCAGAGCTGCTTGGGGATGGGGGATGGGATATAAGCCCTGTTTGCCGCATATATACCCCAAACAGAAGCCAAGAGTTGTGAGTATTGACGACGGCCAGTGATTGAGATACAAGTCTTGTGCCTTGCATTACCACGCTCTACGGCGTTGGACTCATGCGGCGAATGCTTCCTTATTGCTCCAGTTCCTCCTGACGCCCAGCCCTCAATAGGTTGGCTTGGCGGTGACGGTGGCCAAAGTCGTCGAGGGACAAGGCGGAGGCACCAGAGTAGGCCACGGCTTGCAATCAGCCACGCAGCTGTGGCCAAGACGATGTCAGTGTCTGCCTGGAGGATCGAAACAACACCCCCGTGCTGGAGACGAGGAGAATTCGGGTTGATTTGGGCACTTACGTTCCGTACATCATGCCACAGCTGTTGATCATGTCGATACAGACTGTCCGAGTGCGGCAGTCGTCCGTAGGCGTAGGCGTAGGCGTTGGCTTCGTCGTCGGGCAAGGCGGCGGCCGCGGCGGCTTGTCGGTACAGATATTGTAGCACCTGGCGGTGGAAGAGGTGAGACTGGGCACCGGCTTATTGATGGATGGGACAAACAGCTTCACCTACCCCCCCCAGCGCTGGCCACACTTGGTGATGCCGTCAACGCACTTTTTCGGGCACTTGGACGGCGTAGTGGCGCCAGCTATGCTCGCCAGGCCGGCCATGGCGATGACCAGAGCGTTCGGTGCAATCATTTTCAAAGGAGGCTTCCTCGGATATTCGTCAGTGCAGCGGTGGAGTGTTGACACAGTCGAGGAAGCGGCAAAGACTGTGGTTTCGCGGACTCAGACGCTGGCATGAGGGACAGATGTTCGCCCTTTAAATAAACATTGCTGCAAGTTTCCTACATAGGCGTCGATGGCATGACGGGAGGGGCCTGGACTTTCTCGCCTGCGGCTGAGAGCTCATGTCACAATGCCACATACCAAGACAAGCTGTTCGGCTCGTCTTATTCGCTCGGCCCGTCGGCTCTACTGCAGTGTAATGCGGCGCCTCGGTTCGACGCGGCGGACGGAGTAAGCTTATGAGTCTCAACGTACGACACAAACATGACGCCAAGACCCGTTGAAGCTGTCAGCTGCCGAGAGTCCAAGACAAGGCGGCCGGACGTCGTATTCAGACAAGCAGGGAGCACCGGCCCCGGAAAGAATCACCGTCAAGCGACATGGCGATACCGTCACACGGCCCTTGCCAGCATTTACTTCCACACAGCTCAATAGCAACGACTAAAACGGAGTAACTCCTTGAGCCAGGCGAACATGAGGGGAAGGGGGGAGGCACCGGCTGCCCCTCGATTTATACGAGCTTACGGCGTATGTGTGCTGCTTATTGATGTAGGCTGCATGGGGCTTTTGCACTCTACAGGCCTCGCAGGGTAAGCTTTCACTATGATGATTGGATCGACGGGTTATAAAGCGGCTTCGGCGCAGGGAACTTTGGATCGAACCGCTGCAGGCCTTGAGCCGAGATCGATGGTATGCTTCCGCCAGACTCCGGGCGGCATCGAATGCAGGTTGGGCCGCTTCGAGCAGACGGGATGTAAATAGATGGGACGTGGATACGGACCAACAGCTCTCGGTGCCTCGTTGAATAGACCAAGAGTAAACTTACAGCGTGTGAAGTGGATGTTAGACCAGTCCCCTGCTGCTTTCTCCGCGCGTTCGCCCTGTCTCCGTGGAGTTGGATAATCACCATCTGCGCAACAACAGCCACGTAAATAAGCCAAGAGCATTGAGCCGCACATGCAGCCAGCCAACCGCTGATGCCTCAACCGGTCACTGGTCAATTCAATCTTCGCCGGGGGCAGGTTTGCGCTTCACCCCGGCGCTCAAGCCCGTCGCCGGTCCCGGAGCCGAGGGCGGCAGCAAGAAGCGCTCCATGCTGACAATGGCCGAGCGACTCGGCTCCAGGAGCAGGTCGAGGTCACGCTGGTTGAACTGGGAGATCTGTGCCTCCGCCTGCCGCCGCCGCAAGTCCCAGTCTCGGCGATCCTTCTCGTTGCGCTGCCACGTCTTGGTCACCACCAGAGTATGAGGCGAGCCCACTCGCTCAGTTACTTGGGTGCAGTCGATGGATGCACTCAAGAGCTGACTTGCCAGGTGTTTCCGCCGCTGCTCAGCCATGGAGAAGCGCCCCTGCCTCTGCGCCGGGGCCGTCAGGAAGGCGTTGAGCCGGGCGCAGTCTTGACAGTCGCAGGACACGCGGGGCCGCACGAGGTTGTCATCTTTACGCGGCTTATGCCCGAGGCATATGGTAGGGTAGGCCTTGAGCAGGGCCGTGCAGAGAAGCCGATAGCAAGGAGTGGCGAGGGGCACGCCGCGAGCATGCAAGATGGCGAGGAGAGAGCGCAGGAACGGCAGCCATAGGGAGTGGAATTCCGAGGCTGGCAGCCTAGGAGCGTCTTGGACGATTCTCGAGACCGAGAGCGCCACGAGATCCTCTGCCTCTGTGCTTATCTCGATGATGGTGGAGAAGAAGTCGGCCAGCGCTTCAGGATTGATAGATGTCCGGTCCTCGACCCTTTGCGGTTGCTCAGAGAAGTTTGGCTGTCCGTGCGGCGTGACCTGGTCTTGCGTCTCGCCGCGAATCTGCGTGAAATCGGTCAAGTCGATAAAGGCTTTGGCTACTGTCCGGCATAGGACCATTGACTCTTGCAAAGGTCCAACGCCCTCGGTGATTCGATCTCGTAGCTCGGCCACGAATCCAAGCAAGAATGCCGCGTTGGAGAGCTTGCCCCCGGCCACGGGCGTCATACTGCGGAGGCATCTTATCAGCATTGAACATGAACGAGCCCATTGCAGGAACAGGGGAGCAAGGGAGGCATAAGGCTGGTGCCACGCACAACTGCGAGAGAAAGGCCGAGGGGTCGTCAAAGTACAAGGCAAGGTCGACGACAGCCCGTCCGTCTTGGTTGGCGAACTGGGTGCATCGGCCGGCTTCCAGGCATAGGCGCAGGGTCTTGCGAGCCCAGTCGAGGACTCGCTCCGGAATCGACACGTAGTCGCCAGCCATCTTGCTCTTCGGAAGAGGTGCAAAGGTTGTGACGGCCCTGACTTGGTCGGCGAGATGAGGGTACGCCAAGACTGCTGAGGAGGTTCTGTTACTGATTGTCAGTTTTGATTCCTGCCATTGACGCAAAGCACTCCGTCGTGCCTTCAAAGCTCTGGAAACGACGTAAAGGACAAACGTACCCCTTTTGAATCTCATTGAAATGCCCAGCGTCGCCACCGAAATCGGCACCCAGCCACTGACGCAGCCAGACAAAAAAGGCGGCCGGCAAAAGGCCTCGGTGGCGAGCCGCAGCCTTTTCAAAGAAGTCGTATCGACCCTGCTGCACCGCCGCTCTCAAGACATCACGTATGCCTTGTGCATCGAAGGGAGCCTCCGGCCGCCGTAATGACCAGTGGACTTCTGGCCGCGGCTCATCTTTCCACGCCGCCTCGCACAGGTTGACGAGTGCAGTCGTCAGAGTCTGCGGAGCCTGTGGTTCCAAACAGGCGCTGGCATAGTATCGAATAGGGGCTCGGGTGTGGTGAGGCTGGCGGACATCAAGACCTCTTGGGCTGAACAAGGAGCCGACTGAGTCGCGGCGAACGATGATAACGGCCTATAGTTTCCATCACAGGGCTTAGTGGGTCGCAGACAACGACGAAACACAAGAACGACGACTGAGGGACGGCATACCGCGATGCGATACCAGTGTGTTGCAGTCATCCCCTAAACCAAAATTCAACGTTAGCAAACGGGGTTTCCAGCTTTCATTCCGGCCTCGGGGTCCAAATCAACAGACCTCGTTGCCCGTGTAACCATCACACTCCTTTTCATCTGCTTCAAGGTTCGCGAAGCAGTCGTCCAGGAGGCTGTCATCATCCGGAAGGGGCAAGTTCTTCGTCACTACACGGCCCTTCAGATCGACAAGAGTCTTGGCTTGATAGGACGTTTCAAGCAAGTCCTCAATGGTGTAGTCCATGTCATTATACCAGGGACTTTCGTCCCACATGTCAACTTCTATGTCATCTTCATCGCTGCATTCTTCCATGTACTGCGGGTATGGCTCCTCCGAGCAGCCTCCCATCTCCATCTTCTCCAGAAACGCGAGAAAGATGTCGACGGGTAACTGGTCCGAGACGTGCTCCAGAGCCTGGACCTGGGCCAGATCGTGAGTCTTCAACGCCTTGAGCGAGAGGTTGGCTTCGGTGTATCTGTGATCGAGCACGTGGTAGAGACACTCGGTGCGAGACGAGTCCTCATCTTGGGCAAGCCAACGCCCAAAGGCCTGTCGAAGCGCCAGCACACTGGCCTGCTGCAAGCCTGCCGACGGAGGAGCCGTCTCAGCCGACGAGAGGGCAAGGTTGTAAGTGAGGACCCATCGGTAGCCCGAGGTGACGGGGAGGACCTCGTGCGACACGTCTGAGTACCAGCAGACAAAGGACTGGGCAGCCTCGGACGTCTTGAGGACCTTTTGCTGCCCGCCGTGCTTGAGCACCACTTCTCCGCCCTGGTGCGCTGACGGAAGGCAGATGACGAGGGTGCCGAACATGCCGGGCATCTTTTCAGTACTGCTCGGCCAGACACATCAGCTGTCAGATGGCGACGGCCTGTCCTGAAGTGATTCCCCTGAGGGGAGAGCCTGGTGCTTGAAGCCGCTGCAGAGGAACTCACTCGGTATGCGCCTTGAACATGGCGCCCTTCTCGTATATGAGCATCTTGTAAAGCTCAGCCCGGATGGCCGCATTGATGCCTAAATTCTCGGCGACATCGCGACACAGATCCCGCAAGAACAGCGGCCAGCCCGAATGTCTAAAGGTGAACTGGTCCGGGTCCAGCTCCCAGGTGTTCCGGACGGCAGTGTCGACAATGGTGTCGCCTCTTTTGCCAAAGGGCGCTTGACGAGCCTTTGCAATGAGCTGCTGCGCTTGAGACTCGCGCAGCGGCATGGAGATGTCGCCGACGCCGCGCACAAACAGGCCGGCAGGAGGCACTTTCGGCAGCACGCCGAGCGATGCAAAGGACCCCGGGGCGCGGATGGTGGAGAGGGCGCCGAGGACGTCCTGCGTCGCCTCGTCGGCGCGAGCTTCCATGTTTCCGTCGACGGAGCTGGCCATTGGTGTCGTCGGGGGGGGGGAAGTCGGTGTCTCAATACTTGGTTGCAGGTTTGTCGATGGAGCCACGTTTTGTCGACCATGGCGGCCTCTTTCAGTGCTTGGGAGAAGTTGGAGCCGGGGGGAGGGACATGTATATCCAAATGCAAACGGATCTACAGTACATCTCTAGTGCTCACTGTCGATGTGAAGACGCGTCGTGGGGGTGTGGAGGCGACGCGTCGAGCAATGAATCCTGAACGGTGGGGGGGAATATGTGCAGTAGTAGATATATATGCCGAGTACGGAGTACGGTGAAGCATTTGACAATTTATAAAGCGTCGGACAGTAATTAAGTGTGAAGTATACGAAATACGCATGCACAGACATAATAATGGCACGCGCATTATGCTTTGTATACTCTGTATTTGTTGACAGTTGCACAGAACACGGAAAATCAGACGATCGACAAGGATAGGGTTCCTGCTGCGTCCTCTGTACTGTCCGAAGTGCAGCTATTTCCAAGGTTCAAGGAGACTGAGCCCCTGTCGGCATTAGGCTACCGGGGATGAAAGCCGGCGCCTATTTGGAGCCTGGCTCCCAAAGTGATTGGCCGTCCAAAGGTGGCTGTAGGCGGTCACCCCGAATTTACTCTTTCATTTAGTTACAGTGCATGCCTCGTTTCTACTGAGCCTTTGGCTACAAACGCCCATGGGCTCGGAACTTGATACTGCTCGTCCGTTACGAACTGGGACTTTCCGTGAGAACAGACTGCCACAGCAAGATGATTGGCCGCCACAACGATCGTCTATTCCTATATCTACGGACACCGCCATAAAGAGTACTCTGCGAAGGCAGTCCACTCATCGTCAAACGGCTCCATGACTTGGTCGGCCCACCCGGCCTCTAGCCATCCATGGGTATATTCCACCCCGTATAACAACTTGCAATACTCCCAGTACTGGGGATACCAACCAGCCTGCCCCCAATCTGTAATACCCACGATCGTTTGAGATCCGGGGATGCCCGACACAACAATATTTCCAAGGGTGAGATCCCCATGGGTGAAGGATATGTTGCCGCTGTCGGGGAAGAAGTCTCGATAAGGCCCAGCGACTCCATCAGGCGCGGGTCTTTGACCAGTGGCTGCAGCGAGTAACCAATCATTAAAAAACTTGATTGTGTGGAATGGCCCTTCTTCATAATCAGGCTTGAAGAACCTGTCTTGGACAGTCCCGCCATCGACAGATACTACAATCGGTAAGAAAGAAAACGAATCAGAGAGAGGGTTGAGAGACATGCCGATAAAGCGGCGAGGCGAGTCTTGGTGTGACGGTACAAGTGCACGAACAAGGTCGGGTGCGACTTGGGTAAAGTGATTGTCTACGAAGAGAGAAGGAGGTTCCTAAGGAAGACTCTGACTTTCGCTATTTACATGAATCAAAGTGAGACATTTCATAAAGTATGAAAGTCACATGATCGTTCCTCACACATGGGCCTCCCTTACTCCATCGCTTCTGATTCTTCCACGTCTTGCTGAGCCTGTAGGCGAGCATTTTGCACTTCTTGTTTCGTGGGTCTGGGTTTGTTTTTGCTGTGCTTCTCGAAGTCTCTGATGGCGATGTGAGCGTTGACGACGTTCTGTAGTGGTTCCCATGTTGCCTGCTCAAGGTCGAAGCCTCTCCATAGTATATGGTACTGGAAGCCTTTCTGTTTTGTGCGTTTCGAGTCCAGTATTGCTTCAATCGCCCAGAGTTTCTCCCCTTGCATCTAGCGTTATTGGTGGGGCGGTGTGTTGTATTGGCCGGGAGCGGGTCGTTTGGTGACGGTCGTAGGAGGTTGGCGTGGAATGAATTGTGAATTGAGTCTAATTCATGTGGCAACTTCAGTTGGTAGGAGTGAGGTTGAGCACGCGCTCGATTCGAAAAGGGCCAATGAACTTATGATCTAGTTTGGGGATGGGTCTGGTCGAATCGATGTTGCGTGTGCTAAGTAGCACCATGTCTCCAACTCGGTACGCTGGCGCCGGTGATCTATTTGCGTTGGCGAACTGTTCTTGTGAGGCTTGAGCTGAGAGCAGGTTTGTCCGAAGTAGATCAGTGATTTCTTGCATCTTGGCGACAAATTCGTTCCCCTCGTTGCAGCGTTCTGCCAGGTCTTTGGATGCCGCGAGTGGTATTGCGCGAGGGGGACCAAAGCTCATTCGGGGGTGGTAGCCTGTGTTCGCAAAAAATGGAGACATTCCCGTTGAATCGCTAACAACGTTACGGGCTGCGAATTCGGCCAATGGGAGCCACTCGTCCCAGTCGTCCTGAGCAAAGCTAACATACTGGCGAAGGTATTGTTCGAGAAATGAGTTAGCGTTTTCCGTCTGGCCGTCAGTTTCGGGGTGATATGCTGTGGAGAGGCTGATATTGATCTGTAGGCGGTGGCAAACCGCTTTCCAGAATTCCGAGACAAACAGTGGTCCTCTATCAGATACGATTGAATCCGGTAGTCCATGGAGTTTCCAGACATCTCGTACGAAGAGCGTTGCCAAGTCATGTGCTTTCATGTCGGTCTTGCAAGGCGTGAAATGTCTGTCCTTTGACAGCCTATCGACTACCACCATGATTGCGTTGAATCCACGAGCTGTGCGCTGAATTGGGCCAATGAAGTCAACGGACAAGTCCTCCATCTTTGCAAGGGAACTGGGAGCGGTTTCAACGTCCCCTGGTACCGTAACCGGGAGGTCTTGTTCCTCAGGCATCCGTGGCAATTGCGTGTGAATTGTTTCGTATCGGCGCTAAGCCTTGGCCACCAATAAGAGCGTGAAATGAGTTCGTATAGCTTGTTTTTCCCGGGGTGGCCTGATTCGACGCTGTCGTGGGCGAGTTGAGTGAGAAGGGTCCGTAGTTCGCCTGCGGGTACGTATAGCCTCTCTCGGAAATATAATCGGCCTTCGTTTATCATGCATTCCGATAGAGAAACTTCCTTCGAGTGAGGAGTGCCATGGGGTTTGAGCATCTCGTCCCTGATTTTCATCCACCATTCGTCCTCCTCATAGCCCTTGTCTAGAAGTCTTGTGATTCTGTGGTTGATTGGTTCTGGCTGAATTTCGTCAAGAATGGCGGGACATAGTGCAATTTCTTGTTCCCAGGAGAGATTGGCAAAGAGTTCTGAGAGCTCGGGGTCAAGCTTTAGTTGTTCTTGTACGGAGGAGTCTACGTTGCAAGGCTTAAGCAGCGACTGTTGTTGGTACTGGATGCGGTCGTCATTTTCATCTTTCGGCAAGTCTTGTGATCTTCGTGTGAGTGAGTCAGGTTTTCCGTTCTCTTTCCCAGGCACTGACTTGATAGCGAATTGGAACTGTGATAGGAATTCGCTCCACCTGACTTGTCGTCTTGAAAGTTGCTTGGTTGTCATGAAATATCGAAGGTTGGCATGGTCAGTGATGACTGTAATCTGGTGGTGCGTGCCTTGGAGTTCGGGTCTCCAGCATTCGAAGCAGCGTACAATAGCCAAAAGTTCTTTGTCATAGATCTCGTAATTGCACTCAGCGGGTCGTACTTCTTGGACATGAAAGCCACTGGGTGTAGCACTCCTTGATCATCTTCCTGGGAGAGGATGCCCGAAGAGACAAAATCGGATGCGTCGCATTCGACAAACACTTCTCTTGCGGGGTCGAAGTGTCTGAGGATTGGCGCTGAAGTGAAGCTATTTTTGAGCATATCGAATGCTTCTTGGCACGATGAAGTCCAGTTCCATTTGACTAGTTTCCGTGTCAGGGCAACAAGTGGTCGTACGATGCGTGAAAATCCCTTGATGAACCGTCTGTAGAAATTCGAGAATCCTAAGAAGGCTTGAACATCTTTGACGTTGATAGGGGCCTCCCAGTTGATGAGACAGTCGACTTTCTCTGGGTCCATCCGTACTCCAGTGGTTGAGATGATCATGCCCAGATATTTAACTTCAGTAGTCTCAAATTCGCATTTCTTGACGTCAAGTTGTAGGCCTGCGGCTTCAAGTGCTTGAAGTACTGATTTGACGTGGAGTCTGTGGGTGGCGAGGTCGTCTGAGTAGATGAGAATGTCGTCGATGTAGGCTGTGCAATATCTATCAAGGAATGGGCGTAAGACTTCGTTGATTCGAGCTTGAAAGGTAGCTGGGGCGTTTGATAGTCCAAAGGCATCACCATGCTCTCGAAGAGACCATATCTTGTGTTGAACGCCGTCATCCACTCCTGACCCTCCTTGATGCGTATTCGATTGAACGCTGCGACGACATCGAGTTTGGTGAAATACTTGGCTTGGCTTAGCTGAGAAAGTGTCTCCTGGATTAACGGTAGCGGGTAGCGGTTCTTGATGGTTATCGCGTTAAGAGCTCGGTAGTCCACGCAAAAACGAAGGCCCCTCCTGGCTTCTTTGCAAATAACACCGGCGAGGCCGCCGGTGAGGTGCTAGCGCGTATAAAACCCTTGTCAAGGTTTTCCTGAAGGAATTTCCGGAGGACGAGAAGTTCGTCTTGGGACATCCCGTACAGAGGTCCATGTGGTGGAGTCGTTCCAGGTTGAAGTTCAATTTCGTGGTCGCAGTCTCGGTGTGGGGGGAGTTTATCCGCCTCTGATTGGTCGAATGCCTTCAAGAATTCATGGTAGTGTTGTGGTACTTTTGTTGCAGGATCGATCAAAGTCTTGGGTTCGAGGGCTTTGTGAATGTCTTCGAGTGATGCCCTGAAAGGTACATATCGGCTGCTATTTTCCGGGAAGCTCAGTTCATGTGTTTGTTGGTCCTTGGGGTTAAGGGAGGTGATTCCGTCCTGTAGCTGGAGCTCTCGGTTCATCTTGTCCATGTCTGTGAGTGCAGAGTCGAATCGGACCCGTCGGCGTGTTTTAGGTTCTACGAAGGTGGAGGCTTCTGTGATGACCCCAAGTTCAGCCAGCCTTTGTCGATCTCATACAGTGATAATGAGAATACGTCGACGTCGCGGTTTTGGTCAGCATGTGGAATGCGGCTGCGCCGACTCTTCGGGGGATTGATGGGCGTGGCAGTATAGTCGTGGTTGCAGAACTTGACAAAGAGGGAGCTCCAGAAACAGGCAGTTGGTATTGTCCTTTCTCCATGCAGTATTTGCGGCAGTGATCAGAGTTGAAAGTGACCACATTCGTGCTCCAATTGACGATTGGGTTGTGATCTGTTAGCCAGGGTTTTCCAAGTATGACATTATACTCCCAAGCTTCGTTACGTAAAAAGCATCTTCTCCTTGTGTCCCTTGATGTCCATGTTGAGCTTCACCACATGAGTGATGTCGCCAGCCGAGGAGGGTCTTCCATCGACTACGTTCAGCCGGCGACGGTTTCGTAATTCATAAAGCGTGAGTTTGTTGGTGTGCGCGAAGGATTCGTCTATAAACCCCTTTCCGGTGGCACCTGAGTCAAGCATTGCTTCGGTTTTAATCGGAGTGGAATTGTCTTCGATTAGGTTACAAGGCAGTAGCAAATGAGCTTGGTTGGTGTCCAGAGAAGAGAGCAGTAGATCGCCCTTTTTCTTGCGTCTCCTGCGGCGACTTCCGTCGGAGACTACACTTTTCCGTCCTCCATGGTGCGGTGTCGCAATTGAGGAACGATGTTTGCCCGAGCTGCACCAATGGCAGAGTCCATGCGTTGTGCAATAGGCTCTGCGTGCCGCTCTCTGCTTCCGTTTGGGGTCTACGACCAGAGGCGACATCTTTGGCCCCAGGTGATGACGCTCAAATCCATTGAATCCCCGCCGTTAGAGGTCGTCGATTGTGGCGTGGTGGAGGGTTGTAAGGTTGCTTTGTGACTTGCTGAGTTGTCGGTGTTTTTCTTGAAGTAATTGGCATTGACTTGACGGCATTCGTTATCGCAGATACGGACAAGGTCCATAAATTGACTAAGTTCGGTAGGTGTATCTTTGCCCTTAGTGAGAGAAAGTCTCCAGATAACGTTGTCGTGGAGGGCACGTCGGAGGTGAGCAATGAGCGCCCCACTATCCCACTCGGTGAGCTTGGCGACGGCATACCATTCGGGAGGAATGTCGTAAGGGATCTATGGCCTTGTTTCATGTCAAAGATTTTGAGTTGGGCGGTAGCTTTAGCGTCAATATCCCCGAAGGCTGACTGAAGGGTGCTTTTTATGGCATTGACATCGTCGAAGAGAACCACCCCATCTTTAATGTTGTAGCGGACTTGGTCAGTGTTGCTAATAATATGACAATAAAGTAGTATACTGCAGTATATACAATACAATACGCGATTTCTCATATTGTACCAATACAATATGCTCGCCGTCATATTGTGACGATACAATATAGCGCCTTCCATACTGGCAATATATGGCTTGTATTGTTTGTATTGGTTGGTAGTCATTCGCCTTTCCGTTCCCCAATTCGCGCCAATATGATGACGCGTCAAAAAACACGCGTAAATATAAGCATGTTCTATGTATTGTTTTTCGTCTGGCGGACCTCCAGGACGTAAAAGTTTCCTATTGGCGCACGGAAACGCGTAAATGTATGTATAAATCCAGACCTACAGGGTAGCGGCTCGCCGTCCAAACACTGTTTTCCTCCTCAACCCCGCTTTCCCACCCCAGGACTTACAAGCAATCTCGATGCCTCAACAACGCCTGCCTTTTGTTCAAACATCGCCGCGACGGGATTCGTCAATATCAGACGAATACTCGGAGATTTCCAGCCCACGGTTGCATGATCCAGATGAGACCCAAACCACTGAATGCCAATCGTCGCAACCTCGCACGGCCTCCATAAACCCTTCGGCCAAGCCAAGAACATCATGGGTCTTTTCTCATATGCCAGACGAGGACATAGAGACGAAATACTACAATCAGCGGACCGGAAAAGAAGAATGGCGCTGCAAACACTGTGACAAAACGTATTGCTGTTCCGGTGGAACTGCGGCCCCAGCCAAGCACCTTACGGATCCTCCTCCTGACGGTCACGGCCTCCCAAAGGCGCGCCACGAACTGCCAAAGTCACGAATATACGAACTATTCTCGAGATAGCTCGTGTTACGGCCAAAGAACATCCCCGAAAACGCCGTCGGCTCAACGATCAATCCGGAGACTCGATCGACCCAGACCAGCTCGAAGCTTTATACGTAAGGTTTATTACGTCCTGTTCTCTCCCATTTAGGCTTGTGGAATGCCCAGAATTCCGAGCATTCTTAGCCTACCTCAACGCCGATATCGATACTTGGCTTCCAGATACACACGAGACCATCAAGAAATGGATTATGCGGCAGTACGAAGGTCAGAAGGAGAAGGTCAAGCAGCGCATCCAGTCAGCAAAGTCAAAAATTCATATCAGCTGCGACCTATGGACTTCCCCCAACTCTTTGGCCATCTTAGGCGTAGTTGCTCATTACGTTGCAGAAGACAGTCAGTTGGAACACCATGTCTTGGCTTTGAAAGACATCGACAGTGAGCACGACGGATATCACCTGGCAAGGGCAATTTTGGAAGTGGTTGATGACTGGGGTTTGCTTCCAACCTTGGATATTTTGTGATGGACAATGCAGGCAATAACGATACAATGATGAGATCTCTTTCCTTGGTAAGTACGGCGCACTGTTTTTTCTGACTGGCCCTAACATTTACAGGCCTTCTACGTCGATATGACATTCGATACGATCCCAAATCTCACCGACTCCGCTGCCAAGGTCACATTATCAACCTTGCCGCCAAAGCTTTCCTCTTCGTTACCGATAATGAGAAGCTCAAAGACGACGAACGTGATGGGCATAATGTGACACTAAAAGAGATCGAGGCGTGGCGGAAAAGGGTCCCTTGGCAAGCTCCACAACTTCGTGGTTTTCGTCCAAAGTAGTGTTCAGCGTCGCCAAAGTTTCTGGCCATCAGCCATAATCGCAAGCTTGCGCGAGATAATGACACGAGGTGGAGTTCGTGGTACACCATGCTACGAGCGGCCTTGCATCTTAGAGGCGCAGTCGAGGGATATTTCAACAAATGGGTGGAAGGAGATTGTGCCGGAGACGAGCTCTCTCCCGAGGAGTGGGTCATCCTCGAGAAGATCAAGTCTTTCTTGGAGAAGCTTAAAATGACGACAAAGGCCCTTGAGTCATCGTTTGCAACTCTTGACAATGTTCTTGGCTATGGACTTCGTATTGGCGCAATTCGAAGCAGGAAAAGAGGCACATATCGACGATCCGATTATGGCACCAATGTATAACTCGGGCTGGGCGAAGATGGATAAGTACTATTGTCTTACTGACGAATCGCCTGCCTACGTCGCTGCGATTGTGCTTCACCCTTCGCATAAATGGCACTACATACACGAAAACTGGAAGAAGGAGTGGGCTGACTCGTCAAAGAAGCTGATGGAGACACTGTGGGATGATTAAAATACTTCGAACACCCGTTAAGTTGCCAAGGCAAGGGGCTTAACGGCTGAATATCCAGCCCGAAGGGTGAACATCGTATTCCTGCAATTCAACTTTCCTAGGGGACCCCTAGAACCCCTTTGCCTGCGGCGGCCATCCAGCTGTTTAAACCGCTCCTTGACTGGCCCAATCTAACTATATACCTGTAACGGTCTCAACTGAGTGTGTTGACAACTAGCTGAGCGACTGCGACGAGTATCCTAAAGCTAAGGAGAAAAGAAGAAAAGAAAAGAAAGGAAAGCTCTCGAAGATGGCACGAGCTTATAAGCGGAGCTCCGGTGGGTCTTGTCGAGAGCGGAGCCGAGACCCTCACGGGCTCAGCCCGTTACAATACCCTATATCGAACCTCCCCCTTCCCTGTAGCTTATAGGAAGACGTCGTTTAGTCAAGGTAGAGTGGTGGATACGGTGCATCGCTCAGCTGTTGACCCTGACGCCGTTGTTGGTCAGCGAGGCGCATCTTCATCCCTGCTTTAGCCTTTGTAGTTAGCCGTAAACGCAGCACGTAGGGAGACAGGCTTATAAACCTTCTGTCGGCGTGTGGTTATAGAGGCTCTGACGATCGAAAGGCGCCTCAAGGAGTAAGCCTTGCAGCGACGTAACCCGTGACACAGCAACATAGCTAATACCGGCCTGGAAGTCGCGTGTAGCGAGATCAGTAACTATTTGCTCCTTCGTTAGGCTCTGGCATTTGTGAACAGTGATAGCAAACGCCACCATCAGGAAACTGCGTGCGAGCGCAGGTCTCGTTGCCCATAAGGAAATCACGCCTGACTGGGAGGATGGGTGAGATTTTCCTGCCCTCGTTAGTTATTAGATATGGCGGTCCATCGTAGCTATCAAAGTCCACCATAATAACGGCCGGGGATCTTCCATGGTTCGGCGCCTGGGTTCCAGGCGATATCGTATACAGTACCCTGGGCACCGTTAACCAGGCCAGCTGGCTGCCATAGGTTAGTAGTGAGCATTACCCTGGCGCCCTTAGCAACAGGAACTTGTTAGATAGATTGCCAGCATTGTCGCTTGGTGCCTGCCCCGCGCCCTTGCCCTGATTCTTTGCCTCCACCTGTATTGCCGGGGCGTTGAGATGCACCATATGCTCGTAATTGTATTCGTTGACCCGGGCCCTGGTAGAATACACCCGCAAAGCGGCCCTGAAGCTGTCAACCTCGCTCTGCGTTAGCCTGGACTGTACCCGACTGCTAAGGAGGTTCCAGGACGGTATGGATAACTTGACTTCACGCAGTTCCTGCAACGCCCGACGGAACTGAGCCTGATCATCACCAGCCTGGCGCTGTACCGTGGTCAGGAAGACGGTGCGGTCAAATAACCGGTAGGCCACCTGCCTCTCCTTTCCAACGAAGACAGGCTGGTGCTAGTCGAATACAGGGCTTTTGCCGGACTGGTGGTAACTGGAAGAAATCGCCCACAAGCAAGACGCTCACACCACCAAAGAACTCGAGGCTACGCTGTGGAAAGGCCTGTCGCAGACGGGAATCGATCCGCGCGAGCTGCTCAATCCCCAGCATGCTCTTTTCATCGATCACGAGGTATTTGACGTGCCGTAGGCGGGACTGAAGGGCGGCTGCGTCGGCTGGGGGAAGGTCGGTAAAAGCACCACCTACTGGGAGGCGTAGCAATGAATGAATGGTGCTGCCCTGTATCTGGTTACTCGCAACGCCTGTTGGCGCTACGCGGCAAATAGGGCTAGGATTCGGTAGAGCGGCCGCCTGAAGATGGGAGGAAAGCACCTTGATAAGGAACGACTTGCCGGTGCCACCACCACCATCAACGTGGAGAAGGATTTGAGTGGGATTTCGCGCCTGGAAGTGGCCCATGAATGTGTCGTACACGAGCCGTTGTTGTGGATTCAGCGTATTACGCCATTGAGGGCCAAGGACCTCCACATCGTTGGCCATGGGGTGGCTAGCGATAAGGTCCTTCCAGTAGCCATCTCGAAGTTCCGGATATGTACCCACATGCCGTGTCCAGTCGTAATTGACGTCGATATCGCGGCGGCCAAGAAGGTCAAGAACTTCCTGGGTAAGGGGTGGTCAGGTAAAGGGCAGCGAGGCGAATCCAGTCTTCGTCATCAAATTCTTCCCCACAGGCAGAGCCTCATATTGATCATCTTGAGGCTGTAATCGAGCCTCTTTTGGCTGGCCGTAATGGTCATCACCATGATTGTGATGCTGCCAACAATAGGAGAAGGCCTGAACGTGGGAACTAAAAGCCTGGCCGTCGAAAGTGAGGAGCTCATCAAGCCGGCGATGTGGGTGATTTAATGTCAGCTTTACACGGCAATAATCTGGCCACTGCTGGCCTTCTGGAGCAGCCTGATAGCGAGGAAAGTAAACCAACACACGGGGCCTGCCGTTAACGTTGCCTGGCCGCCATTGCTTCCATGCGGAAGGGTCTCTAGAGCGGAAATTCCAGTGTTTGAGGAAGGAAACGTAGGTCAGGTCCTTCAGGGCTTCCGGGCGCTGACCGTACTTTTCGTAGACGTTGGGGGCCTCGTCAACCTCATCGCCGTCAATGCGTAAGGAGCGGGAATGTCTGTCAGGATGACGGCAGTCAACGTATAGGCAGATTCGTGAGCCCTCCTGTAACGGCAGGCCGAGGAGTAAGTGGCTAACCTCCTGCTTCGAGTAATCCCGTTCAGCAACTAGCTGATTCAGGAGCTTTGACGTGAAAGAAATCAGGGGGTTGTGGTCCTTGACCCGGGGCATCAGCGCCTTCCCAATCTGGGCAAAAGACTCGCTCTTCTTTTCTGACTTGGAGCAGTATTTGGCTGCGTAATCGATCACCTGCTGGAGGCTCGTGCAGGGAGAGACATCTGTATTGGCTAGCCATGCAACGGTAAGCAAGCGGTTGTAGTGGTTAATCTGGCCATCGTTCCTCCCACCCCTAAAGGTCCAGTGCTTGGAGTGAGGCAACTTGTCAAGGGAGGCTAGTAGGCGCTGTCCGTGAGGAAATCCAAATCGGCACTCTACCTGCTTGGTATGCTTATTGCGCTGCATACAGTAGTTGTTGCAGCGGTGGCGTTGCACGCGGTTGACTACCATCGATAGGAACTGAACGGTAAGGGGCTGCTCCAATAGATTGCTGATCAGGGGATTCCCTTCCCCAGGAGCCTGTATTCGATGAGGCTCTGGGTTAACGGCAGATACGTGATATCCCCAGATACGGGCAAATCGCTCCCGGGATCGATTATCGTCAGGATCCAAGTCTGGGTGGCCACTTAACCAATATAGGCCATGGTGGTGACTGGACCCCCTGCCCTGCCACTCATAGCGGCCCCAAAGGTCCGTTAGGTTGAACTTCTGCTTCAGGACAATAGTCGTAAGAAGCGTATAACGCTTGTAGAAGTGGTAGGCGGCGATGTGGGCGTTGTCTCGCAGTAGTTGCCGGGACAGGACCATGCGCGCCGCCTCAGGAGCTGCTTTCCACTCTTGGAATCGAGGCATGTGACGATATAGTGATTCCCAGTGGTAATCGGCCGCACTTGCAGTAACGAAAAGGCCAGGTCTGCCCAGATTGTAGGCATATGCTTCCAATTCCTTCCTTTGCTTATACCAATACGGCCGGGTGCCCCTGATTACCGCGGCTTGGCGCGTGATCGACTGGATCAGGTCCTGAGCCTCTGGCTCATCAGGCTCAGCCATCGCTTCCTCTAGGTCAGCGCGTGTAAGGGGTTGACGGCGGCTGTCGCGTTGCTTGACGAAGTAGTCACTTCGCTTTCGGACCTGCGCACGTAGCAGCGTGTTGAGGGCGACGAAAGGCCACGTTTTATGGCGGGCAAAACGTCCGTCATGCCATCTCATCGCATGGCCAAGGTAGTCCTGGTACGTGATGCTCCGTAGGCGAGGCTCCACGAAGTCGGCCTTGCCGTCAGGGTAGAGGGTAGGGAACGCAAGCGATAACAGCGGCTGGGAACGGTTGAATTCGTCGATAGGGGTCCTGCGAATGGATGGCAATGGCATCTGGTGGTGAGCCTGCGCGCTATGCGACATATACTCAACATTAGCCATACGCTCAGAGTCAGGGCAACATCAAGGACTCGGGACTGCAGGGCGTTTAATTCGGTATCGGTAACCTGCAAGTTCGGGATCGCTGATGCGTCCGCATCGCAGGGATCCTCTTCCAAGGCCTCCTCAACAGGGCCTTGTGGGATCTCGCCGTCAGGTATGTCAGCCACTTGGCTAGCAATGGAAGCAACTATGCTGCCGTCAAGAGGAAGCCGTTGCAGGCGATCCTGGCTCACGACGATATCGCGATAGCCCGGGTGGTGGCGCTGTAGGTAATACAGCCAGGTCAACAGGCATGAACGGCGTACCCGGAAATCGCGAGCAAACTGTTGCTGGAAGCGAGGGTCGCCTTCCATATTAGGAGGCCGTAGGAGCACGATATCTAGCTCCTTCGGTAGCACTGGGAGCTCTTCAAATAGCCTACCAATGTTGCGAAGAAAGTGGATAACGTGGCCGCGATATTTGTATTGAGCGCCACGCACTTGTAGGACCTTGACGTGTACGTGAATCCTAGCAATAAGCATCTCCTCAACCATCGTTAGATCGGGTAGATTGCCGGGGACTTCCCCAAAGTCGAGGTTATTCGCAGCGCTGAAGAAGTAGGGCTCGTCGAGGGCTTTCTTCCTGTCTCGACCAATGCAGCGGCTGCAGATTTTCAAGCTATTTCGTTTCATATCGAACCAACGCTCCTGGCAGCGAATGCAACTATGCATCTTGTCGTCATTCAGGGCAGTATAGAACTCTCGCACAAGCGCCTGATCTTCCTTACTAAGGGCGGGCAAGTCAAGGTCACCTGTAAAGGCGGATCACTACTCTGATCAAACAGCCGCGCTTGAGGCTGTGTGCCTTGACGAGTATAACGGCCGCGGTGATGACCCTGTGACAATAATGAAGGAGTGGTAGGAAGCGATTCCTGTGGTATAGGAGTGCCTTGCACAACAGGAGCTGTAGAAGCAGTGTCTTGAATCGGCGTGCCCAGAACTACTGTTGGCAGGCCAAGGGTAGGAGGAAAAGGGAAGGTCCTCAACAGGGCTTAGAGTAGATGGCCCCAGCGGAGGTATAGGCAGTTCCGGTGCAGGCGCCAGGCCACGGAATAAAACAGGCATGGCAGGAGGTCGTAGGTCAGTCACAGACGCAGGCGTTGGCGCAGTCCGCCTTGGAGGCGTCAGGTTAGCTAGCGAATCCGTCCTCTTCGTGGCTCTGCGTAGCGATGGTCTCGAGGCGATATTCCGCATCGCGGTAACGGCGGCTCGCGATTCGGTTGCCCGTTCTTTTCGGTGTGCCCTACAGCTAGCACACTGTCCTGTAAACTTCGTAGGGTCCTTGACGCTTCGAAATTCGACTTCGGGCAGATCTTGCTTGCAGGTACGACAGTTGCGGACTGCCTCGGGCATATTGTTCTCCATCTGACCGTATATATCCACCTCTTTCCCACCGAGACTGCTAGATATTGCTCGGGCAGGAGGCTTTGCGAGGACTTGCGTGGCTGCAGCAATACACACCCGCAGGTGGTGCCAGGGAATGTTGTAGCTAGGTCGGCCGCGGAGCTAAATTTGACCTAGAATCCGTTAGTAACCGATGGGTTCGATAGATTCGACCCACGATGGAAGTGGAAGCGTGTGCTTGGAAACTTGCATTGAAGAAAAGCTCTCGGAAACGGCTAGCTCGTTAAGGGATTTTCCGGTGATCTGCCGGATCTGGCGATTCGCCGGATTGCGGCGACTTCGCACGCTCAACATCAATCGACAATAGCTCAACAACAACGGTGCCAATTGACGTATCCTTTGATTTCCTGAATCATCAGAAGCAGTGAAAGTCTGGCATATATTTAGAACTTTTATCTAGGGGCAATGCGCTGCGGTGCTGACATCAAACCAAGCAACGGCCAAAATAGGATGCCGACAGATTGTGTAAGTCATTTCAGCCAATACAGCAAAAACAGAACATTATTGGCTTTCATCGTAGGCTTTAATCATGTGGGATTCTCCCATTCTATCCATAGTGCAGAACTTGGCTCAGGATACTGCAAAAATGGGGTTGGAAGGGCGAGCTGGATAACTTCATTCTACGCACCCGTAATGAGCCAGATTGAACGTGATTCGACGGTACAAGCATCTTCTGAAAAGAACCTATCTATGCATCTGAATGTAAGGTTTATTTTTAGCTTGAAATTCAGTGCGCGAGGCTCCGCTTTCACACCTGACAAGGAAAGACGTGCACGAAAATTGAGAAATTCGACACCCTACCCTAAAACACGTATAACATGGATGAAATGGGCTTTCTATTCCTTATGAGCATTTGAACGAACAGGGTATTCCTCTTATTATAAGAAAACAAGGCAAAATTGCTCGGCGTATTAAAAAATGGCAACCCATCCTCCCTTACGTTCAAGATGTGCGTCAGTCAAGAGATGGCATCGCTGCCCCCATTTCTCATCCACCAAGACAAGCCAGCACAAACTCTGGACTTTTGGTTCGTGAAACGTGAATCAAGTCGTCAATAAATATTTTTAACACGTCAAAAACGAGGTGGACGAATCACAATATTGGAAATGAGCAGCTCACCGGTACGTTCGACCGGTTTACCAGGGTGAAAGCTCGAAACGGTTGTGCTTATCGCCTTTGGTTCCCGATGGCCACTTAACCATTTTAGTATCGAATTTATGGAGTGGTGTGACCGGCACCGAGTGATCGTTGTGGTGTTTCCCCTCAATCCATTCATCGGCTGCAACCCTTGATGTATCGTTATTCAGCCTCTCTCAACAGCGTATACGCATGATCTTATCCAGTACACAGACAAATCAAAAGGTTCATTGGATTGCTGAAATCGAAGATCTAGACTGTGTTTTGGAACGCATTTCAGGAAGTAGTCGAGAAGTCCTCTGTTGATGCTGGCCGCAACAGCCGAAGGCTGAGCAGCACCCTCGGGAGCCCTCAATATGAGTTTTAAGTGCTTGATATGAGAGTTAAAGTATGCAGAGAACAAGTAGTCACAAGAACCAGCGCAGGCAGACCGGTAAGGCTTCAAAAGATGATCTCTTCTGCTGTACAGATTCTAGTGCAGACGAGGTGTTTAGCTCTAAAATTGTGGCTCAAGCTCGCCAAAAAATGACAGTGAAAGGACTCAAAAGAAAGAGGAGGCTCTGAAGAAGGAGGCCCGAAAGCTTCAGCGACAGCAGAAGGCAGCGGAGCAAAAGCTCTCGCTCTAGAGAAGAGGAAGCAATGAGAGGCGGAAATTGGGAGAAAACGACGGATGACGGAGGCCGTGAAGCAAAATAAGGAGATAAATTGGCATTATTAACAAGAGCTGAAGATTTTGAAAGTGGAAAAGCCACAGAAAATGCAGAATGAGCGACGGGTGGCTTCTGAGGGTCGCGAGAGAGTCAGGATGTTCACGCTGCAAAAATTGTCACTCTTCCGTTCACACCAGAGCGGGCCATAGCATTGCAGGTACCAAACACACTATATAATAACGCAAATAATAAGGCAATGATAACTTCAAACGACATATCCTGTCCTCAAAGGCCCTCTTTAGCTGTTGATAGTGATCGGGAGGCAATGGGTGCATTTCGGGGACTTGCGCGATCGGAGAGTAACAGAAGACGACCTCGATGGCTGGATGACTTCAAAAAAATTGAGTGGCATCTTTGAGCATTATTAACTGCTCTTATAAGATTTTAGAACAATTCAAATAGTATTCGTGAAGTTATTCTCAGTTCTTTGCTGGAATGCAATGAGCCCAAAATCCGGCGAATCACCAGATCCGGCAGATCATCGGAAAATCCCTTACCTAGTCAACGCTCAGGGGTTTGCGGCATGGCCTTCATTTGGTGGCGTTGCCAACCGACCACTCCCCGCACGAGTTGAGTACAGGGGAGGCCAATTAGCCAATGAGAAGAGGTTTTATGCCTCTCTTTCTGACTGTATAGAACGCCCTTCGGGCTGAATAAACGCCCTTCGGGCTGAATAAACCTGTGGAGCCGCCTTCTCTATCTGAGGTTCCGTTGACGACCACGAACGAGTTCTTGAATTGGAGAAACAAGCACCTACAACCAGCACTTATCACAGACGAGTACGAGCGATATTGTAAGTCTGAACGGGTTTATGGGTTCACAAGCGCCCTCGCATGGTGGCTGGAGGAAACACAGCAAAAGAACTACCCATACCTGAGCAAAATGGCGGTGGATATACTGTCAATTCCCGCAATGTCTGCTGAGCCCGAAAGACTCTTCTCTGGGGCAAAAATAACCATCACAGACCGTCGAAATCGACTTGGAGTGATGTAATTCAGGCATTGGAGTGCTTGAAGTCATGGTTTGGGATACAGGATTTTCAGGGTGACGATATTTCAGCAACGACGGTTGATATTGTTTTACTGGCAATATATTTGGTCACTGGCAATACAATACAATATGGACCAATGCCATATTGCGCAATACAATACGCACCTCTTGACAATACAATAATATTGCGAGGGGTCCATATTGCCAATATACGTATTGTTTATATTATTAGCAACACTGGACTTGGTCATGTGCTTTGCCTTTAAGGCATGAGACGACATATCCCATACGTTGAGGTTCCGAGTTCCACCAATCTTTATTCATTTCGAGCTTCAACTCGAGGTGCTGGAGGAAATTCGGCAGAAGCGTGGGGTCCTCTCCGGTGAAGGCCTCAGGATCAGGGTGTTCTGGTGTGCGGTGTGAAGCTCCCTTTGACTGAATGATCTTTAGGTATGCTTCATTTTCTGCCATAAGACGGGCGATCGTTGCGTCTCCATCACTTTTAGAAATGAGCGTGTTTTCTAGGCGGGTTTGGAGGTCCTCCATGTCCCTTATTGTCGTCGTGGTCGAGGCACGTAGTGAATCGATTACCGCTTGCATACTGTATGCGGCATTGCATACGAGAAGACTTCTTTCATGAGACCGGCTGGGTTAGCAACAAAGGCATTTCGGAACGTTTCATTGGTATTGCTGGCGTTGAGGAGGGGCAGGGGGCACTCGATCGACGGGTGTGGGGGCAGCGGTAGCCATTGGGTTGTTGACGGTGTGGTGGTTTAGGTGAGAATTTGGTTGCAGGGTGTTTTGGTGAGGTTTGAAAGCGACAAGTGCGGTTTAGAACTATCGAAATCAATAGTCACGTCGCGGACGGTGATCTATTGAGGAGGGGTAGTTGGTAGACAATATGTGACGCAGGGTGGCGATCAATTCAATTCCATCAATTTGGCCTCATTATTGAGTTGCGTTGACAGCTTATTCATCATTGGTCCCGTTGAGTTGAACCACCTGCCTTCAGATGGGGGCGATGGAGTTGAATTGAAGACGTTGAACCACGTACGGCCCATGGGGTCGCCGAGGGCCCTAGCCGGCAGCATGTCCAGTATCATCCCTAGACTCCATATAATGCTATTCGCATTCTCCTGACACGTCAACCAACGTATCCACGGCGTCGATTAGGCCATTCCGTACCCACGACCGTAACGTTTGCGTAATCCCTATCGTGCTGGCTTCCAATCGAGTCCGTAGCGGTGACACCATTTGCCCAGTGGTACTAAAGAGACGCTCGCACTCTGCGGACATGGGAGGGATCGAGAGCAAGTCGAGAGCCATCCGCGACAACCGTGGGTAGTCTTTCCGCCTCTGCCACCAATACTGAAATGGGTTGGTGACGAGAGGATCATTCTCAGCGTCAGCACTCGACAGCCAGCGGTCATATTCATCATGGTCCGGATTCAGTGAACTTTCCAAAGAGGAAGATTCGTTGGGCAGCGACGAAGTCCTCTGGGCTCGGTGTCTCTCAAGCGCGCTCATTGCCTTCAGTCGCTTGTACGGACGCTCTTCGTCAGGCATCGGAGGGATCGGCAGCGATTTGTACTCCTCCTCCCACAGGTTTCTCACCATTCCTTTTGCCTCCTGTAGCCAGGAGCTGTGCTTTGTCAGTCCATGTATTCTCGAAATAACCCCAACGCGAAACCGGATTTAAAATAGCAGAAGCATAGTATGCTGGCGTCTCGTCAAGCTTCGTATAGTAGTCGTTCAACTTATCCCAGCCCAGATTAATGTTAGCCTTGAGGTGCTCTGGATCGGGAACTTCTCCGCTACTGCTTTCCACCTCTAGTCTGTCCATCAGGAATTCGTAGGTTGAGGCAACGTCCACATATTTCCGTATGCTTCAATGCGGCCTCCTTTTCGAACTCGGCTCTGGGCGTCACCTTCTAGCATTCGGAGTGCTTCTTCGAAGTCAACAAGCACCCTATCCATCAACCCAATGACCTTCCAGTCTTTATCGCTGAGAAGACTCTCCTCGCGGAGAGACAAAGGCATCTCTTTGCCCTTCTCATCCCATTGCGGCATTTTTTCCTGAACTCAAGCGTGACCTTCTCAGTCAGGTCTTCCAAGAAAGGCCGCAACTCAAGGCCGCGCCGTATCATATAAAGAGTCGAAAGCCAACGAGTAAGGTTATCAAGGACAACGTCCACAGGGTTCTTCGCTCGAACCTTGGGGTCGTCCGACTGTGAAAAGGACTCTTCCTGAAGCGCACGAAGCCGGTACGTCAGCTTATCGGACTGATGGATCCAATTTACTAGGTTGTGGAGCTTTCCGACTGGGCCTTTCTTTCGCCAGATTTCATGCTGGACCGCGTCAAGAACAGGCTCCCGTTAATCTCTGCCTCAAACGCGTCGGCCTTGTGTCCAAATAATAGCGCCTTGACCACCAAGTTGAGCACGTGGCCGAAGCATCGCACCCTCCGCTTCTTCGGATCAAAGCCCAGTGCCTCTGCAATCTCCTCTGTCGCCGTATCCATATTGCCAGCGTTGTCCAGTGTAATATAGCCCACCTTGTCGAGGATCTCATAGCTCTCTAGGATCTCGAGGATCTGGGCTGCAATGTTTTCTCCCGAGTGTGAGATCTTCAGCTCCGGCATGCCTAGGACAAGCTTTGATGGAACTCCATCCTTGTCGATGTAAAACATATAATCCCGTATAAAGCGTGCCGATTCCTGGAACGCCAGCCGTCGAACGCAATGTGAATTTGGCCGGGTGCTCTTTAGATTGTCGATTACGCACGTCTTGTATCGGGTATAAAGGTCAACAATTCGCTTTCGAACGGTATCGTGCGAGATGTGGGCATTCGTCACTGCGACCGATGGATTCAGGTATTCGAAAATATGTCGGAGGCGACAGTGCTCGGGCTGGCGAAAGGAGACGTTGGCGTCGACCACCCACTCGAGAAGAAGTCTCTGAAAATGGTCCTTATCGAAGCGCTGGATGAGGGCGTTCGCGATACCTTGCTCTTTGGGGTCTGAAGCATTGAGGTTCAACATCTCCACAATATTCTTTGACGGGGTCTTGTCCTGGTTCCTTTCCCAAGAGCGGGCGCCCCTCTTCCCGGACAGATCGACAAGCCTGTGCTCTTTGAACAGATGATTCTCGATGTTCTGAGTGCCAGCGGCAGAGAAGTCTGATGTTTTTTGCTTCGGCTTCTTGAGGCAGGGCTTGCAAACCCATTTTCTTTTCGTGGGAGAATCGCTAGGTTGAATGTCGAAACCATGCTGCCAGACCCACGAAGTCTGCCTGCCAGCACGCTCGGAAATCGTATAACCTGGAAAATGGTTCCATGGGAAGATGCTCCATTCGTCTTGCAAAGCATCCATGTTAACAAACGACTTGCTGGATGAGCCTCCGTCTGAAGCACGCTGGGGCTTAGTAGGAACGTCGGTTTCCATTTGGCCGCAGGAAGGGGATGCATTCGTTTGGGAAGGTTTCTCTGCGACGCGACTCGGGAACTTCAGCCCAAACGCGTTCAATCGCCCAGGTACTTATACATTCGTTACATCTGAAAACAGTATGGAATGGAAGTACTACAACACTCAATACGGTAACTAAGGCTAACCTTGAGGGTGATCACGCGAATCACGCGCGTCAGACGCGACTCGATTAGGTACCTAAGTGTAGATGCTACCCTAGATCACCTCCTGCTTCAACGGCTTCAACGCGTGGGCAACTCTCCCCTGTAAAAATTCTTCCCCCGTCAGAGCTGTTAGCGGCTCGCTAGCAGGGGGCCGGATTTGCAGGCCACCCGACCGCGCTTTTGCTGCCCGGGTCCATCGTGGCCCTAACAGCACAGAGGAAGACATTAGGAGAGTTCATATTCCTCTGCAAAGCCGGTCTCGACAACACGTCCACACGGACCTCACAGCTTCCTTCGGAACCAAGGAGCTGTGGGTATTGGAAGGCCCGCCCTTCTAAACAACGGTGGCTGGTTGCGCAGGTTTTCTCCTGAAGGCAAGCTGCACGACAGCCTCTGATTCCTTCGAGGTTTTCCTGCCGCCGCTCCTGCGCTATTTCCATCGCCTGGTTACCGAAGCATGGACTGCGACAGCAGCGTTAGCGAGAGAGCGAGAGAATTCTGACCGGACAAAACCAAGGGTTGACCATTGTGGCAATCGCCACGCGCCTGGACGACCCGCTGACGGGCACCAGGCTCCGACACTGAGCGCCTTAGAGCCGATGAAATGCTGGATGGACTTCGGGAAGGCTGGCTGCAGAGGATAGCCACGGACACTTGTATTGACGGGCTTAGCGACAACCTACCGGTGGAGGGGGTAGGAAAGCCGTCTCCGGGGATTGAGCCCGACAGCTCGCCCTTGCGAGGCCTTGCAAGAAGCGCTGGGTGAGGCCTACTGTGGCAGGATTTTCTCGATAGCCTAGCTCAGCACGTCCTGTGCCCCACCGGGACCTGAGCGGCCTTACGGCCGCTGGACGGAAAATACACACACACACACACACGCTTCAACGCGTGGTCAACGTTCGAGGCGGAGGCGTGGATTGAAGCTCTCAATGTGCAGGTGATATTGAATTGATTGAATTGAAACACGTGACTTCCACTTCAATATTATTGGGGCCCAATTATCTATACACCTCCTTTTATTAACTGTACACCAAAAAGTGGATCAACTGTGGCTGGGTCAGGCGCAGTGCCGATGCCGCTAATTTTGGTGCGCCCATTCCCGGCCGGCCAGCTGGCCAGTTCGTGATGCTTGCGTAACAACATCCTGTAACCGTAACTATCAGCAATACCATCAAAACTGAAGCTATTCGCACCGCGTTTTCTGCCCTTACGAGCCCGAATCATGGGTCGCTTACGAAGACACTATTCCCGACCTTCCAGGCCGCGATGGAAGCCGCCGATACCGTTGCTGAGGCTGAGGGCTACGCCTACACATTCGAACATCGAAGCGGGATAACGCTGGCCAACGCAAGTCTGCACTTGTTCGTTGTATCAAGGCCGGCCCCTACGAAAATCGGAAGGATAAAGCTGCTCATATCTCTCGTCGTCGCCTCAATACAGCAACCCAGAAAACAGACTGTGAATTTCGCCTCTCGTTGAAGGAAAAACGCGGTTACTGGACTATCTCTTATCTTCACGATGTTCACAATCATCGCCTTGTTGATGACCCGATGGTCTTTCCGAAGTACCGGGCGCTTGTTATCCAGAAGTATCGCGACGACATTATCCGGAAGTTTAATAACAATACCCGGCCGACCGATATTGCTGGCGAGCTTCGTGACCTGGTTCACGACGATCCTCGTTTAGCCGGTATCACGGCTCAAGACGTGAGTAACGCCTTGGCTAGGCACCGTCAGGAAGAACTAGCTGGCCGTACGCCTCTTCAGTTTCTCTACGACCGGCTAGATAAGTCCGACTTCTTTCATCGAGATAGTCGTGATCCCCAGGGCCGGCTAACTGGGCTATTTCTCGCGCCTCGTGCTACCTTCCATCGATGGCGTCAGCATCACGATGTCCTCGTCCTCGACTGTACCTACAAGACGAACCGATTCAATATGCCGTTATTGAATATCTGCGCGGCCACTCGAGATAACAAAACGTTCTCTATTGCCTCTATCTTCTTGAACGGCGAGACCGAGTCCCATTACTATTGGGCTATCTCGTTGCTGCTAGTCCTTTGCGAGAAGGAGTCGATCCCATTTCAAGGGTCACTGTCACGGACCGAGATACTGCGTTGCTTAAGGCGTTAGATAGCTTTCGCGAGCTTCAAAACAGTACTAACCTTCTCTGCACGTGGCATATTAACCAGAATGTCGTTGCGAAATGCAAGCAATTTTCCCTAAGGCATCAAAAATCGGCAATCGAGTCGTACGGGCCCCGGCATTCCAAGCGTTTCTACAAGAGTGGAACGAGATCGTCAAGTCACAAGATGTGAATAGCTTCAACGAACGTTTACGCCAATTTGAGACACCAGGCCGCCACCCGCTTGCAGCTATACAATACTGTTGCAATACGTGGCTAACGCCTTGGAAGGAGAAGTTTGTATCTTGTTTCGTTAATCAATATCGCCACTTCGGGCGTACAACGACCTCGATCGTCGAGGACTTCACTCTCATATGAAGAAGTTCCTTTGGTCCTGTACGGGCGATTTGACGACCGTTTTCCAACGATTCGAACGCTTCTGGGGCCATCAGGCTGCTCAGATCACAGCGATAGAGAATCGAAACCTCCACAAGATATCAACGTTCTCTTACAGGCGCCGTATATGCCGATCCGCGAGCGAGTATCGTCATATGCGTTAAAGCTACTAATAGATGAGCATCGCAAGATCCCTCTAGACCCCCGAAGTCAACGGGCCAAACCGCCGCCAGGTCAATGTCCTTGTAATTGGGCTACTAGTCGAGGGCTACCGTGCTGCCATCGAATCTTCGAGTCTATCAACACCAATACCTCCCTTACACTCGACGACTTCGACCCATTTTGGTATATTCCGATCGATACAAGCGCTCAGGGCACAAGCCCTACTCGGGCACCATACGAGCCACAAGTTATCAGGGCTAGGGCCGCCCCAAGGGCTCACTCAACCTCGAAGAGTCACGGCGGTCAAGATCAACGCGGCGGGATCCGTCACATCACGAGATCGCTGAACGGCATGAGCGGGCTGAGGCTATACGACTGCCTCCTCCTCAACGGCACCAGCGGCGATGACGGGTACGGTAACGGCCGCGATGACTTCAACGGAACGAGGGCTGCGGCACATCGAGGAAAACGGCGATACGTACGAGGCAGGCACACGGATGCAACGGGCGTATCAACAAGCCGGGCGTCAAACGCCAGTCTCTGATGATGACGATCAGCCGGTACGGCGGGAGACCCAAGACTGCATCTTCGTCGCCGGCCTCACGGACGATGCCGCCCTTGAGGATGTATGGGATCAATTGGAATCACAGTTAGATGAAGCGGATCAGGCACGTAGTGCACTCGAAGAAGGAGGCCTGTTAAAACCAAAGAATAGTCTCATCAGCATAGAAAGCGCAGTACGAATAGCTTCAATTTTGGGTGCCTTATCGTTGAAGGAGAACTGTTACTACCTGGCTCTACTTATCGTAGAGAATGTGTGCATACAAATTGGCGGTATCGGCCCTCTTCGGCCGTCAGCCACAGTTAATCCACTTTTTGGGTGTACAGTTAATGAAAGTGGGTGGATAGATAACTTGGGCCTCTTTATATGATTCCGTCGACAGCGCTACGACGCAAATCGCACTGAAAATACGATTGACCTAGCGGTTTCCAGTTTTGTCTTGTCGAGCGGTGATTGCGCTCTCATTGTGTAAGCCGGTGTGAAGATAGGTTAATATTCATAAAATTGTTGTGATATAAAGAACGCGATTCAAAAAAAAAGTAAACAGATTTCGAACTCTGTGTACGGTTCACCGGGCAAAGAAATCACCACATCGGTTATCAAGAAATCCAAAAGCACAGGACATCAAGTGTCCTCCAATCCTCTAGGAGTGTGACACGGAGCCACCACTATCTGTACACACAATACAAGTGATAGTATGCAGCTTTGGAATACGCTGCACTGCCCTGGTTCAAAAGTTGGCCGCTCCTATCACAAGGATAGTAATTCCCTTGGTTGTCAGTGCAGAAATAGCCGCCATATTCATCAGCGTAGGGTCCATTAAGGCCATTACTGGATGAACCGGAGCCTCCTCCTTTTTTGCCGGAACCGCTGCCGCTGCCGCCGCTGCCGCCGTTACCGGCCTCGGACGAATGCCCTGATGATGGATACTCATCGATGCCGTAGAGCGCTTGGTAATATCTGAGAACCCGTGGGATTGACGGCTCGCGGGTGCCCCAGTCAACTGTAGTTCCCTCAATCACTCCGACTACTAAGTCGACGATCTGGGTGATGTAGTGCCCGGCGCTGTTCTGCCGAGCTGCAATGTGGAATGTTCTTGTACTTGTGCTTCGTGTTTCACCATGAATATTTGACCAGGCCCGGCCCCATGAAGCAAGGGAAACATGTGTAGGATCGGCGTTTTCCAGGTATATATAGATGGCATGGGCAAGCGTCTTTCGATTTTCCCATTGGGTTGGAACCACCAGAGGTCAGAAAGACGTTGGTTGCAGTCGTAAGGAAGCCGTCGACTGGAATCGTGGCCGATAGACGAGAGAAGATCAAGAGGTGAAGCAAATTGAATATGTAGCAACGCGTTGTGAAGTCTGGGAAGGAGTTTAAACCCAGGGCCTTTTCGAATCAACATGTCGGGAGCATGTGCTGAATATATAACTTGATATCTAACTTGGGAGGAGTGTTGATAACACGATGAGACCGACGCAGATGAACGCTGCGGTTGGCCAGGTCACCAACGCGAGCCGCCGGCCATCGCGACGGCCTTGATGCCACTGTGACATGCATAGTTTCTACATGTACTCTTTGTGACTCGTATTCAAGGCAATGTAGGCATAGAGATGCATCGAAGCAAGGACGGACCTACAACAGGCGATAACAACACTCCAATCCTGATCCAGATGTTCTATTTTGCCGGGTGTAGCGTCATCTTTAATGTAGTAATTTACCAACTTGACCAGATCGTTGAAGTCGCCTGGAAGCACAAGTGGCAGCATATCCATCGGCATGTTAGTATCGGGATGCCTGCGGATGATAATTACATGGGTATTAATGTTCGGCGAAAGTGGCCAAAGCTACGCTCGCACACGCGGATGAAACTTCGCGTTGGTGCTGTGTCTCCCAACTCCGCAACTCGATACATCTCGCATTGGCTGGAGGGATATGAGGCAGGTAAGATGTACAAAGCGGGACTGGCGGCAGGATCAGATATATATACATATACAGCACCAATGAAGGCATCTGTCGGACCGTTGCATCAATGGTCAACGATTTTTGCAAGCCATGGCGAAACATTTATTAGCGCGCGCTTGCTGCACGCACAGCCCCGCACTGGCCTCGCAGCGTACCCTAGATACCTACTGTACCTGCCTAGATAGACATGTAGTCATACTGTAATTACATGCACGATATTAATAGGCGCCCGTTGCATTTCTGGCAACTGTACGGACTATTATTTATGCGGATCCGCCTGTGCTGGGGTTTACCGACGTGCAACCGACGCATCTACCAAAGGCTTAGTTTTAGCTTGTCAACATCAAAGCTTCTGCACCTCAACGACGTCTTCCAGTTCGCTTATAACGATGGGGTAGGCCTTGAAAAAACACACTCAATATCCCGTCGCTAACATGGCATTAGTCCCACAGCGGACGCTGGCAGCGTGCTGTTTCCCTACGTTGCAGGTCGATCGATGGATTTACGTACGTCTAGCGGTGACAACATCCAAGTCACCATCACGCGTGTCTACCCTATCACTATGTCTCCCGTCATGGAGGTTCAAATGAAGACACCCGGTGGACACCGCAATGTCCTGTTGAAGCTCTTTGATCGGCGCTTTGGCGGGGACCGCCGGAGGCAACCATACAACCAGGAAGCTGAGGCGGCGTGGCAAAACTGTCTTCGCTCTGGCTTGGCTCAAAATCTCCTTGAAAGCCTCCAAGAGGACGAGGAAATCATCAAAATGGCACGCTTCCAAGAGGATGATGACGATGATAACGACGACAGCGACGAAGAAGAAGAGGAAGAGGAAGAGGACGACGAGCGGCAGCTACAAGAGCAGGAAGTGGTAATTTACCACGCGACCCAAAAAGGCTACAAGAGCGAGGTCCGGGCCTATACCGAGTTAAAGTCGCTCCAGGGTCGATGCATTCCGAGCTTTATTGCGTCGGTTGTTGACGAGTCTCCTCCGGCACCTCCTGATCTGCCTGCTGGCTACTTTCACGCCCCAGGCATCATAATCCAATATATCCATGGCTTTCCACTAACAGAACTTCACTTAAAAATTCCAGATTCGCCCCATATTTGGAATCAAGTTGTCGACGGCGCTATCGAGATCGTTAAACAGGTAAATAGGGCAGGTGTCGTTCATTTAGACTGTCAGCCTCGCAACATTATAGTTTCTGAGACAGGCCACGGCAAATTTCGATCCTACCTAATTGATTTTGCCCAAGCTGCTTTTAAAGACGACTTTAAGGACACAGACGACGTTGACGACGAGAAGGGCTTTAAACATCAAATACACCGGTTCGATAACCATGGGGCGGTTGCGGTTATTATGTCTTTAAAGATAGCAAGGGAAACGCCGTATAAGCTTCACTTTCAATATGTAGCCAAGAAATAATTTGCTTTTCCTAAACTGTCAGAGCAGAGAATGGACTTATAATACACCTCTACTAGGGGGCCCCCCTTTTGCCTAGTATAGTAGTATTTTGCTAGCTTGATATAAACCTAGGAGCTAGTAAAATACCTAAAGAAGGCTCCATCGCGGCGGCTGCTTACGGCAAAAACCGCGGTATAAATAGCTTTATAGACGAGGGAGGGATTAGTAATAGTATTAATAATAAACTTTACTTTACCTCTGTACAAGGCGCAAGGTAGGCGCAAGGAATATACGTATACAAATTTGCGGTATTAGCGCCGCTAATAGAGCCACAAGGACCATTATAACAGGAAGGGACTAGCAAGGGAAAGGAGGGGTATAAAAGGACCGTCTGGTAGGACGAGAAGAGGGGGGGGAGGGAACATAGACCTCAATCTACCTCTTGATCATTTCCTCGTTCATTTTGCTGCGCCTTGGCAAGCTATACTTTCCCTACATTTAGTCGGACGATTAGCCAGACCGGTCGGATAGTTAGTCCCCCTGTCAAGCGGTTAAAATACCGCTATACTAGGCGAAATAGGGGCACCCCTATTAGAGGTGTTATTAACGCGTATTATAAGTACTTCTCTGCTCTTGCACCCCCCCCCTTAAGTTGCTGTCGATTAATATTGAGAGTGCGAAGTAGCGGTGATCCGGCATATCACCGGATCCGCCAGGTCGCTGAGAAATCCCTTCCGGTTCACTCCAGTCCCCCAATCCCAAACATTCTATTTAGCCCTCTCCGTAGCAATTCGGAGCACGAAGCCCCGTAAAGACCAGACATTCCTGTTGCACTCCTGATAGCATCATGCCCTAGAAATTTGCAATCATCTTTAAGTTACCATGTCTACTACTGTGGGGAGTATTAAAAGTCATCCTCACGTGGTGTGTGTATATTCATGAATACCAAGGAGGGCGGATGCGAAGTACAGTACATGCACGTATCACTATACCCAGAACCTAATCAGTCGCTTTGTCGAGCGTCCGCGTAAATTTGATAACCCTTGATTCAATGGCCTCAAGGAACGCTGGCTTCGGGGGGGTGTCTAAGTTTAACGCTCCTAAGTCGAAGGGCCTGTTGCGGTAGAAGCGGACCCAACCACGCCGCGAAGGATGCATTATAACTCACATTGCAGGACGCTCGACAGATAGCATGCTACGACTGGAGAGCAAGCATCAGGCAATGATATATTGATTTCAGTCAAGTATATACGACAAGACTTTTAATCTAAACGTCTTAAATCTACTTTCCCGTATCATTACCACGAATGTAACGCAGTGCCCTCCGGGCTCTATGGGGCATCCCATGTCATTGGAATGGCATGTCGCTTTCGCCGAGTTAGTTTCATCCTCAGCCTGATAACGCCCCGGGTTCTGAGCTGGCACCGTGGGGACGACAAGTCAGAGTTTAAAGACTATTTAAGAGAAGCCGAATTGGCTCTTGTTATCGGCGTTAGGATATGCCGCGCCAGAAGGATGAATAGCCACTATAATTGCAATATATATAAGCCAGCTGTCTCGGGCATTGCTGTAATTTTACCAAAAATGTCAATTATCTTCCTCCTCCCTTGCGCTGTATTCGGTCATCTTTATCCCAGTGTCAAGCTAGATATTAGATTGAATCGACCAGATAGGATTAAACTTGCCTATATAAATCATGGACAAGGCAAATCTGGAAATCCAACTCGCGGCAATTCGAGTTCCACTCTTCCCTGTGCCATGGCCTGAGGCTTGCGCTCCGGACGCAGATATTATCGAAAAGCGGATGATCGAGTGGGCGGATATATATGGCCTCCTCGTTAACAAGGCACACAACGAGCGTGTGAAGCGCACCCGCTACGCTTGGCTGGCCGCGCGCTGCTATCCAAACGCTCATCGAGAGCTGCTCCAGGCCATTGCAGACTACTTCGTCTGGTTCTTCCTCGCTGACGACCTGTTCGTCGACCGCGTGGAGACGGTGACGCTAGACACACTGCTCTGCCTAACGGCTATGATCGACGTCCTGGATTTTGACTGCGCCGGCCCTCAGCCCGTATACGGCGAGCTCGCGTGGCTGGACGTCTGCCGCCGGCTGCGCGGGCTGCTCAGCGCCGAGGCCTTTGAACGCTTTGCTCAAGGGATGCGGTTGTGGGCGACGACGGCCGGCCTGCAAATTCTCAACCACCTGCGCTCCGAGTCTGTGGGTATACGCCAATACGAGACCATCCGGCGCCATACGAGCGGCATGAACCCTTGCCTCGCACTAGCAGACGCTGCTAACGGGGGCTCAGCCGATGCTGAGGAGTTCTATCGCCCTGACGTACAGACTCTTTATCGCCACGCTAACAATATCGTCTGTTGGAGCAACGACATTCAAAGCCTAGTCATAGAGGCCCGCCAACCCGGCCAGTTCCGGAACATGGTCGTGATATACGCCGCCGAGGGCCGGACGTTGCAAGAAGCTATCGAGTGTACAGCCAAGCGTGTGAATGAAGAGATTTCCAAGTTTACCCAGCTCTCTAGCGCCGTCTTGCCCCATGCAAGTGCCCAGCTATGTGGCCTTGTCCAAGGGTTTAAGTATTGGATACGCGGCTATCAGGACTGGGTTCAGAAGGACACACTCCGCTATGCGGCCACATTCGCCGTCGCTGATGCTGACGATCGTGGCATTCTTTAGCCTCAAGCCCAGCCAATCATCGGGCGCCATAGGGTATGCGCGTGTTCGGGGAGATGTTGCAAAGGATAGATCAGAGCCCTACTAAGATCGTCGCTGCCAGGCTACTGCCGAGCAGGCAGTAGACTAGACGAGCTGCTGCCTACTGGCAGCGCAAATCTCTACCAACTGAAGTATTTAAGGAAGATAGAGAATCAAGAGTTCTTTGGTCTCTGGTTTTTATGCCTACTTTGCTCGTCCTCTGTGAGATAGGAGATTCTATGGTAAATTAATACCACGCATAAACAGCCGCTGCCTGGCAGGCAGCAGCAGACGCCTAAACAGGTAACAAGTTTTCATTTAGGGCTGTGTTAACCAGAAGCCGGAGCAGCAAAAACGCTCTAACGGCAAAGAGCACAACCACCAACTCATTAAAACTCTTAACAAAGCTGGAGACTGGAAATAGGCACCCCCAGTTCCGCGCCGGTGGATTGTATGGAGCTCCATGGAGATGAGACAGCAAGGCCGAAATTTTCCGTTGTGGGAGCTACTGCCCAGCACTGAAATCACGACATCCCCAGACAGCTTTACACTTTGCCCTGCTGATGGAAGCGGTGATTAGGGGCCGGTGGGGAGAACAACAGATGCACGCCGGCGAATCGGCTGATTCACATTATCGACTAGGCTTCTATATATCCTAAAATCCGCGTCGTGCTATCCCTTTCCTTTCATGTTCCTCTTATTTGGGAGGGGCCGGGGCCGGGGCCGGGGCTGGGGCCGGTGCCGGGGCCGGGGCAGGGGCCGCAGGTGGGGCAGGGGAGGCTGCTGACTTCTTCGCGGCTCGGATTTTCTTATCCATGTCCTTCAGCTTGTCCTTCTGGTCCTGGGGCAGACCTTTGAATGTGTCCTTGACCTTTGTCTGAGCCGCCTTCATCTTGTCCTTGATGTCCTGAGGTATGCTGTCCTTTGCAGCCTGGAGGCTCTTCTTGGCATCCGTAAGCGGAGGCGAAATCGCATCCCTGTCCTGCTTCATCTTTGCAACCTCGGGTGAGTCCTGCGGCTTATCCTGCCTGCTGTGCAGGGTCATTTCCGGAACGGCCCTGCCTAGCATCTCAGGCTCGGCTCGGACGTCAATCTCGCGCCGGTTGAAGGTAGTCGCCGCCAGGGCAGACACGCCAACTAGTTCCAGGATTAGCAGGGTGACTACGCGCAAGAGGGAAAGGGTGGTTGCAACGTACGAGCCAAGACAGTCATGGTGAAGCGGACCATTTTGAATGGTTACTGGGAAAGTAATGCGACGGATAAGGGTCGAGATATGGTATAAGGCGGAAAAGGGGGGAAAGGAGGTTGGTGGCAAGTGGCAAGTAGTGCAGTTAAGGCCGGCTAAACTGACTTGAAGAAAGAAACTTAGGAGGCTTTTAGGTAGGTGAATGTGCTTTATTGGCGTACTGGTGTGTGATTTTAGATGACTTAAGGGAACAATGGATTGTCTTTATATATCTTTGGCAGTTCCGGGTTGCACTCTGCTCTGACTCTAAAGTGCCCTTAGTGCTCCATAGTAGGGTTCTATACACCCCTCGCGTTTGGCACGTCGCAGGATCAAACCAGCTGCTGTCGGGCATGTCACGCCTCACTCGCCCAAGTCAGTCCCAGAGCTGAGAGCAAGCAGAGGCCTGAATCAGAAGGCCGCTGCGAGCCCAAAGCCCTCCTGGTGGTCGGCTGTCCAAGTCTGACTTGGACGGTCAATCTCAACCTGCAGCCGGTCTGCCTTGTACGCCTGACGGCCGGGAGCGTATCGTCCCGAATCATGTATTCTGTGGCGAATATGGTTAGCAGTGTGTTGAGCCTCCGAATAATGGCTACATGGCGGCTCTCAGCCGTGTTTCCGCCCCTGTTTCCAGGGAACGCCACGTTTCGCCGGGGCCCAGATTCTCGCTCAGGAGGTAGCACTGTCAGATCTCCGATATATAGTCAAGGTTCCAGTAGGCCCCACCTCGTTGGGGACCGAGGTGAATCAGTGTGCTCGGTCGAGGTGGCCATTGCAGCGTTCCGGAAACAAGCTCAGCAGGCGATCGAGCGGACGGACCCGGCAAACGGGTGCGAATCGCGCCGTTGACACCGCTAGCGTGACAGCAGACACCCTGAACTTGGACTCCTCCATCTGCACCGCTAGCTATTGGTGGCCGCTGGATAACTCGGCACGCTGAATCGCGTAGGGCAAGGACCATGATGGTTTCACCGGCGAAATGTGAAACGGAGACTCCACGGCCGACCAGGAGATGCAAGAGCCATCGAGACAGCACAGCTCGCCCTTCTCCTTCTTTCGTAGCAGGCTTGATTTTGCAACTCGTGGGCGAACTTGGCCGCGTTGAATTGACTGGAGGTGCTCAAACTCGAGATTGAACGGGTCAATTGGCCGGTTTTTCATACCGCCAACTGCTGTATCGAGCGCCGCGTTTGCATATGAGGCGCCTCGCTGCTGCGCTTCCAGGTGGACCAAGAGCTACCCCGCGGAGACAAACAAACCTTGTCTTCACCGAGGAGGGCCACTTACTGTTTACGGCCCTGACCCGTTCTGCGGGCCGTGGCGAGGATAACAAGAACTGGGGTCTAGCTGCGGGTAGGAAGAGGAAAAGAAGAAGGGGTGGCGGTCGGCCAAGCACTGTGGAATCATAGCCCCCGAAGAGAAGAAAGGCGCAAAAGTCAATCGGGAAGGATGGACGTCACGAGACAGTCAGAGATGCGCTGCCGTGATCCACGGGATAATCTGCTGCAGCTCCAATTAGGGGCGGCAGAAAAGCCCGAGCATACTTGTGCGGAGGGCGGAGGATCATTTTTGTCCGGTTCTCGTCATCAATGATGGAGGAGGAAACAAGGCCACGGCACAACCTCTTTCTACAGCATAGGGGCTGCCTCCATGTGTATGTGAAGCGCCCTCCTCGATCTAGCTTTAGGCTTCAACTTGCCATTAATTGCCGAATGTCGATACCACGTCCAAGTGCTGGTAAAACAGAAACGATGGCGTCGAAGAGTAGCAACAATACGTGACGCATCGTCGATTGGGCATTTTGGCAATGGCTCCCTGGCATTCCAACTACCACTACGACTGCGAAGCCGATATTACGGAGTCGATGGACTCTAGCCAACAGCCGATGCATGGGCATATGATGGGCATAGGATGTGGCTGGGGCCGACCTATGCTATGCCACATGTGCATGGGAAGTTAATCCCGATCTGCTACGCAGATGCTATAGTCTAAGCCAAGCGTGTGGACCTCGGATTAAAAAGTACAGCGGTAGTACAGCAGTAGTACAGCGGTAGTACAGCAGTAGTACAGCGGTAGTACAGCAGTAGTACAGCGGTAGTACAGCAGTATGCGGAGCAACATGGGACTTTTAGCCTTTAGGTAACGTCTTGATCAGAGCCTCGAAGCCGGAACCACCGTCTTGTCCATGTCTGTGCACATGTGGTTGTACGAAAGTGAGTTTCGAAGGCTCCTGGTCAATTTCTCACTCACGACTCTGAGACTCGTCGTGACCCTCCAACTCGGCGCTCTTGTCCTCTCCAAATAAATCTTAACAAGGATTTTGACACCACATTGGTACCCCGGGCGTCAATGCGCCCAAGATATCTCGGACTACGGGTCCACTGCATCCCATCTTCAAGTTGGCTGTCCTCAGGGTCCCAAACACGGGACGGCGAGGGGTTTCGGACCTCCAGTCCTTGTCTGAGCACCAAGTGTCAGCACGGGACTGCGTCTTGGGGCTGCGTCCTGGGGCTATGCTGATTGCTGATGAGTAGGATGGGTAGGGACCTCGATGACGACGCAAACTGTACAGTACATCGAGTTATTACTTGCCGCAATCCCTTTGCCGATCGGGAAGTTGACCAATGAGAATGCTGTGCTTTAAGCGGCACTTGGGCTCACTAGGTAGTAAAGCTCGCTGGAAAAGAAGTCTCACTAATTAGCCTTGTCGATACTTGTCGCTTCGTGGTGAATTCCTAGAATCGCAGTCTCTTTAACTTTGATCCGCTTAACAGTGCGCAACTACCCAAGGTGCTGTGCGCTGCCAAAGGGATTGCCTCTCAATCAATACAGTAATACTGCAATACGTACCGGCAGTGGAACATTACTTATACCTTATTACCTAAGCTTACTTGGCTACTGTACGGACTTCGGGCACTGGGCGCCTTGCCTGATGAGGAGTGCCGCCAAACGCGGCGGGGACAACCGAGACTACTAAGGCAAAACAACAACACGATGGACCCAAACTGTGCCAAGGTCGAGGTACGAAGTATGTACGAATAAGAGCCACAAAAACAGGGGCGAACCCCCCCTCGCAACGGCGGTACGAGCCCGACGGAGGGGTGGTGATGGCTTCACTTTTCCAAACTCGTCTCTCTCTCTCTCTCTCTCTCTCTCTCTCTCTCTCTCTCTCTCTCTCTCTCTCTCTCTCTCCCTCTGTCCCTCCCCCCCCCCAACAGGGCCAACACACACACAGTCACACACACACACTCGAATATGCTGCCCATACATATTACATACTTACAGTACTTGCAACCACGCGCATCTGACACCGATCCCCCCCTCCCCTTCCCAAAAACTGCCGTGCAACGCCCCCAGCCAGTCGGCTCCCGCCGTTTGGATCCGCCACCAACGCCCGCCCTGCCTTATTAGAGGCACAATAGCTGCTGCCTAGCGGCCCCCCCCGGTAAGCGATGGATTGCTGACCTGCACCGAACCGCCGCCGTGGTACAAGCCAGGTACATTGGCCGGTTAACAGCCCCACGGCCACTTTGTGCTGGCCCGTGCTAACTCGTCCCTCGCCGGGGCAGGTATCTCGCTGTGTCTCACTGCGTCGTTCCAGCGCCTCAGCGCTCCGGGACTCGCCGTTTGGTGCTGCGTCCCAGGCTGCTGTTGGCCCGGGCAGCTGATCATGGTCAGCTGCAGCCGCGTCTCTGTCTCTGTCTCTCTCTCTCTCTGGCCATGGCTGCATTGTTATTATTACTCACCACCATCCTGTCGATCCTTGCGTCCAATGTGTCGCCGTGGCCCAATCAACCACGCCACAGCTGTATATAGCCCTGCCCGCTTCTGCTGCTGCCTCTTTCAGCTGCCTCCTCCTCTTCCTCCTCCCCAGCCGCGCATCTGCCCCCCGCAGCCTTGAAGCTCGGCCTCTCCTACCCAGCGCCTCTCTGCCTCGCAGCCGCCAACATGTCCGGCGAGAAAACCGACGACGCCTTGTGAGTCCCCCCTCCAGCTCTCTTCGCCGCAGTCTGCCAGCTCACACTCGATCCCAGCTCGAGGCCCCCCGATGCAGCTGTTGATCACGAGAGCCATGGGCGGAAGCTGAGCGAGCTCATCGACAACTCTGCCGGCGAAATTCGCAACCCCCTCAAGGGCATCCCCCGCGAGGAGCTTCTCCAAAATGTCGCAAGGTTCCAGCAGGAAAAGGGCTTGCCCGAGGACATCCTGCCGCTCTTGACCAAGGGCGCTCTGGTTGCCCAGGATCCCGCCGCCTTCGAGGACCTGCCTGACCTCAACGACCACGACAGGCGCGCTCTGAGGGAAGAAGTCACTCACCGCTGGAAGCATCCATGGGCCCTCTACTACACAATCGTCCTTAATTCCATAGCCGCCGCCATCCAAGGATGGGATCAGGTTTGCCGCCAATCAGCCTCTTCCCGAGCTGCCTCCGAGCGCTAATCAAGGACATGCCTCCAGACGGGCTCAAACGGGGCCAACCTAAGCTTCCCCCTCGCCCTCGGCATCCCGGACACCGCCGGCTCTGCCTGTGGGCCAGTTGCCAACGCCGGCGACTGCGCCAAAAACAGCTGGATCATAGGCTTTGTCAACTCCATGCCCTACATAACCATTTGCCTCTTGTACGTCACAAGACAGCCGCCCCTCGTGCTGTTCGTACTGACCCGCGGCCCCCAGTGCCGGTTGGATATCCGACCCCTTGAACGACTTGCTCGGTCGCCGAGGCGTCATCTTTGTCGCCGCCATCTTCTCCTTGCTGGCGCCCTTTGGCATGGCCGTCTCCCAGACCTGGGGACAGCTTGCCGCCTGCCGGTCGGCAACCCCCTTTTCCCTTTGGTTTTCAAGGCTCGGCGCTGATCCTGGCCTCAGAATGCTCCTCGGTATCGGCATGGGACTGAAAGAAGTCACCGTTCCCGTCTTCTCCGCCGAAAACTCTCCGGCCATCATCCGCGGCGGCCTAGTCATGTCGTGGCAGGTCTGGACGGCTTTTGGTAAGAAATGCGTCGGAAAGGCCAAGTCGAGACTGCGGCGTGCCAGAAACTGATGCTGGTATCTGTAGGCATCTTCTTAGGAACTTGCGCCAATCTGGCAGTCGGCAAGACGGGCGCCATTGCCTGGCGACTCCAATTTGCCTCGGCATTCATCCCGGCCGTTCCTCTCGTCATTGGCACCTACTTCTGCCCCGAGAGCCCTCGCTGGTGCCTCAAGAAGAAGAAGTACACCAAGGCCTGGGCCTCGCTCCTGCGGCTCAGAAACACGCCCCTTCAAGCCGCCAGAGATCTCTACTACATCAACTGCCTGCTCGAGCAGGAAGAGGTCCTCGTTCAGGAAACAGGCGTCAGCACAAAGAGCAACATGTTCACCCGCTTCGTCGAGCTCTTCACCATTCCCAGAATCAGGCGAGCCACCTGGGCATCTGGCATCGTCATGATCTCGCAGCAGCTTTGCGGAAGTAAGCAAAGCCGCCCCTTGTCCCGAGGGAAACCCTTTGCCTCATTCACCAAGATCCATAAGCAAGCCAAGTTGCTTGGCTCCTGGGTCATGCGATGAGCATAGCTGACGGGAATTTTGCTGTCCAGTCAACATCATCTCTTTCTACAGCAGCACCATCTTCAAGCAAAGCGGCATCTCCGATTATACCGCTCTGTGGGCCAGCTTTGGTTTCGGCTTGATCAACTTCGTCTTTGCCTGGCCTGCTGTCTGGACGATTGATACCTTTGGCCGCCGAGCTCTTCTGCTCTTTACCTTTCCAAATATGTTTTGGACTCTACTGGGTTTGTTGAGCCATTGCTGAGACGTTTGATTTACCTGCTGATGTCTTTGAATAGCCGCCGGTCTTTGTTACCTCATCGAGCCAACCGTCGAGCAGAGTACCGCCCGGATCGCAGCCGTGGCGACATTTGTTTACCTCTTTGCCGCATTCTACTCTCCTGGTGGGTACCTTGTTCCCCTGGCTTCTAAAGCTGAAGGGGAAAGTCCAGCATGTCCTTGATGCTAATCATTCCCACAGGCGAGGGCCCCGTGCCGTTCATGTACTCGGCCGAGGTCTTCCCCCTGTCTCATCGCGAGATCGGCATGTCATGGGCCGTGGCGACCAACAACTTTTGGGCCTCGGTGCTCTCCCTCACCTTTCCTCGTATGCTCATTGCCATGTCGGCTCCTGGCGCCTTTGGCTTCTACGCTGGACTGAACCTGCTGGCCCTATTTCTCATCTTCTTGTTTGTGCCCGAGACGAAGCAAAAGACACTCGAGGAGCTGGACTACGTGTTTGCCGTTTCCGACCGCAAGCATGCCTCGTATCAAATGTTCACAGTCCTCCCCTGGTGGTTCAAGCGATGGATCCTCTTTCGACGCGGTGCGCCCTGTCCGGATCTTTACCACGACGCCAACGCACAAGATTACCATGACACGAGCGCAGGGGCTTATCACGAGAGGATCGTAGAGACTTACGACGACACCAGCGCAGGGGCTCACCGCGGCACCACCACAGGAGTCTCCACTCAGTGAACATGGACGTGGATATTTAGGTCCGCGGAGCCTTCGCAAAAGAGAATACCTCGACTCAGGCGACGCTGTACTCGACTGCCAGGGCTTTGTTGTACAGGCGAGATGATGTGTCCCGCAATGGAAGCCCGTGGCAACGGTACATATTTCCAGGGGAATGCCTGGACGTGTACAGAAGGGTGGGTAGAGTATATAATGCGACCGTCCGTCCTCGAGGTAGAGAGGAAGCCAGGGTGGTTTTCCATATATGGAAAGGTGTGCAATCCATACTGGAGTATCGCCCCACATTTATTGCAAGTATTGCAATACACCTTTCCATTCTTGGTCCGTGCGCATCCCGCAACAGCTCACCTATATGGTCTCGGCAAAACGTGCCAAACACGACATGAATCAATGAAAAATCAAGGAACAGTTAACGTGAACGTAATGACAGACGACCGGTTAAGGGGATGCCAAGCAGAAATTTGCTCCTTTTGCAGGAAACAGGCGTAGAAGTTGAGCCAGGATTTTACCCAAAATCTGGGGACCCGCCACCACCCTCGGCCCCTTGCAAGATATCGTTCTTGAGCCAATGCTTTAAGCATTCTCCCTTTTCGACTTGTTTCGCGTCCAATTGGGCTCTTTCCCATGAGATTGTGCGACGCGCCCTGAGAACACCCGCTCAGGTTCATCACTCATCGCCGGCATTGATAGGATGTCTATGGCCATTTGTGATAGCTTGTGCCATCGTTTTCTCTGTTGCTCTTGAAGCCACCATGACAAGGCCGTCGTCGGCGTAATGTCGTACGGATCACATGAAATGTAATCTTCGTACTCGTCCTGGCTTGACGGTCGAGTGCAATTCTGCAGGTTCCTTGAAATGCGATCAAACGCGTCAAGGTCCTCGTCATCATCGTCATCTAGTAAATGTTGCGAGAGGGCGCCATCCACAGTGTCTCGGTATGTGAGCCAAAGGTCTTTGACCTGTTTGAACGCAGGTTTTGCCACTTCTTCTTCCAATTTGCCTGGATGTATGTTGTGCGATAGCTGGGATGAAGGATCAAGGCAGCTGCATAATAGGGCGATGCTTCTGTCTTGCTATAATATTTGTCAAAGACTTCCCACCCTCGTTTGATCCTAAAGGACAGCTCGGTGTCTGATTTGTACGAGACCTATTGCACCATCTCAGCGCTTGCACAAGGAGATCAGAGGAATGGAAGGCATGGTACCAGGGCTTCATCAAAGCATCGGATCAAGACGTCCATCGTGAAGAGCACTTTGTCCAGGGTCGCATGATCCCCTTGTGTTGCTAATGTCGCTCGGGCGAACGGTTGAAGGATCTTCTCAATTATTCGGAGCCGGGCCCAATCTTCCGGCAATAGAAAATCTGCAGAAAGATCTTCGAAATGATTCTTGGTGTAGGTGTCCAGAGCGCTGGCAGTTTCCTGCTGAGTGGCAACATGCAGCATTTGATACCAGCTATTCCACCTCGTACGATTGTCAAGTGGAATGCCCTCTCAGCGAGTTCCATAAACTCTCCACTGCGTCCTGATGAACTCCGGATGTTGACAACCAGGTTGTGGAGCTTACCAAGTGGTCCAAGGCGGCGAAATTCGGTGCGCTGCCTTTGAACTTTGCCAGGTCATCTGCGTCTTCGCATATTTCGCCCTCTTTCAAGTCAATAGAATTCTGGAACAGGAAAGCTTGAACTGCCAAGTTGATAACGTGGCCTAGGCATCGGAGGCGGTGAACTTCAGGATCCCATTTGACGCCCTCTTCCTTGAGATACGTGCTCACTGCCCGGCAGAGGTGTCATTCGTGCTCGAATTATCCCCAACGATGCTTCCAAGGCGTCGCAGAATACCAAAGTCCCGCAAGATGGGAAGAAGTGTAACGAATTGCTCCTCCCGGAATGGTTCGCCACAGGCCGAAGTGCAAGGAGAGCTTTCCGTCGTGCTTCTTGTGCGTGGTCAACAAAGTGGAGCAAACTCCGAGAAGAAGGAGCCGATTGGGGACGTCCAAATGTCAAGCGAGAGGTGAACCTTGGATTTTGCTGACTGGAGCTTCATTCGCACGATATCCTTGGCCGACTGGAAATGATTGTCGATAATTCGTGGAATAGTCGAGTGGGCGGAAGGAGATAGTCCTTCGCGACCGGGTTCAAGGTCGAAATGAAGAGGTGAAATTCGCGGGATTCGACAATTCGATAAGGAAGGTTTCGTGCGACGATCAGCAAAGCTAAGGCTTTGTTTATCTTGTCTTGGTCCAGGTAGCGTTTGAAGACCTCCGACTCAATCTCCGTTGTGCGGCCCAAGTCCCGTGCTTGCTGGTAGAGTTGCTCAAACCCTCAAAGATGGACGATTGAAGAGGAGTCAAATCTTCCACGACTCGAATATCGTGCTTTCCTCCAGATGTTTTCGAAAGTTAGTGGTAACTGAAGTTCTGTACGGGTTTGTCTGGGGACAATGACTGCAATAGAGAAGGCGATTTCGGCCCTTAAACTCTTCCTCCCCCTCTGCTGCAACGCGAGCATGCTTCCACGTTGCGATAGCCGCTTTGCCTCTTGTATTGCGAGATCTTGATGTCGTAGAGTCCGACAAAATAGATTCAGCATCGAAGAAGGATAACGTACTTGCAGTATCCATAGTTCGACAACTGACTCGTCCGACGCGTTGGTGCAAAATGGTGGGAAAGCGATTTGTGTTTGTGTGGGAATTAGCGGTGTTCAAGGCCCTCAGACCCTGGACGATGGCGCTGTAGGGGTCCCGGTCAGTGGCGCAATTTGGCCAATTATCGACTGAGTATTGAAATACTATGGATCCATATCCATACCCTGTCCATGCCATAGTATGGAAAGGGTATTTCCATACTTGGGTATGGAAAACCACCCTGGAGGAAGCACCGTGACGCTCCTCGGGTGGAGCGGCGAGGCTCGCTTGCGTTGCATCCTGCGTGGTGGTGGATGGGCTTTTCCTTGCAACATAATGATGGGCCGTGGAATCGGCAGCGGCTGGATTGTTTGATATGAGGCCGCATGAACAAACTTTCTTTTCATTCGGATGCTATACCCACACTCTCTGTGTGTGCCGACGATGGACACGTTTCGAGGTACGATGTGTGTTTACAATTCAGGACCGTGTAACTTACTTGGCGACGCTTGAGTGCGCCTGCGGTCGTGTTCGGAGCGGTAACGTCTGGAGTTGATGTTGTCGGGGACCTTGCGTCCAAGATGGCGCGCGCACACACTCACACGTAAATGTTCAATTCCACGACCCGTGTAACTCTCTCTATACTATACTTGCGCCAGGTGGAAGGCGGCAGCTGCCTAAGCATGCTTCGGGCTTGTAGCCGTTCGCCAGAAAACAACAAATATGCGCGCCATGATTTGGTTGAACAAAGGGGGTGTTCCTGGCCCCCTAAACGAAAAGACACAGACGGGTAGCGACCCTGCTCCAACTCCCCCGCGGAAACCGCTTGTTCCGCGTCAAGACTCGGTTTTCATGGCAAGTGAGAGATGGCTCTGCCCCCATGATTGGGTCTTGTCTCGCGACTTGACCGACTCAGCCGGGCTCTCTCCCGAGACAACCAGGACCTCGGGCCCTACCACGGGCTTTGGCTCGCCAGGTTGACCCGGCCGGCCTCGGGCCTGGTCGCCCTGCGCGCCTCGTCGAGCTCGGCGTCGACGTCCCACGACTTGACAAAGTCGGCGATTTCGCGGAGCATGTCCTCGACCAGCTCCATCGGCTCCTCCGACTCGTCGGACCCTCCGTCTGCCTCGTCCCCATCTCCGTCGAAGGCCTCGTCATTAGAACCCCCGACGTCATCCGCCGCCGGCGCCGTCTCGGCGCCGGGCCCCACCTCGTCCGCTGCCAAAAAGGTCCTCGCCATGCCCTGCATGCCAGGGCTCTGCAGGGCCTGCTGCGAAGCCGTCGGGATGAGCTTATGCCGCTGGCCGTCGGTGCGGCTGGCCACGGCTGCAAAGTGCTTGCTGAACCGCGACTGTTCCGAAACGGGCAGGTCCTCGATCGGGGTGGCCGGCGGGGGGGAGACTTGGCGGAGCCTATGCCGCAGAGGCAAGGATTTTGGCGTCGGCTCGGGGGGTTGCGTGTTCTGCTCGTCCCCAAGGACTCCCTGGTCCTGCGGCATCAACGCCCAGGAAACCCGGCGGACGGGGCGCGAGCAGCTCCACGGGTTTTTCATGGCCGAGGGAGGGCCGCCGCCCTCGTCGTCGCGGACCGTTGGACGCCCTCTCTGCCCGCGGCTCCGTCCAGGCGAAGGAGACAGAAACGAGGCAAAAGTCTTGACGGCAAACTGCGGCTCCGGCGTGGACGGCCGCGGCTGAGGTTGAGGCTGCGAATTCGAGACATTCCCGCCGTGGCTGCCGCAGCCATCAATGTCCACGGCTGCACCCGACTCGGCTGCTGCAATTGCGTCAAGTTCAGCGTCACACGACCATGGACTCTGCGCTTCAGGCGGTAGCCTGACGTGGGGCGCGGTGCCAGGCTGCGATGGCGACTCTTGTCCCCCATGGCTTGGCGTTCTGTCTACGGGTAGTAGGGCCTCTCGCTGTGTAGGCTCTGCACGTGCCCAAGGGCTTTGTTGTGAGGCCGCAATCCAGGTTTCATTTAATCTCTCATCCATGTTCGTTTGATTGGCGTCCATGCCTTCATCAGCTCCTTGTTCAACTGCGTTGCGGTCCTGCTCCGACACAGCGTCTACAGCTGCAGACTCGGCCATCATGCCGGGTAGAGCAGCTACTTGCATCTCTTCCGGCGCAGAAGAATATAGCCCAAGGCCACTGTGCTCGCTGGCACCACGCTGTGACGTATCAGATGCGTAAAGATCTGCTCCTTCAGGCCTGGTGTTGCATGGTGTGCTGTCCATCCTGGGTCGAGAGATGGGTGACGGTCCAAGGCTTGGAGCCGGCTGCGGATGTCTGGACCATGGGCTCAGCGGAGCAAGTTTATTCAGTATGCTCTTGATGGAGAAGTCGCTTCGGGTACCTTCTGCAGAGAGACTCGGCCTCTCTCTCATCGAAGAGTCGCCTTGCTCGGCATGTACAGCAGCATCCTGCAGGCTGCGTTGGGCTTCGACAGACGGAACGAGCTCTGCCTCCTGAGGGGCCATCGGATGGCGTGAAGAGGGTTCCGCCTCCGATGATGGGTCAGCAACAGCACTTTGCGGCAGGGCTGAGGAACCAGCGTCTCATGCTCCATCTCAATCGCCGAGGATGTCTCGTGCTGTGCTGTTGGACGATCGAGTTCGACACTTTCAGGTTCGGGAGCTGGTTCTCGACAAACAGAGTGTGACGTTAGGGAAATGGCCGATGGCAGAGGCTGGGCCACAGTTTTTGCTTCTTCTTTGGACTCAATGGCCAGCGAAGAACATTCCAAGCCAGACTGCACGGGCGACATAGCATGGATAGCCTGCTGGGCGATCTCGGCCACGTCTTCCTGTGCATCATCATACACCACTTCCTGCTCGACTTGAGAGGTGGCACCACAGGCCAATTCCTGATCCCAACCATCTAAATACCGCTCCATAAATCGCACGTGGAACTCGTCGATGTCGTCTGATGACGGAATGGACTCGGTTTCGTCATCGTCGCGACCGTCGCTTTCGTCCTCCGTTGGACCATTTTTGTCCACAATATGCGACGACCTGTCCTCGGCGGCTTGCATGTCGCTCAATGGTTCCTGTGAAGACAAGTTAGGGGGCGACGCAGGCTGATTGGGTTCATCCGGCAGCGCTTGATCGAGGACCTCGGCATCTCTCTCCAACGCATATCGCATCTTAAAGCAAAAGCTTTGATCCTGCTGCGTCCCGAAAGGAGCCCAGTCCTCGTCGAGGACCATTGTGGGCTCGTCATCGCGCTGCCCGTTTCCGTTCATGGCAGAACATTCTTCTTCAGCTTCAACTTTAATGTTCCGCCAGCTTCGTCTGGATGGGGATGTTTTGGCTGTTGCGAAAGCATTCGGCACTTCCTTGGTCGCGACGTTTGAAGCGCAATTTGGCGAGGTCCCATGTCGCTGGGAAACAGGAGAGGAGAGTGTTGCCGCGGCTGCTTCATTCTGGCTCAACTCGTCTGCCACGCCGCCGACATGCAATATGGCAGACCTCCAAACATGTTGCCTGGGAGGTGAGCGCTTCTTGCTTGACGCGGACAGCCGGGAGACGCTGGGAAAGGCGGCATCTGGCGTGTTCGTCATGAGTTCGTCGTCGTCGGCGTCATTGCTTTCGTGTTTAATCTGTGGCCGGTGTCCCGACAGCGACTTTCGTGCAGAGCCGATATCGTCGCCCTGGCTTTTCGACGCCGCTAGAGCCGTGGAAGCTACGGCGGCGTGGATCCTGGCGACGGGGGAGGAGTACGAGTCGGGCTGGCTCGAAACGAACGGTGAATTGGAGAATCTTGGGTCGTCGGCATCAGTCCTTCTCCTCTTGTCTGCCACTCGCTTGAGCCACGCGGATTCTGTGGCTCTTCGCTTCGTTGTGGTCACGCCGGTCTCTGAAGTGGACGACGCCCAGAAAGAATCTTGTGAGAGAGACGGCTCATGGATGTTCTCTCGCCAATTCTGAACCATGGCCAGCTCATCCCGCTTGAGATATGGATGCGACCCTGAGGCTGGGGCCTGCTTAAGGCTCTCCGGACTTGGCAGGTGGCAATCGCGGTCATCGGCGGTTGATTCTTGTTTCCAGGGTGCTTTTGTCGTCTGCCCGTGTACCGATTCGCAGACGAATTGAGAGGCTCGTCCGTACTCGCACCGCTGCTTACTTCTCCAAGGGTTGGTCCAGCCAGAGTCCTCGTTAAAGGGGCCGCGCAGCGACGCCGAGAGCAAGAATGGGACCTTGCCGTCCAAAAAACGCTGGCCAGCCTTCTCATACCGCAGCCTTCTCGTTTGCGGATCGGGGTAGTCCTCATCTTCCGAGCCTTGATAGTAGGGTTCGTCGTCGCACATTGCTTCTGAGTAGACAGGAAGGTCCCGCGGGCTCAAGGGGTCATCGGGCACCATGGCCATTGGTGGATAGTCGATCCAAGCGAGACAGAGCAAGGTCGAGGGCGAGATTGACGAGTAGTGGCGCGATGAATGCCCGAGCTCACATTGCAGTTGCGCACGTCTTGGTTGGTCGTTGACGACGAGTGTCGGCCGGAGCTTGTCTGTGAATTGGCGGTGGTGGCTTGAAATTCGTCGAGGGGGCTGGCGCGGCGCGCTTCGCGCTGGCACGTGATGTCGCGTAAATGAGCTCCGCGGCTGGAACTCCCCGCTGTCCCCTGCAGAGTGACTCGTCGGGGTCAGGGACGCATGGAATTCGGGCGATAGCTGGTGGGCTGCGTGCTGGCTCGAAGAGGCATCAGAGAAAGCGTGATGATCCGTCACAAGCCTGAGTAGTTGACATTCTTCTCATTGGTGACATGACCAAGGGGGGAGAAAACAAAGTGGGTGCAGACGATAGATAGATGGAGGCACGTGACCTGGACCATGGCATGGGTTGTTGGCACAGCAACGGCGGCCCCGCAATCAAGGTTCATCCTGGGCCCGTGTTTACGTCTCTCGCTCCAGCTCGGTACTTGAATATACATCGCCAGCATCCCGACGATTGCCACAGAACAGAGGACGCGTATCCACGCTGGTCGCGTCGCCGAAAGGAAAGGAGGCACTGCTGCTGCTTCGACTGCGGTCCAATTGCTCGAGCTGGCTGCTGGCTTGTATTCATCGTCCATTATCTGTATTCTCACCTCTTCGCTTCGTCGGACTTCAAACAACAAAGCAGCTTTGCGCCGACTGTCGCCCTCGCGCCGAGACCGCAAACACCTTGGCCGGCCCTCTCAAACAGCTTGACGGGCCGCATAGCTCGCCCCCGGAACCAGACGGCGTCGCATCCCCGGCTTGCTTTCATGGCGACGCGGCGCAACTGACGCACGTCTGCCTCGCCCGCGATGGATCACGCTTGGTTAGATTCCCTGTCCGAGGACTGGATCTCCCAGCCGGAGAGCGACACGTCGGCTGGCAAGCTGCCGCCTCTGACCGGTGCCACTCACGCCAAAGCAGCGCCACGCCCGGAGCCCCAGAGCCGCATCCCGCAAAGAATCGGAAGGTCCTCTCTCATCTCGGAGCGCAACAGCAGCCCTTTGGTCCTCAATGAGCGCAGCGTCAACGAGTCACACATCTCGGGTCGCCGCCTGTTGTCGAGGGAGAGCAAGGCGTCGACGGGCGACGACGCCGGCCAATCTCCCCTGGCCGCGACCAACGGATCCGTCATTCGCAACAGCGTCCAGCACCACTCTTCGTCCACGCGGCAGTCGGAAACGCCCGAGTGGAAGCGACGCCTCGTTCACGGCAAGATTTCCTACGGGGAGCAGCGCGATCTCTTCTCGTCCGCTGCCGCCGGTCTGCAAGACATATTCAAACCGCCTCCGTCGAGCGAAGATGCTGTCGAGCAGTCGCAGACCACTCTGCCATCGAGCCCGCCGCTTCATTCGAACTTGGATATCGACGCCGACCTGGAGCGATATGTTGCTTCGGTAGATGACGACGAATCCACCGGCCAAGGAGCTACCACGCCCAGTCCAAGCCCCCGCAGGCCGCAGCGCGAAATCAAATACAGGCTGAACGTTGGTGACTTGTCGTCTTCAACGGTCGAGGACTCCGGGTTGGCATCGGGACCCTCCCCCGGACAGGCGACGGCGGAATAGCTCGACTGTCCTCCTCGACCCCAGCCGTTGCGCTGCGCCGCAAGACGGAGCGGGCCCATCGAGAAAGGCAAGCGGCCAGAGCGATATTCGAAACGAAGACTTCAGCCCCATCTTGATCGGCAAGCACAGCGAACAGGGGGGGGTGATTGACTTTGCGCCAATCGATGTGCCCGTGGAGCAGCTGCACCACAAGCTGGAGCGCCTGCAGATCAACCAGATGCTCATGGGCTCGCTGATTGATCCTCATACGGGCTTCGAAGCCACTGAGGATGCAGCTGCCAACGCCGAATCGACCGACGCCTACATGCGCAAGGGGGGGTTCATCAACCTGCAACGAGGCGGGAGGTCAGGGGATGGTTCATTCTACAACCGCGGCCTGAGCTCAGACCTGGGCGCAGACACTTCAGAAATGCTGCCCGAAGAATCGCTACAAGCGAGCACTCCTAAGCAGTTCCCGACAGTTCGCACACAGGCAAGTCTGCCGCGTCCCAGCATCCACTTCTCGCCCAGTCCGTCCCTACCTCGCGCGCCATTCCCAAGCCCCGACAAGCGGCAGGTCAGGCAAGACTCTGGGGACCAGCCCGGCGGCAGTCCCTTGAAGCTCTTCGGCCCTTACGATACCTTTACGAACCAGACTCTGCTTCGGCGCATCAGCCAGTTCGAGGAGGCTTCCGGCAGCCCCTCGAGGGCATCCTTGAATTCTCCCGAGCAGGAGTCTCCACGGCCGCCTCGAGATTCTAGCAGTGGAGGGTCGCCATCTCAGTGCACGCGCGCCTTCAGTCGGTTTGGCGGTGGGGATTTGGATGGATACGAATTCGCAGGAGACGTAGAGTACCAGTCGGGCGAAGATTCAGAGGTCCGCGACAAGGAAAATGTCGCGCCGCTTCCAGCCCTGGCCACTTTTCCGTCACTCCAGCCACCACGAGAGCTGTCGCCGGTCCGCGAACCAGAGCTATTCGTCCGCAGGAGGCGGAATCAGAGCCTCAGCCAAGGTGTCAACCCTGCTAGCTCAACAAGAGCACCTCCTCATAATCTTCCAACCATTGCTCTTCCCACTGGAGGACCGGCATCGGCTATGACGCCGAAGCGCGACGGCGACTCGGAGGGAAAGCGGCCGAGAACCTCCCCATCAAAGGACCCGACCCCGAAGCGCCGGCGGACCCTGCACCGGTCGGATGTGGCCTTTGGGCGCGAGCGTCACTTGGCCGCCGTCGACTCTGCCCATCGGCACATGCAGTCCATGATGGGCAAGAAGCGCAAGGATGCTCAGCCTGGCGACGTTGAGCCGACGGACCCCAGCGCCCCGCCCTCGCGCTCCATTCTTTGGCCTCGCGACAGTACCACTCCTAGCCCGGACTCGTCACAGGATGAGGCCCTGGCAGGCTCGCTTCTCAGGGCCGCACAGAACAACAGGCCGTCTTCGTCAAGCGACAACGGCTCCAAGGCTAAGAGACAGCCGTCCATCAGAACCCAGGATTTCGTCGACCAAGCCGCCCAGATCATGGCCATGATCCGGAGCCAAGTGAGGCCGGGGCTGGCGAGCCTCGAAGAATCCGAGGCCGAGTATGACGGCGCGAGGTCCCAGCCGTCATTGACGGATTCGTACCAAGAGTCCACCAACGAGCCGCTCTCCCGGCCGCCGAGCCGAGAGGGTAAGCCGTTGCCCAGGATCCCCCAGCGCCAAGAAGACCCAGAGCTCATCAAACGGCTAGAACAGTATCAAGAGCAGAGCGACACGGGCGACGTCATTTCTTCGTCTCTGCGATCCTCAAACCCCCTCATGTCCAGAACACAAGAGTTTGACGAAACGCACGACGGGTATGGCTCTACCGGAAACGACAGGCCGATTCACGCCTATGACAACATCATCACCGACCTTCCCAATGTTCGGATCACCCCAAGCCAAGCTCCGAATCATGGGTCTTTGGGAGCTACCAAAGACTTCTCAGGCGACTCAACAGGCAGGTCGACCAGCAGAACATATCCCACGACATCGTCTCGAGGCTCGGAGTCTCGCAGGACGATTATGCCGGAGAGCGTTTCGCATTTGATCCCCGACAGAGTGGGAGGTATGTACTTGGACAAGCAGCACAACATCTGGATCAAGAGGAAGGACTCGAAGTCCGCCTCTCCAGTCAATGTGCTGCCTTCTGACGACAGCGAGGAGGATCCGTTTGCTAGTATCCCGGATCTCTCTGTCGACATAACCAAGGAGCTACGTAATCTTCGACTTGCTACGTCTCAAAAGGAGTCTGTGGCTGACCAACCGGAACTGGAGCGCTCGCCCCGGAGCCCGCTAAGCACGCAGGCGAGACCGCCGCGGGGAGGGTATGTCACGCTGTCTCCCCAGGAGCGACCAGGTCCGCACATGGCCTCGGCCGCGAGAGAGCAGCTGGGCAGGCTCGGAAGCCTTGGCTCGGCGAGCCCGACAGCCTCGCTCGAAGGAGCGGGTCGAGACAGTGGCGCCAGGCGGCGGAATCTCACCATTTCGTTTTCTTCGCCCATTGCATCCGTCATTCACGACGTGGTGGCCGAGGACCTGGACAGCCTCGACGACGATCCTGATGAGTCCCAGATTGGGGCAGTCAGGTCTGCGTGGAAACATGGCCCTCAAGCCATTTCGTCACGCGCCAATCTGCACGGCCGGTCCTCATCGGCTCGTGGGCCGGGCTTCATGCCACGGCCGGTCTCGCGCATTGACGAGCAGGACGAGGAGAGCACGGTAGAGATTCAGCCCGACGAGGATCGGCAAGTCAGCATCATCGGCCAGAATAGCATCATGAATCACAGGACGCCCAACAGCCGTCACGCCAGTCTGAGCTTCATCATCAACCATACGCCCAACAACGGCAAGCTATCTGTGCAGCCGGACGAGAGCGCCATGATTGGGCGCAACGTGGGGAAGCTTTCATTGAGCCCCCTGTCCGAGTTCACGCTGGACAACTCGGACCAGTCGTTTGGGTTTGAGGTGAGCTACGTCATGGGCCGCCGACACATGGCAACCGGTGATGGCTCTAAGCGGGTCCTGTCCATGACGATACGGGAGCTCGTGGACAAGCTCGGCGAAGTGGAGCCGTACGAGCCGTTCTGGGAGGACATCACCGAGCTTGACCTCCACGGCAAGCAGCTGGCGAGCCTGCATATGCTCGACGAGTTTTGCGGGCGGGTCATTACGCTTGATGCATCGGGGAATAAGCTCGGACACCTCGACGGCGTCCCGTCGACGGTGCGGCAGCTCAAGGTGTCGCAGAACATGCTGACAGAGTTGACGTCGTGGGACCATCTGATGAACCTGCAGTATGTCGACGTGTCTGGCAACGAGGTCAAGAGCCTGTCTGCTCTCAAGAACCTGGTTCACCTACGCAGCATCAGGGCCGACGACAACCAGTTGACGAGCCTCGATGGGTTTGACTTTCACGACGGGCTGCTCTCTTTGAGGGCTCGCAACAACGCGATAGAGAGTCTCGACTTTTCGACGGTCATGCTGGAGCGGCTGACGGAGCTGGACCTGGACGGCAACAACGTCGGCGCTATCCACAATCTGGAAATGCTGCCGACACTGTCGCGGCTGAGGCTCCGGGGAAACCGGCTTCGCCAGCTGACGGTCAAGAGCAGTCTCGGGGCGTTGCGCGAACTCGACGTGAGTGACAACGAACTGACTGAACTGGATCTCGGCAACTTGCCCAACATTCGCTCGGTGCATGCCGACAGGAACCGCATCCACCGGCTATCCGGCTTCGAACAAGCCCGCCGCCTGGATAGCCTGTCGCTTCGGGAGCAGCGAGGCGACTTGCCCCTGGACATGAGTTTTCTCGCCCGGGCATACGAGATTCGCAAGCTATTTTTGTCTGGCAACTACTTGGGGTCTTTTGAGCCGGCCGTCGACTTTCTCAACCTGCAGCTGCTGGACCTGGCCAACTGCGGGCTGCAGAGGCTGCCAGCGAGGATGGGCCAACTGATGCCCAACCTGCGGACGCTGAATCTCAACTTCAACGCCGTCGCCGACCTCTCGCCGCTGCAGTTTGTGCCGAGGCTGAAGAAGCTGCTTGTGGCGGGCAACAGGCTGGGCGACTCGACGGCGGTGACGCAGCTGCTGACCGAGTTTCCGCACCTGACGCAACTAGACGTGCGAGACAACCCGGTGACACTCGGATTCTACGCGCCCGTCCAGGTCTTGGTGCCAAGGGACCGGAGTGGCTACGTCGATCCGTTTACGTTGCCGGACGCTGACGCGGAGAGAGACGAGCTGTTTGCGCGCAGGCTGGACGAGGCGACGAGGTTGCGGCGACGGCTTCATCAGATTGTCCTCGTTGCTAGCTGCAGACGGCTCCGCAAGCTGGACGGCCTGGGCGTCCGGCGGCGCGAGGTTCTCGCCAAGGACGACTGGCTGGAGAAGTTGGTGGCCGAGGGCCTGGTGCCGGAGCTCGAGGAGACGCTCGTCGCGCAGTCGGATGAGTCGCACAGTAAGGGAGGGGCACCGGCTGCAGGGACGCATCGAGGGGCCGAGGCAGTGCAAACCGTGGCAGCAAATTCCAAGGTTGCGACCGAGACGAGAAGGCATTTTGAGCAGCCACGAGGCGTCGCAACCGAGTGCGACGAAAGACATGAGTCTTGACACGACGGCAGTGGCTACAAAGGCAAAAACGAAGGGCACACGACTTGAGTTGCCTGGCATGGACGGAGTTGGGGTTGGATGTCCCCGCTCTGTCTGAAGGCCCATGTACGAAAGATACAGCGCAACGACTACCATTAATGATTGACGCGAGAAAACACAGAGGCGTGCCTCCTGAACGGGGTGCCGCATGGACATTGGAGTTTTGTGGGACAAGGCAGGGGGCTCGGAGTCAATGGTGGGAGGGAGCGGGCGGGCAAGGGGCTGGTGAAAATTACATGCTGGGTTTACGAAACTGTAGTGGATTAGATGCATTGTATGAATATCATATATTTATTCATAGACGAGGCGAAGACGAGCAAAGAGGGTTATTCACGCTGCTTGCTTGGCTGTAGAGATGGTGACGGAAGAGTCGAGATATGGCGGCTCCTTGGTGGATGAAACAGGCTGAGAGACGGCTAGCCAGCCGCCCGGGCGAGCATGTATGCATGTCTCGGTCATGGATCGCTGGGGGAGGCATGCGGTATGACGCACAGCCAGCGCGGGAAACGAAGGGCAGGCCGATGAAGATTGGCCGTGTCTAAGACTAGGCATGGATACATGAAATGTGTCTGTGGTGTAACTTACCCGTACAATAGGTTGGTGACTGTTGCGATGCTGAGAGAGGAAGAGGAAAGGGGCAGTGGAGAGCCGTCTGGTAAGTGAACTCTTTCTACCCCTGAGTATAGGGTAGGCATACCACCTCGAAGCGGACTCTCCGAATGTATGCCTGAGATTGGGGGTTTATTTTTAGATTGATTCGTGGGCGCCAGTCTGTGCGAGAATGAAGTTCGGGGAATCCGAAGTTGGCCGTGTTTTATTTTTACACTGCCGAGGCCGCGAAGAGTCCAGCGGCCAAACGAGATGGCGGGACGTATGGGTTCGAGCCGTCTGCATTGAGTGGGCGTTTTGCGAAACCGGGACAAGGGATGGTTGAAGAAGTGATGAAGCGGTGAAGTGACTGTCTGCATGACTGAGTGGAAAGGACTTGGTGGTGAGCATTGTGGTTTACTGAGAGCATGAAGGAGGGCGAGGATGCGTGTTATCCGCCCAGCCAAACCAAAAAAAGGGGGCGGTATGGGTGTAATCCGTTCGGCCCCGGCCACGGGCAAGGCTGCCGTCTATGCATCGGTGGCCCAAAGAGGACAGATTCAACGAGGCTTGGCTGGCGGCGTGTGTCCTTTCCAGCCACGGAGGCGAGAATGCTGATGGGGATGTGAAGGGAAGACGAGGACGAAAGAATGGGAGGGAGGAGGAGGTCGAGGTGTCGGACGTACTGTATAGGTAGGTACTGCTTGCTGCCCAGGTTGGTACCTGACCCGCCTCCGCTGGCATTAGGTACCTAGGTATTAGCTTGGTGCCCAGTCAGGCACCGTACGTAGGTCGTGCGCTAGGTACTATCTAGCAGGTAGTACCTACCTAGGTACCTAGGTATCCAATGAAAGTGCCTTTCAGGTAGCGCTGGCTGCAAGCAACTAGGTACCTAGGCAGGTACCCGAGCCTACAATCAATGCCGAGGACAGATACGTCAAGGGAGCCAGCCAGATTGCATGTGCAAAAGGGAGACGGCACAGTCCAGCTGCAGACAGCAGTGATGAGTAACTACTAGTAATCTCGCTCCTCATAATCAACAGACATGTCATCATCAGCAGCAGATCGTTGTCGCGGGGGTAAGGTGAGGTGAGGAGGTGGTGACGATGTACATGCAATACAGCACTTGCCACCTGGTGGTATCCATCCGTGGATAGGTAAGTACCTACCTACCTTACCTCGGTGAGTACCTAAGGTTATGATAGGTACACATCCGCTGTCGATGCAGGTTCCCGTCCACTGATTTACTACCCAAGGTAGGTAAGTATTTAGCGCTCGAGGGCCCGCCCAGCGCAAGCACCCGCGGGGCGCCCAGCCCTCTTCTCCCTGAGGGCCATCATGGTCCATGTATGATTAACAAGGGGCATGCCAAATTAAAACCCAAATCTCCATGCCAGGCCCAGCCTCTTCTCCGTCTCCCTCATCTCGTATGTATCTTGCACGTATGGACACTGTATACGTAGCTGGGTACCTCTGCAGCCCGCGCCTCGGCTCCCCCCGGCACGGCATGCACGTGGCTCTGCAGGCCAAATACCGACTCCCGCTGCTGATGATGGCCTGCGACTCCCTGTGGGGCGCGACAGCATTACCTCATCGGCCGTCAGTGTACCTCGACCTGAGCCGAGGAGCGAATGCCGCCTCACTCAACGGTCCCTGCGACCTCTCCAAGGTACCGGTACCAATACCCGTACAAAACTTGCCTCCTTCTGCCTCCTCCTGCCCTCAACTAACCGCCTCGTCCTCATTCATACCTACCTCGTCCCTCTTCTACTCTCCCCCCCCCCTTCTCCCTCCTTTTCTCTCGCTCTCTTACGTTTCTGGTCCTCTCCCTCTCCCTCTCTAGTGCTCTTGCTCTTGCTCTTGCTCTTGCTCTTGCTCTTGCTCTTGCTCTTGCTCTTGCTCACCATCCAGACAGACGGCAGTGGTATTCTTGCCTTCTCCTCCTGGCCTCGTCAGCCTGACGTCGTGAGCTCTCCCGCACATCAACACCTCTCACAAGTGCTGCTTGCGGCCTCTCCTCTTCCTCGTCGCCGTCCTCTCTCGACATGCTCCTCCTCCGCCAACGCCGATAATACTCGCGTCCGCTGTGCCGACCCCCATCGAGCCCAAAACCAGCAGCCATTTCCTCTCCTACCAGCGCGCCTCGACCCCCCTCCCAAAGGAGTATCCGAGGGAGGCGTCGCGACCATGACCATGGACGCGTCGTCGCCCGATCCCGCCCCGTCATCTCAGCCCCTCGCGCGCTCCGTTTCACAGCACAGCGCCGCCTCGGCCCGTTCACACCGCAGCGCCAGGCGCTCCAGCAGGAATCCGAGGCTCCCCAGCCAGCCCAGCAGCTCTGCTAGCAGCATCGCCCCCAGCGACAAGTCCCTCACCAGCTTCCCCAGCTTCTCCCCCGACTCCCCCACCGGCGACCGCTTCGACGACCATCCCTCCGCCCCCCCAAAGTCCGCCGCCCCCTGCCTCCCCGACAACCGCCGCGACAGCACCGCGAGCGCCCGCGCCCTGTCCATGGTCGACAACCTCGCCGGACGCAGGTCCGCCCGCGACGCCCTCTTTGAGGATGCTCCCCTGAGGCAGTCCGTCCCCGGCGCCCTTCACCAAGCACCCGATGGCCACATCGAGCGGCTGGTCGCCAGGCATGGTGCCGTCGCCCTCGTCAGGCAGATCGCCGAGGACCTTGCCCAGCGCGATGTCCAGATTGCCTCCCTCCGCCGCAGAGCCGACGAGCGCGAGCGCGCCCTGCGCAAGATCGTGCGCGAGTGCGGCCTGTCCAACCTCGACCTCGAGACGAGGCTGCGCGCCGTCGAAACCGAGCTGCGCGCAAACGACCGCGCCCAGGCCTCTGACAACGACGCCCTCTGCGATCTCATGAGCGACGCCATGCGCGACACCGTGTCCGAGAACGCCTACGGCGAGACGCATCGGGCCGACTCCACCATTCGCGCCACCGGCGCCTCGTTGACGGGCAACGCTACCCCCGGCAGCACCAAGGGCACCATGAGGGGATGGAAAGATTATTTGTGGGGGACCGGCACCGCCAAGAAGCATGCCCGCACAAACAGCATCAATGGGGACGGCAGGCAGAAGGTGACGGCCTCGTCGACGATCGTCCGATCGCACTCCAGCATGGACAGGCGCCCGACCCTCCAAGAAGACCTCTTCAACCCTCCCACGCCAGCCGATCCTGCGTCGGTACGGAGCTCCAGCCGTGCCTCTAGCATCCGTTCGGCCAATGCTTCGGACCCCAAGCCATCCGCGTCGCTGGCCAGCCTCGCGCTGCGGCTCGTCGCCGGTGGCACCGGCACGCCTCGAGAAACAGACGCCAGAGGCCGAGCCGCGAGCCCCTCTAGACGCGCGGCATCCGCCAGAGCAGGCTCGGCCGTGAGCGCAAGGACGGTGCAGTCGACGCGTGCCGCCTCCGTTGCCGGCGGCCCCAAGGCGCTGATGGCGATGCGACGGTCCACTCCGGCCCCCCAGGCACCCGCAAGCACAAAGGCACAGGCCCAGGATGTCTGGGGGACCGGGAAACCCTCGGTCGCGCCGCAGGAGAGCTACGGCCCCGTCGAGATGGACGCCATCCTGCCCCCCGAGTCGCAGCCGCCGACCATGACGAGCATCCATGCCAACTACGCCACGAGCGAATTCCTCACGGACAGCTTCGGCTTCATCTACGACCAGCGGCGCAAGAAGCGACAACGCGAGGCGGCACACATGGCGCAGAACATGCGCAATGGGAGCCGCGCCGAGATGCTCAACGGCCGCTCGGGCATCTCGCCTAGCCTCCTGGAAGAGGCATCCAGCCTTAATGGCAGCGTCTCGGACGACGGCCGGCCCGAGAGTCCGGGCAGCGCCGGGGAGCGAGGAGCCGAGGACAAACCGAAGCGGTGGCAGGACTACCTGAGGATCGCGACGTTCCCCACCGAGCTTCTCAGCCACACTCCCAGCATGAGCGGGGCCGCTCTCGAGGTCATGGAAGGCACCGATGCGTCGCAGGCCCCCGGACCGACCGGGAGTCGAGACGGCGAGCCCCTCAAGTCCCCGGGCATCACGCCGACTGGCGCCGGCCTCGTGCCCCTGGCGAGCACGACGACGGCTGTGGACAGCGAAGCGGCGGCACAGCCACCCGAGGCGGATGCCACAACGGTGGGCACGCTCGTCAAAGAGGACGTGGAGCCGGTGCGGCTCCTCCTTGAGCAGCTTAGCGACGTACACGACTCGCTGCAGCGCGACAAGATGGTCAAGTGGAACGACTTCTTGCGCAAGGTCCGGGCCGAGCGACGACGCGAGGGCGAGGCGGCCGTGGCAGCCGCCGCCGCCGTGGCCGAGGCCCGGTATGAGACGCCCGCCATGATCCTGCCCGAGACGCGCGTGGCCGACGGCGAGATGATTGGCATCTCGGACCTGGGAAACAAGGGCAAGGTGGGCCGGGCCAAATGGAACGAGTTCAAAACGCTGGTCCTCAGCGGCATCCCCGTCGCCTACCGGGCCAAGATCTGGTCCGAGTGCTCGGGAGCCAACGCGCTGCGCATCCCGGGCTACTACGAGGACCTCGTGTCCCAGGGCAGCGATGGCGACGACCCGGCTGTGGTCAGCCAGATCCAGATGGACATTCACCGGACGCTGACGGACAACATCTTCTTCCGAAAGGGCCCAGGGGTGCAGAAGCTCAACGAGGTGCTGCTGGCGTACTCGCGCCGCAACACCGAGGTGGGCTACTGCCAGGGCATGAACCTGATTGCGGCCAACCTGCTGCTCATCACACCGTCGGCCGAGGACGCCTTCTGGGTGCTCGCGTCCATGGTTGAGAGCATCCTGCCCGACGGGTACTACGACCACTCGTTGATGCCGTCGCGCGCCGACCAGCAAGTGCTGCGGCAGTACGTGTCGACGGTACTGCCCAAGCTGTCGGCGCACCTCGACTCGCTCTCGATTGAGCTCGAGGCGCTAACATTTCAGTGGTTCCTGTCCGTCTTCACCGACTGCCTGTGCGCCGAGGCGCTGTTCCGGGTGTGGGACGTGGTGCTGTGCACAAACGACGGCAGCACGTTCCTCTTCCAGGTGGCGTTGGCCCTGCTCAAGCTCAACGAGACGAACCTGCTGGAGCGCGACTCGGCCGCAGGGGTCTACACGTACATCAATCACCAGATGACGGAGCACGCCATCAGCATCGACGGGTTGATCCAGGCGAGCGAGGGGCTGCGGCGGGTGGTGCGCAGGGAGGACGTGGAGCAGCGCAGGGACAAGGCGATGCAGGCGGAGAAGGACCTGGTGGCCCAGCGCAACGGCGACTGGGACCGGAGAGACGCGCGCGACGGTGAGGTCGTGGCGGAGAGCGGCGAGTCCTGGAGCGGGCCGTCAAGGGGGGCCTCGCCGGGTCTCGTGCAGGCGTGATCCTCCGAGACGTGCCTCTGGTGTATAGACGAGTCGAGTGATGTTGGACAGCGGATTCTTGTAGATGCGGGCTGAAGCGTTAAGAGAATAAGGATCGATACCCCTTTTTATTTGTAGCCTTTTGTTTCTCGCCGCATGTGGCCGGAGTTAGACTCTCCATTGTTCATGACAGAATAATACAAGAGTCAGACGGCAGACGGCCATTTTTTGTATATCCGCAGCTCCAACAGTGACGACTCGGCCTACAATGCCTAACAGCACGTATATGGAAATATATATAAGATACCCGTTGGTAGCGTAGTCGCCACAGTCGAGGGCGTGTGATGGTATACTCTGTAGTTTGGCAGGTTTTACATGTTTTGCTTCGACCACAGTCATGGATGCAAGGATGGCAACGAGGTTTTGTACAGGAAGCGCGCTTCCGCCAGATGAGAAGTGCAAAAAGAAGAGAAGAGGCTGCTACAGCTTGGCCTTGGACTCGTTGAGCCACTGGTCGTACCAGACCTTGCCAAACTCCTTCCTTTCGGCCTCTGCGCGCTGATCACGGTCAAAGCGCGCATCCTCAGCCTCGAGGCCGGGGGGGGAGAGGTACGCAAGAAGGGGGCTGTGCATCTCGGTCTTGATGACGCCGTAGACACCGGACTTGGACTTTTCGAGCAGGGCGCGGTCGCGGACCAAGGCGAGGGCGTCGTCGAGGCCGGGGGAGGAGGTGGCGACGACATCGACGATGCCGGCGGCGAGGGCATCGGGGCCGGCGAAGCGACGGGCCTCGAGGGCGAGGGCGCGGCAGGTGGCGGGGGGCAGCTTGTGGCGGAAGAGGGCGGCCATGGCGGGCTTGAGGGGCGCGCCGAAGAGGAGCTCGTTGAGGCAGAGGTGGCCGCGGGCCGAGGGGGCGATGCGGTAGTCGTGGGCCATGGCGAGCATGAGGCCGCCGGCGTAGGTGTGGCCGTTGAGCAGGGCGATGGTGGGCATGGGGTAGCTGGGGATGGTGAGCGAACGACGATATACATGTGTATATATATATATATATAGAGAGAGAGAGAGACAGAGAGAGAGAGACGTACGTCAGGAACCTCCGCCAGACCTGGTACAGCAAGGGCCAGAAGCCATCCGTGCCCACGGCATGTGCGAGATCGAGGCCGTTGGAGTAGAACTTTGTAATGGCGCTGGTGGTGATGAGGACGCTCCCTCCGGCGGCAGCGGCGGGCCCAAACTCGAGAGCGTCGAGGGCGGCGAGCAGGGCGCGGCAAAAGGGCGTCGTCAGGCGGTTGTCCGGGGGCGAGGACCAGGTCAGCAGGAAGACGCCGGGCTGGGGCGCGGTGCAGACGATGGAGCCGCCGGGGTGGGCGGAGGAGTCGGCGAGGGGGGGGATGGGGATGGAGAAGAGGGGTGGGGGGGAGGCCATGACTTCTTCGCTCTTGTCTTCTTTTCTTCTGTTGTGCGAATATGGATTCTTGGATTGGTTGACTGATTGAGTGTTGGGGGAGCGTGGAGAGAGGAGGGGAAAGTCGACGATGATGGTGCGTTGTCGAGGTTGAGGTTGAACTGGTGGTTATAAGTAGGTAGTTATCACGGGCCTGTTTTTACCTCGGCTGTTTCTGCGCTGGACCCTCCCCAGTGCTGCAGCTGACAGGCCTGTAGCCCCTGTAAGCATAGTGGGGTAGCACCCGAGCCGGAATCGGCAGCGGGGCACTGGAAACCCCCACACTTGGCCAACCGCATGTCCCTTATCGACCCTTATCGCCCCCCATATTCGCTGTCCTCTTCCTTGTTTCCCATCGCCATCACCAGCTTCACCGCCATCACCACCACCACCACCAAAAATGCCACCGCAGCAGCGCTCCCTCCCCGCGCCCGCTGCTGGCGACGGCGGCGGCCCCATCGTCTTCTTCCACCCCGACCTCGGCATTGGCGGCGCCGAGCGCCTCGTCGTCGACGCCGCCGTCGGCCTGCAGCAGCGCGGCCACCGCGTCGTCATCTTCACCAACCACTGCGACCCGCGCCACTGCTTCGACGAGTGCCGCGACGGTCAGCCCTCCCCTGACCAGCACGACGACGACGACGCGAATACTGACGTGTGTGTGTGCGCATGCTTAAAGGCACCCTCGACGTGCGCGTCCGCGGCGCCTGGCTCGTCCCCCCCTCGCTCTTCTCCCGCCTCGCCATCCTCTGCGCCGTCCTTCGCCACGTCCACCTCATCCTCCACGTCACCCTCTCGCGCGAGCTGCCAGCCCTCACGCCCCGCGCCTTTGTCGCCGACCAGCTCTCCGCCGGCCTGCCCCTGCTGCGCTGCCTCTACCGCGCCGTCCCCATCCTCTTCTACTGCCACTTCCCCGACCTGCTGCTCGTCCAGGGCCGCCAAGGCTCCCGCGCCAAGCGCCTCTACCGCGTACCCTTTGACTTTCTCGAGCAGTGGAGCATGGGGTTTGCGCAGGCCGTTGCTGTCAATTCAAATTTTACCCGTTCCGTCGTTGAGCGCACTTGGCCGCGCCTCCCTGCAAAGGTCCGCATCGACGTCGTCTATCCCTGCGTCGACACCGATTCCCACGACGACGCCGACGATGAGCTGCGCGCCGGCTGGGGCAAGACTCTCCGTGGCCATGGCAAGCTGATGCTCAGCATTAACCGCTTCGAGAGGAAAAAGGACATTGGCCTCGCCATAAAGGCCTTTGCCGCCATCCCCGAGCCCGAGCGCGACGGGGTCCGCCTCGTCCTCGCAGGTATCCTCTCACCCTTTCATCAACCCCCCCCTCCATCATTGGCTAACCCACAGCAACTCTCAGGCGGCTACGATTCCCGCGTCTCGGAAAACGTCCAGTACCACCAGGAGCTCCGTCAGCTCGCCTCGTCGCTCCACCTCTCCCACCACTCCGTCACCAGCCCCGCGTCCCCCACCGCCCTGGCCGACGCGCTCTCCCCGACCGCCCAGGTCCTCTTCCTCCTCTCCATCCCAAACGCCCTCAAGGCCGCCCTCCTCGCCGCGGCCCATCTCGTCGTCTACACCCCCTCCAACGAGCACTTTGGCATCGTGCCCCTCGAGGCCATGCTCGCCCGCCGGCCCGTCCTCGCCGCGAACACGGGCGGGCCCGTCGAGACCGTCTGCGACCCGGCGACGGGCTGGCTGCGCGACCCGGACGACGTGCCCGCCTGGACCGCCGTCATGCGCCGCGCCCTCGCCCTGCCCGCCGCCGACCTCGCCCGCATGGGCTCCGACGGCGCCCGCCGCGTAAAGAACACCTTTGGCCGCGACCAGATGGCCGACCGCCTCGATGCCCTCGTCGCCGACATGGTGGCCGCCAAGCCCGGCCCGCCGCCCCTGTCCAGCAGCGTGCTCAACCTCGTCTTCCTCGCCCTCCTTCTCTCCCTTGGCCTGGGCCTGGCCAGCATGTACAAGCGCCTCACTCGGAACTAGACTCCCCCTCCCTCTTTCTCTGTTCTCCCAGGCCCGTCGGAGGATCTCGTGCCGGCGTAAAAGTCGCCGCGGGCATGGGGGAAGCGGCATGCGCCGCCCCCCTTGGTCATATATAGATATACATATGCATGTTAGAAAGATATAGGCGGAATGATCTTTTGGCACGGCGTTTGCGGGGGAGCAAGCCGGCTCCTCGTCTGTCCCACAAAGAGCAGAGAACCCCGGCTGGATTCGGGCCGCGGGTTTCTTCCCCGATTGAGAGGGCGACGCGGATCGCCTCCAGGAAAGCGGCCGAGGACACCGCGGCACTGAGAAAGCCGTCGACACATCACCAAAATACTTAAACGTCAAGAAAAAACCGCAGATTTCAAGGTAATCAATTTGCCATCCAAGGCGCGCTCCGGCGTCGCTACCTATGCCCACCCCAAACCCGAAACCGAAACATGACTATAATATGACCTGACCCAGCGTCTTGACAAAATGGCCAGCGAGCCTCCCAAGTGAAAAAAAAGCACCACGCTGTCCCTCACCCGGGTACTATATAAGTGATCAAACCGCCGGCACCTCCGGAAAACAAGGGTGTTGAGAAGAGAAGAGAAAGAAAAAAACGAGCAGAAAATTGAACGGGTGTAAAACCAGGGGCGTTCCCCTCAAAGCCAGCTTTCTTTCACAACGCTGCCTCCCGCCAAAGCGCCAGTAACGTCCGGGCTCCGGTCCGCAAAGGAAGGGGGGGGGGGGACGCCACGCTCATCGTGGAGCCCATGCAGATACAACATGAAGCAGAAAGTCAAAAGGCCCCCTATGCACGTCCAAGTCCCTGCATGATGCGCTGGTTGTGCCCCTATCGCTCTCGTGTGCTCCGCGTGGTGGGTGCGTGCTTGGTATGCCCGCATGTCCCGTATGCACCGCCGCATGTGCCGGTCTCAGAGCCGGGTAGTCATCTCCTCGTCCCTTCATCTGTCGTAAACCTGGCGCACACCAAGACGTCCATTCGTGTCTTCAACGTCCGGGGATGTGTTTAAGAAAGTCGATGTCATGGAAAGAAGAAATGGCTGCGTCCAACAAGCTATGCGAGACCAGAGAAGAAAAAGCCGACGGCCGACCAATGTGAATGATGAGAGAGTAGAGAGGTTTTCAGTGACGTCAAGACGTCGCGGTAATTGTGGACTCGTTCAAGCGAATGCAAGCAGGACCAGCGCTCCGTGAGGAATCCCGCCGAGTCAATGTGTGCTTTGTCTTCCACGACTTCCCGACCTAAACAAATGTTGTTCCAAATTCACCGAGATTGTGGCTGCGTGGGGTATTGTTGACGAGAAGCAAAGTTAATGTTTAGAAGGCATCATGTGTCCCAATTCTTCAGATTAAGCACGGGTTGCCATCGTCGTCGTGCACAGGAATCCTCTTCGCGGTTTCGTTGCTAGCTGTGCTGGCACCGGTATCCCTCCGTTTCGCCTCGACGGGGCGCACGGGTGAGGCCCTGAGCATGAGAGAGGTCCGTCTGCGAGGCTTGGCCATGAGCAGGATGCCGTCGTCGCTGCCGTCGTCGTCGTCGTCATCGTGAGCCGGGCTCCTATCCGATGACCCGACCGTGCCAGGGCTCCCGGGCCCGGCCGGGACAATATGTAGGGCCAGCGGGCCGCTCTCCATGGCAGGGGCGTTCTCGAAAACGTGATCCAGTCCCAAGCTGGTGGATGGCTCCTTGGCCGGCGCAGGTCGGGTCATGGAATCTTCCGCTTCGAGTCGTGGCGACTGACCCTTGACGATGCCAGGCTTTCCCAGCAGCTCCCCCTCGATGTCTGCCGAGACGGAGCTGGCCCCGCTGAGTAAGGCCGGCAGGGAGGGGTCCGACTGGAAAATGAGCATTCTGTGCGAGGCGTTTTTGGGTGCAATGTCCCTCGGCACCGGGCTCGTCGTCTCACTAGGACTTGTGAGAGGGGTGCCGATGGCCTCCATCGACTCCACGCTCGACGACTTGATGGTCGTTATCGTGTTGCCTCTCGACGGCGCTGTAAAGTGCCGGGTCCATTCCTGCGCGCCGGGAGATGGCGGACAAGGGACGTCCACTGCGTTCAGGTCAGCATCATGGGTTTGGTGTCCCTCGGGCTCTGCCGTCGCCGAGGAATGAGTGGCCGAACGTGCCGCAGGGGTCTCCGGCACGAGGGGGTCGTGGCTGTGGAGCTTGGCCCGCTCCGCTCCCGACGAGGTCTCTACACGGTGAGCTGTTCGTGGGCGCTCATCAACGTGTGTCTGCTGCCGTGCGTGAAAGTTTGGGTCGGACCGAGGCTGGCCGTGCTGATACGTGGCCGCAGCAGTCTGGGGAGAGCTTGACAGAGGCGATGGCGTAGTGCTGCTGTGCTCGCGCGGGCCTCTCTTGAGTTCTATCGATCTCATAGATTTCAGACGTCTCGGCCCCTGAATGCTTCCCGGCGCCACTGCATTGCTCAGTGCCACCTGGGCATGAGCCCGCTTGTCCGTGCTGACGAACAAGGCCCTGTCTGCGGATGCCGACCGGGAGCTGTCCTCGCCCTTGCATTCTGGACCACGGGCCCGCCGCCCAACCGGCTCCTCCTCACGCTGGCTCTCCCGGTGTCCGCCGCACCAGAGCGAGGCAGGACTTGGGCGTGCCTCTGACGGAGGTGGCCTCAACTGAAACAAGCTTTGTGGAGGCCTGGAGTTGCCGTGCTGGCGGTGAGAGTGTCGAGAAGGGCCGTCATTTTCAGTGCTGCTACGTTCTGCGGGGTTGGGGTCCCGAGAGTTTTGCAAAGGGGGCAGAACCGTGGCAAGGGGGTCGTATTCCACCGTCTCGGCTCTGACGTTGGTTCCTGACGAAGACGGGGCGAGGTGACCCGCCGGCGCTGGGCCGTCTCTGCTGGTTTGAAAGAAGTAGTCGTCGCCGCGAAAGCTGCCACGGCGATCGTTGGTGTAGTTAGTGGGCGGACCGGTGTTCCGGAGCACACTGTCGCCGGCCGAGCTAGCTGCGCTGCTTGCGGCTCGACGTCGAGACCTGCTGTCGCCTCGTTCGACTAAGGGCTGCATGACCTTTCCCACAGCCTTTTTCACGACCGAACGGGCTCGCTCCAAGAAGTTTAGCGGGACGACGGCAAACGACATGTCCTTCTCGTCGACCTGGATCTTCCTGCCGCAAGAGGGTCGTGCTGGATCCGTGTCGTCAAGCCAGCCCACGGGATTGGTGATGCCTTGGACGACCCACGGATGGCGCTTGATGTCCCTTAGGCGGATTCGCTTCTCAGGGTTCTTGATGAGCATTTGCCGGAGCAGGTCGTAGAGGAGGTTGTCAACCTCTTCGTATTCAAGGTCGTTGTCGTCACGATACGGGTGAGCATTTTGGCGTTTGTAGAGGGACGTTGCGGATGGCGAGGTGGATGGGTCGACGGGCTTCAGGCGTCTGCGGGAAATGTGCACCTCGTCGGTTGCAATCTTCCGGAACATCTGGAACTCGTCCTCTGCCAGGAAGGGAATGCGAGCATAGATGAGGCAGTAGAGCGTGACTCCGAGGGACCAAACGTCAATCTGCTCCGACACCTTGGGCTGTTCTTTGCTGTCGACATCTGTGTAACACAGCTCGGGAGCGAAGAAGGCGGGGGTGCCGACCGTCTTGGCGAGCTCCAAGTCGTCGTCAAAGTCCTTAGCTTCCGACTCGGACACGGTCTCGTCCAGCTCGCCGTCGCGGATAGGTCGGCCAAAGTACGAGACGCCAAAATCAGAAATCTTGACCCGGTGGTCCCTAGTCCAAAGCAGATTCGCCGGCTTGATGTCTCGGTGGACGACTCCCTGGTAATGGAGATATTCGAGCCCCAGCACGGTGTCCCGGAACGTTGAGCGGGCCTGGTCCATGGTGAAGCAGGGGACGAAGGAAAAGTCCTCGGCGAACGGGTCGTGGGCGCGAGGGTTGTAATCGACCGAGGACATGTGAGAGATAATGGAATCAGCCACGCTCGAAGATCGGGGCCTGAAGCCCTCGCCACGATGAGAGCCGTGCGTGGCCCCGTCGAAGGCGGTATATGAGCCGCACTGCGGAATGGGCGTCTCCATATCAGCGGCCCAGTCCACCATCTCATCGAGTTCCGGCGGGGCCGGGCCTGCCGACGTCGAGGACAGGGACCTCGAGGGCGCACAGGATGATGGGCAAGAACCAGCCGGGGACGGCTGTCCGTCAACGACTGCAAAGTCTTCGCGTGAAGGGATGCGGGACCACGGGCCGGCGCTGCTGCGTTCGTCGGCGGCGCCGTATTCGACGCTCCAATAGTCGGATGGACCGGCGTAGTTTTGCGCCAGCCTCGCCCTCTTGAGCTCCTTGAGAGCCTGGCGGCGCTCGAGGATTTGGTCGTACTGCTCCTCCTCGGCTGTGGGGGCGTCGCCTCGCATCTCGCGCTCGATGCGCCTTCGTTCGTACTGGCAGATGTGCGGCAGGCCCTTTTTGCGCCAGACGACCTCGCCGAGCTCGACGTGCTCGAGGACCATGTAGATCTTCTTGAGCTCGGGATCGTCGATTACTTCGAGGAGCGCGACGACGTTGGGGTGTCGGATCTTCTTGAGAATGGCAATTTCCTTCTTGGTCTTGTCCTGGGGAGACATGGCGGTGACGCGGCCGAGACGGCGCTTCTTGGAGAAGCGGGGGATGATCTTGATGGCAACGTTCTCGGCAGTCTGGGTGTTGCGGGCGAGCTTGACCTTGCCGTGCATGCCGCGGCCAATCTCCTCGATGACTTCATACTGGTTGATGGACTTGCGGCCGGTGATGATGTCGGAGTCGATGAGAGCCTTGTGGGTCCTGCAAATGCGCGGTCAGCATACCTCGGGCTGCCGCAGCGGTGCGCAGGAGTCGACGAGGGGAAGGGGAGGGGCCCAACATCGTGAAACACAGGTCGTGGTATGGGGAGGGGCAACGAGGATGAGAGAAGACGACGTACTCGCGAACCCTATGGTTCTGCAATGGATGCAGATACGGACTGCCCAAGGCCGGGGCGGGCGTGTTGCTCTCCGAGAGGGACGTGGGCTGGTGGAATTGCGAGGGCGACGGGCTGAAGAGGCCGGGAGAGGACATCGGGGTGCTGCTGGCCGTCCGCAGCGGCAACGACGACGACGTGGGGAGGCGAGGATGCGCATGGAGCGAGAGCGCTTGGTGCAGTTGCGATGAATCCATGTTGGGAGCAATTACGGGGGGCTCGAGGACGGTGAATCGACATGCTGAAGGCGGGTGGCTGCCGAAGCGCGATGCGAGCCTTGAGGCAGAAGTCAGAGAGGCCGGCAACCGGCAAACCTAACGCCGCATGTTGAGGTAAAGCACAGAGAGGAGCGTGGCAAAAAAAAAAGGCAAAAGGAAGATAAGATATGAGAAGACGAGGAGCAGAAGACGGTTAATTCGAGCGTGGGAGGTGTTGAATTGAAGGAGTAAGAGGGCAGCGTGTGTGTCTTCCTTGGGAGAAGCCGGCTGGGATCTGCGATGGATGGATGGATGGTGGTCGAGAGGATGGATTGGGGGAGTGGGAGTGAAAGAGGAGGGGGGGGCTGTTCCCACCAGCGTGGGCGACAGTGAGCGATAGCGCATGCACCGTTTGTACTGTGCAGCATGCGTGTGGTATCTGCGAGAAAAGTACATGCACTGGATAGACTCTAGTGGAGGCGCACAGTGCAAAGGGCAGGGATGAGACTCGCGTGCGCTGCAGAATCTGAATCGCACGGCTCAGGGGCGGGTGGTGTCATAGCCCCGGCAGACAGTTTGCGGACCGACACACGCACGGTGAGAGGCTAGGCCTTGGGCCCACCTGCAAGTACCTCGAGAGCCTGACGTAGGTGGTGTGTGAGGGGGGTGGAGCCAGTGGGGTGGCTCGCCGCTTGGGCCCAAGTGTACACGGGCGGTACCTCGCTGGTGAACTTGGTCGCTGACGACGGGCGCGGGCATTCGCGAGCCCCGGCCGGGTAGCGAGCCGGTACCGGCTGCGTCTCTGCTGAAACCTTTATCGCTGGCGACGACCTTGTTCCATCAATTGTTTCCAGGTCGCGAGTCCCTCGGCAGCGACGCCGGGGCCGACAACGCTCCGTCGGCTTCAGAGGAGGAGGAAGAGGAATGATTGGCTGCCTGCCTCTAGCGGCACACTGCTCGGGTCAAAACATGATGTAAAGGCCTCGAGGTTTGATAAGTGCCTTGGGGCATGGCTGCTTATCGTGCTTTCGGCGCCATTGGTCTGCTGCCTCTGGCAGTGGCTGACGCTGCTGCAGGCCAGCTGCAGGCGGGCTGCAACGGGCTTTGATGTGCTCTGCTAGCGGGTACCTGTTGGCAAGGGGGGACAGACGCATGCGCTCGCACCTCGGGGTTCCGACTTCTTTGCCGAGACGGGGATTTGCTCCATCACAGCACTAGCAGCGGAACTTACGAGATCAACGGTTAATACTGTCGGTACTGTTAGCCGTACTTTACCAAGCAGAGAAAAGCCCCGTACCGGTGCAAGTACCTGCAGCGCGCGGCGTGGAGGTACTCTTTGCGCGGTAGCAGACGGTGGCGCTGCTAGACCGGGCTGCATCCCTGCCTTGGAGAGCCCGCCGTTCGGGCGCCGGCGGGCCTGACTCTGGTTTTCAGCACGCCAGCAGTCTCATGAAAAACAAAGAGTCACATCAACACAGTTGCATGCAATCTGGTGGGAACAGCATGTACACATGTACGTACATTCACCTGCGGAGCATGCATCTACGAACAAGAGTAGGTACTACTGATATACGTATGCGAGTTCCGCCTCGATGGAGCCCCAAACTCAAGGCTATTATGAAAGGATGCTTGTCTCGATGGCTACAGAGAGCGATGCCGGCCTGGTACCTACTGTATGTAGAATCCCCAAATGCTTGGAACGGCAGGGGTCTCATGGACACAGAGGCCCCACTTGCCAGTACGAGATTGCATGCATGCAAGTGCGTGACACAGGCAGGGGAGCACGGATCGCAGGTGGTACATGTCCCAGATAGGCAGGCTCTTCGGTGGCGCCACCGGGAGCCGGGCTCGGAAAGGTATCGGCAATCTGGCAAAAGGTACTTTGTCTCCCTGTCTTTGTACCTCGGACCTGACGCTCATTTTCCTTATCTCTGTTTCTGCTGGCGAATCAGAATCGTTCCATGGGCTAATTGCTGATTCAGCCGCCAAAATAATAGATTAGAAAAACAGGGACCAACAGCACTCGCATGTCGTCAAGACGAAAGACAAAGCTATTCATCGGTTATTTTTGGATGCGAAACCACGCCTTTCAGACTGCACTGCATCTCCATCTGTGTCACCATTTTTCGTCGTCGTCGTCGTCGTCGTTGTCGTCGTCGTCCTACGGTAGGGTGCGTTGCAGCAGCAGCGACCCATGGCGACCAACCAATCCCGACGTGTCGCCGAACCGCCGGACCCGATGATTTCCATTCTTCGTCGTCATCGAATTTATTGGGCCTCCGATACTCCCGGCACGGCACCCTTGGCACCTTTACTGTGGTACTGTAATTACGGCACGAGCCACGGGCAGTGGTGCTGTTCAGAGGCGCCGTTGGCGGGCGAGAAGCAAAGGCACCCAAGGTCAAGGAAACAAAAAAAAAATTGCACCCGCCCGTGCCCAATATTGATCAAGGGCCAATGCAAATGCACAACCGGCGCATCGGCTGCACTCGTCGACACGCCATCACCCACCGACAGACACGTCGTATTGCCCCGTGCTATGAACCGAAGCCATCGTGACCCGACCAGCAGAGCCGAGGGGCCGCCTTGGCTGAAGCAACATCCAGGCGGTTGGCTGCTTTGACAAGGCCTATTTGTACAGTAAGTGTGTTTACGTAGCAGCCGCGCAGAGAGGCAACAGCTTGTTTCTTGTCTCCTCCAAAGCAGCCTTCAGTCCAAACGAGGCAGCTGGATCGAGGCCCGAAGGCAACCAGGACAACCCACTTGCAAGCTGTGCGCCTGTCAAAAATCGACAATGGGGGCCGTCTGTTGATGCGCAGCCGGGTTTATTACCGCAGTGCATCGTTGGCCGGCCTCGCGACGAGGGCAGCGGCAGGGGGGGGCGATTCTACATGACACCTGGCCAATCCGGCGCCCATGCTGTCCAGTACAGACATGGCAACGGCCTGGCCTCGGAGTGATGCTTCGTGGCCTCGAAGCACAGTGTGGACGAGGCGCTCGAAGTTGCCACCGCCGCGCGCCTCCCTCGTTGCCTCGTCACATTTTTCTCTTTGGCGGCAGCACAGCAGACGACGGCTTGCGCCTGCGCGGTGTGCACTGTGCCCGGGCCTTGGGCAATCTCCACGCATCGCGTTTCTGCTCCAGAACCCCACCGTCGACGGGCCGGGACAGGGGGGGCGTGGCGGACGACGAGGTGCCCTGTGGCGTACCGTGCGTATACCGAGCATCTGTCACTGTGGTCCTGTCCTCGCGCTTCCTCTCCACGACTAAAACAACATCAACAACTTCTATATACAGCGACTGTACTACAGATACCTCGAACCTTGACATTCTAGCCCCCAAAGCTCGTACTGTACCTGGCAACCTCGGAGTCTGTACGTACGCACAAAAGCTTCAGGGCTATGCTCATGTGCAGGTACCCGCGGGCATGTGCGTGCGTCTCCAACAACAACAGCCCGTGGCGTTATGCTTTTGTGCCACCTACCTACCTTGTCCTCGACTTGCTCCTCAGATAGGCAGGTTTCCCCCCCTGAAGGTTTTCCCGGGGAATAACTGGAGTACTTTGCAGGAGCAGCACCAAGGCGTGAGCTAGCACATAGCCCCGGCTCTAATCGACGCCCACCCACCCCATCCCCATCCGAGGGCACATGTCTGCGCACGGCTCGGTGGCTCACCTTTTGATACTTAATTAATTAGGTTAGTTGCCTCACCTGAGCCGAGTCGACGCGCTGAAACAGGGCTGTGGCTTGATATGCCTTGCAGCGGCTGGGGAGCCCATGATAAAGGCCCCTTTCCTTCATCCCTCCCTCTCTTATTACTGCTCTGTTTGTGCTACCTTGTTTCGAGAGTTGGGACAAAAGAGGCGACGAGAAAAGAGAGGACAGACTCTGGGGGGGCTGGCGGGGGAGGGGGGGCTCTCAAGGCAGTGGGCACCATGGCTGGAGCAGGCATGGGATGTGCACTGCCGAGAGCAACGAGGACGTCATAATCAGGATATTCTTGCGCCGTAGTCGAGAGTCATGGTGTGCGCGCCTCGGCCAATGAGCTCGCCTGCGTTGGTGGACAAGGGGAGTGCAGACGACGAGACGACCAAGGCAAAGGAATCCAAGATGCGTCAGGGTTCGCTCACACTGTACGGTACATGCATGTAATGTGTAATGTATGCACATGAACTGTCCATCCACTCGTTATTCCGCTCATGATATCGACAAGGGCTCGGACGTGGGCGGGTCATCTGGGGTTTATGCACCGTGCCGGCTCCGGACGTCCCTCGGCAACCTCCCCGATACGGCTTACATACTTCAACACGCATCGAACAGCGATACAGCACTTACATACATGTCTTCGCTGCCGAGTCCCTTGCTGAGTGCCATCTTCCTTATTCCCGGGAGGCTTGTCCGGCAAGGTCACCTGCAGTAAGCCCGTCCATCTTCCTCCCTTTCCCTCCACCTCCCGCCTGGCCTGCGTGAGCGCTGGCCTTGTCTCCCCTTGTTCCCTAACCTCCTACTTCTCCGGTACCGTCACACCGTGCCTCGCCATCAAAAAAGGGGGAGGGGCACCCCGGCCGAGGATGAGAGGCGGGAAACAAGAAAGGCAGGGAGCAGAGAGGTTCGCGCCGCGCGGGGCCGCGTGCTACCGTTCGCTGGAGAGGGGTGGGCTGCCTGATGACTGGCTGGGAGCATCAGAAGACCCTCACGAACTGTTCCGTCTGAGAGACCTCATTGGCTCGACCCTTGGACAGTGTGTGTGCGGGTGTGTCTGACAGGAGAGGGATGGTGGGTGGTGGTGTAGTGGGCATGGGGGGAATACCGGCCGGCCCGTTTGCCAATTGATGTGCGCCTCACTCGCCCCAGCGCCAGCGGCAGTTGGGGTTCGGCCGAGACCCTGTTTCCGGAGTTCTGAGACGCTTTGCCTCTACTTGGGTCGTTCTCCGCGGTCATGATCACGGAGGATTAATAATGACATGGCACCCTACCTTTGTCACCCGACGCAGTATCCGCGAGGAGATGGATCCGAGGCGGGAGAGTAGATTCAAACGTCTCCTGTCCGTCGTGTTGGGCAGCGTCCCGATCACCAGCCTGATGTTTGCTCCCTCCCTCCGTCGGCCTCCCCTTGCCCGGTCCAGTTCAGTCTACACAGACGGCGACGCACGCGACCCGTCAACCCGTATCCAGCATGCGTCATTTCAGTCCGTGGATTTCCTCCCGCGCAGTGCGGCAGCATGGGGAAACGGGCCTACAAGATACAGACATGCATGCCCAGGCCATATATATGCCACTCTATAGGTGCGGATGGTCATCCTGGAAAAAACGGGACCCAAAATCGACGTCTCTCTGGCAGCCTGGAGAGGCTGACGAATACATGCGATATTTACACAGACAAATGGAGATGCGGATGAGCATACAGTACATATTGGCCCGGCTTTGTTCCTTCCCGTCTGCGTCAAAAAGAGAAGCGCATAACAGACCGGCGAGCACATGCCGTGTCCTTTGGATGGATGAGCCGCAAAGACACACGACGGTTGACAGTTTCTGACGCAACGACCCCATCCCAGCATGGACGTGACACTCCCAGGCCGACAGGATGCGTAAACGATCCCGGCATCCTGCTCATATATCGTGCCGTCAGTCACTCCGCATACTGCATGCGCGTTTTATGTATGTACACACAATACAAAACCACTACCCACCGATCCATCCGTCCCGCTTCCCCAGCCGATCGTGCCCCAACCTTGGAAGTAACTGGAAAGATGCTGTGTGGCCAGCGCCAGGGTCCTGCGAGCGTGGTCGGCTGACGACGGCCACGCACCTCGGCGAAAATCAAAGGGCACCCGGGGCTCGCGGTGTCCACAGAAGGGGGGCGAGAGAAATGGCGAGAATCCGGCAGAAGGCGAGAATCAAGGGGCTCGATTTGGCCGTTGACGTATCTTTCTATGTGTACTTTAGTCTAGAAACCGTACTCATCAGCTATTCAAGGGGGAGAGGTGTTGTGTATGCCGAATCGATGCCCAGGGGGGGGAGGAACGAGTGAATATCTGTAGGGGGGAAGCGAAAGCTCGTGATCGGACTGTCGAGGCCAATGACGTCTGGTCTTCGGCGTTGACTCTACTGTACAGCCCCAGCAGGAGGCTCTTGTTGAGAATATACCGATGAGACAGGTTCGGGAATAACGGTGCCCGATCCAGTTTCGAGACCTGGTTTCTTGAATGATGCAAATCCTTGGCCACGAGTGATTTGATGGTAACAAATCTGAAACAGAAATAGCATAGTCTTCCAACACAGAAGACTATCCAACAGCGTCGAAAAAGTGCTGTCGTCGTCTTCTACCCATGCTCATTTTCCCCTGCCAACAAATACCCGAACTCAACGTGGTTTATGCAAGTATATTAGCCTAGACATGCAGTTAGACATGAAGGCAGCTTCGAGAATGAATGGCATTGTATCCGCACATCTGCCTCAAGTCATTGCCAAGACGTAAGAGGGGAAATATGATAGCTCAACTCCGAAACTCCCATCAACGGACAAGGGGAAGGGGGTAAAAGAGGGTGCCAATGCAGCTTACCGCACACAAATACGCCCTCGCTCATGCAGCATGTAGCGCCTTTGCGGCCTAGCGGGCAGGGCTTGCAGGCAGAGAGCAAGCTTAGCAGACTATAAGAAGAATCACGAGGCCCCCCGCTGCCGGCGAATTACGAGCTGAGCGTACATCAACGTAGCAGTCTCTGGCAGAAACAAGAAATAACGCGGTTCCCCTTGAGGGCCACCCTCTAGACAGGCCCCCATCAAGCATCATCTTGCGTCGATAAATCTGCCCCCCTCTTGTTCTCGCTCCCCTGCTACACACGATCTGCATACATACATCGCAAACCAACTAGTTACCAACTACTACCAACTACTACCTAGCTACGGGCTGCCCCCGACGAATAACACGAGCATGTCGGCAATAGTCATCTTTGCGTACCCCCGCAGCTCAGCCTCAGACTTTAATCTGGCCTACTATACCTCCTCGCACATGCCCATGGTGGCCGATAAGTGGGCGCGCTACGGGCTGCGCTCGTGGAGCGCCATCGAGATGACGCCGGGCTCGCCACATGTGGTGCAGTGCGTCCTGCACTGGACCAGCGTCGGGGCGTTTGAAAAGGCCCTGGAGGAGGACGGCAAGGACATTTTGGCGGACATCAAGAACTACACGGACGTTGAGCCTGCTATCTTGAAGGGGAATGTGAAGGGGCAATGGGCCGCGTGAGGGGATGGGGTTTGTACGGAGAAGCGTGCCCAGGGCCATAGGCGGATCAAAGGGAAGAATGAACGCCTGGCGACTGAAAGGGGTTGGAAGATGGCGCGGGACTGAGCGCAACTTCCAAGTAAAGTTGAGAAAGGTCTTGATGTGTAAACAACCCCTTTTCATGGACCGCTTGGAATAATACAACAAAACTGAACAGTTAATATATACAATATTATAGATATAGAAGTGTTCCGTTTTTAAAACCATGTGAATGCATCGAGAAGAGTTTCTTATTACTTGAAAGCGCATGAAACAGAGCGGTGACTCCACCCTGAGCCTGTCCATATTCTGCTGGGCCGTGCTACTACCCGCCTGGGCAGTTTTCGTGTTGCGGTCGCAGCGCCGATTATCTCTGACTGACACACATACAAGAAGAATTAGGAGGTGGGAGATGCTGTGTCTCAAGAGTACCAGACCATTGTGCCGTTAAGCTCACGCGTGTCTTTAGGGCCACAACCAACAGGCCACCTCCTCCCGGGAGCCACTTTCGGTATGCAAAGGCATTGAATCCGCCTCATCGAGGCCATATTGTTGGCTGGCGTCTAGCTGTCAAGACTCGCGGCTATATTTAGGCATTGCTTGATGACGCCATACAGTCTACTACCATCGTGGCACCTCTTGTTCAGGGCGACGCCCTTGGTTAACCTTCGACATAGATACTTGACAGTTTTATCATTTGTAGACATCACCTGTCGTCACGTATATCGTATTGCATCACGGTCAATGCTGCATTCACAAAGACCGACCAAGAAAGTAGTCGGAGACAAAAGAATGCGTAAGAGGTATCGATAGTGCCTTTTCCAAAACAAGCCAAAGTGAGCAAGTTTCTGTTGTCAAATACATGATAGATCCTCGTCCCAGGCGTTATTCGTAAGAATTATGCACACTCTTTCTTTCTAGGGGCTTGCTACAAATATGTCGTTCGCTGTCAATCTGGTAACCGGCCTATAGCTTCTGGTTAATAACCAGGGAGATCAAGATTGCGAAACCGACGTGGACCTTTAATTACTTTGAAACGGAGACTTGGCCATCGGCTTTGCCCCTTGCCACCCACTGGGATCGGGGCCAAAGGCAGCGACGAATGCGCAGAGAAAGAGTGAGAATTTCACGTTGTCTGCGGAGATGGCCAAGATAGAGCGAGTGTGAAGTTGGCTTAAAAGTGGATGTCTAAGCTTGTTGCGATATCGTAGCTGATGCGACCATCCGTGAACCGAGAGGCTCCATCCTGTTCATTCTTTTTCCTTGCTGCAGTTGCCAGTAACTAATTCATGTAGTTTTCTTCCCGGCCCGAGATGGTTTCCTCAAAATATGAGGCTCTCTGGGTCAACTACAAGAACCGGAATAGCATAAAACCAGGCAGCATAGAGCGGCCCCCGAAACGGCCTTGTCGGCCTTATACTTCTTGGCAACATAGCTTACGCATGTCATTAAACCTAAAGCCCTGACCCGCCTTATGTGTCCCAGGTTGGCTCGGTGGGCCAAGCCAGAACGTAGAATCCTTCTGGCTGGCTATTCCCGCTTGTTCATCTCCTCGGAGTGAGGTTCGCTTTATCTTCCACCTCTTAATAGAATCAATGTTTCAGTCTGCCCTCTCCAGCACGGCAACTCGCTACGCTTCTAGGCTACAGGCTCTCAACGTGTCGTTACACAGGCCAATAGAGATGCGTTTCCCGCAACTCGGTGGAGTTTCAAACCAACTGGCAAGACGAATGGACCTCCTGGAATAAAACGAAGTGAAGGATGAGTTTGCAACTGCACCTGAAGGAAATTGGCAGCGAGTCCTTAGTAAGCGCCAGCCCCTGTAACTCCCCGCGACCATCGTCGTTGGTCGGGCTTCGTTTTTCACTCTTGGCTGCCCCCTTTTGCTGATTCGGCAACGGTCTGCGGCTCGACGCCGCTCAATCTTCAAGTATCCGATTCATCGAGAGATTCATCGAGACCTGAAGGACACAGAGCACAAGGAAGGCACCGGCATGGTATCGAGAGACATTCGCCATCATCACCGTCACCATGGAGGCCACGGCAGTCCCGAACCCGGTGGCAGCAGCATCGCTTCTTGGTCGTCACCTGTACGCGGTGAGTCCGGTGACCCTGGCCCTCGCTACCGTCGCCGTTCTGTGGCTGTGGCTCCATCGACGCCGGCGGCCTGCTAGTTCGCAGCTGTTGCCCGCGTGGGTGCCGCTCGAGATTGGCATCACCTCGGCGCTGCTCAAGTCCAACAGCCTGGCCTCATACTTGCTGTCAGTCTGCGCTCCTCTTGTCTCCCCGACTGTCCTGCTGACGCCCAAACACAGCTTCGTGCTTCGCCGCCGTCAAGGGTCGCTGTTTGGCCTCACGCCGCGTCACCAGATCCTGTACAATCTCCCCAGCATCGAGCGCCTGCTCGCCAAGGGCCACCACACCATCAACACCCACCCGCTGGGGCTGAGCATGCTGCTGCGTGTCTTTGGGGCCCCCGTCTTGTCCTCGCTGCGCCAGCAGTTCGCCCTCATCAACGCCCCGCTGACGGCCGCCGTCGAACGAGGCTTCGTCAACGACGCCGCCGCCACCCAGGCCATCCAGAGAGGCGACGTCGCCCGCAAGCTTGCCCGCCTGCTCAGCTTCTCGGCCGACCGTGAGCACCAGCACCGATGGGAATGGACTGCCAATGTCGCCATCCTCGTCCCGGACCGCCCCGACCACCCAGGCGCCGTCGAGCTCGACCTGGAAGCCCTCCTGCGCGACCTCGGCGCCTGCATCTCGATCCCCCTGCTCTACGGCCAAGACTTTCTCGACCGCAACCCGGGCCTGCTCGACGACTTCTGGAAGTTTGACAACGACGCCTTTCCCCTGCTCGTGGCTGGTGCTCCGACCTGGCTGCCCATCAGGTCCTTCCGCGAGGGCCTCCAAGCCCGGGCCCGCCTCCATGAAGCCCTCGGTGCCTTCTATCGCCGCCTGCAGCAGTTTGAGCGAAACGAGCCCGTCGACTTTGGCGCCGACATGAGCGACGTCAGCTTCGTGGCCCGCCAGAGAAACGACGTCTTTGAGCGCTTCGGCGTCTCCACGCCGGTGCGCGGCATGCTTGAGCTGGGCACCCTCTGGGGCCAGAACGCCAATACGCAGCCGCTCATTTTCTGGTTCGTCCTCTACGTATATTCCACGCCTGGTCTTGTCGAGGCCCTGCGCGCCGAGGTCGAGCCCTGCCTGGTCTTTTCGACGACACCAAACGCAACAAACCAGCAGCCGTCGCCACACGCATACCAGCTCGACTACGCGGCGCTCGGACGCAGCTGCCCGCTGCTAAAGTCGGCCCTGCTCGAGACGTTCCGCTTGGCCAACGAGCCGACGTCGATCCGGTATGTGTCCCGGCCCGTGACCGTTCCCGACGGCGAGCACAGCCACCACCTGCACCCGGGCACCTGGATCTCGGCCCCGCACGCCGGCCTCCAGCGCGACGGCTCCGTCTTCCCCGACCCGGATCGCTTCGTCCCCGATCGGTTCCTCGAGCTCGACGAGCAGACGGGGCGCAAGGTGCCGCGCTATGGCAAGCTCAAGCCCTGGGGCGCCGGCGTCGGCATCTGCAAGGGGCGGACCTTTGCCGAGAAGGAGATACTCGGCGTCGTCGCCTGTTTCATCACCCTGTGGGACATGGAACCGACCGGCGGCGGCGCATGGACTTTGCCTGGCTTCGTCCCCGGCACCGGCGTCATGCGTCCTAAGGAGGCCGTTCGCGTCGTCATCAGACGTCGCCTCTTTTTCTGATCTGCTTATATTGGAAACCGTGCGAATTAGAAGACTACCCAGCCCTCCATGTCTACTCTAAGCCCTGCTTGCGCCAAGCGATTTCAAAATCATCGGCGCAACAATCATTTGTCAAGTTCCTGGACTACACGCGTTCAACGACTCCCTATCATCTTCAGCTGGACCGCTAAGTCTACTGGCCTGCTTGTCCATCATCCCTCCACCAAGCCCAACACGAAGCTGCGCTCAAGCTCAGGCCACTCTCTGCTCCCACAAAAGGTCCCAATCGTCCCGGCTAGCTCTAAGAGCCAACCCACTGAGTTTTCTTCCACCACATCATACATGGCTGGCTCTGCCAGAACCTTGCTCTCAGACGAGCCAAGCCACCAGACTCCTCGTGGCTGCTTCGCTTGCCCGTTCTGCACCTCCGCAGGCTTGCCCGGCACGGGCCGCACCCGGGGCTTCCCACCAACACGACGCCATTCGTTCACCCTCAAGTACGGCAGTGGCCTCTGGAAAAACCAACTCAGGCGGCCGTAGGGCGAGACACTCGTTATGCGTCCGCCTTTGGATGCCCTGTGAAAGCTCTGTAACCCCTCGACGATGACATGAAGCGTCTTGATGCCTCCTCCACCGCCGGTAGCTGTTGACCCGGCGTCACCATTGTTCGAGACGGCTTGGCCGGTCCCAGTTGTTTGTTCGCTGCTCGATGCGCCTCCACCGCGAAGGGCCTTAGAGATAATCGGGGATCAACCCGATCTGCGACCCGTCGTGGTCGGGTACTTGAACAGGGAATATCTCCTGGACCGGGCCCTGGTTCCAGCCGTTCCCCGTTGATTCGGGACGACGGCCATTGTAATCAAGACCATATCCCCATTGGAAGTACATTTCCTCGGTCACCAGGATGCCGACGCGGCGGGCTGGCCCCCGGTCGAGGGTCAGGGCGTTGGCAGACGGCAGCTGGGCCTGCCGGGGCGGGAAGCACAGGACGACGAGGTCATGGGCGGGAATCCAATTAAAGGTTTCGAAGTTGCCGAATGGATTCTCGGGCTCGCACCACCTGTCATGTGCCTCATTGGCGCCGGCACCACCACCCAGCTGTCTGTAGTGCGCTGCCACCAAGAGCCGGGAATCTCGGCACGCTGCCAGCAGGGCGTAAACAGGGAGGTAGCCCGAGTCTCGCGCCCGTGTCGCGCGCACGCCGAATTCGCTGGACGACCAGAGGTGAGCCATGTTGCGCTTGCGCGGGTGGTTGATTATGTCGAAGAAATGCGCCTGGGGCCCGACGGGGGGGCTCTCGAGCCAGATCTGGCGCCGGATCTCGCACGGCAGTCTCAAGAACGACTCAAAGGTAGAGGGACCTTGTTCTGGAGCCGCCGCCCGCGTCTCCTTGCCGATCAGGGAGATTTGCGCGAGAACCCAGCGGACCAGCGTCCCGTGATGATCGATGGCGTCTCGCGCGGAGCGGTACTGGCAACTGTCCCTGGAGAACTGGGTCATGCAGTCAATCCGCTTGTCAATGCGCTTCAGAATCTTCCGGGTTTCTCTTGATTCGCTTTTAGGATTGCCACCAGCAAACTTGGTGTGGCGGCACCTCTCGACCATGAGTCGGGCCGTCTCCATGCCCGCCGGGTCGCTGAGACGTTCCAGCGTGTCTTCGTCCGTCTCGTGCGTCCCCAGAACGCCAGACTCCCGCAGATCGCGCAAGGCAATCCCGTAGCCTCCTCTATGCTGGTCCAAATCCTCCTGGCGCAGCTCTTGCTCGCGATATAGGTAACACAAATACTCAATCCAAGTTTCCAACTTGCCTTGGAGGCTCAGGTCGTGCTTGAGGGCAACGGACATGGAAACAGACGACGTGGGGCAGTTGAAGCCGTTGCGGGCCAAGTCGGCCTCGACGCTGTAGACGTAGTTGGGGAAAAACTTCGGTGCCTCCCTCGATCTCATCTGAAAGGCTTGGAAATTTTTCCAGGCTGACAACTGCTTGCGGAAGACCTGCCACTGATTTGGGTGGCTCTGCCAGTAGGACAGGATATCACGATACTCGCCGGGTGCTTCGACAATGGTCTGGAGCAGCTCGAGCGGGTGCGACGGCCGGCCGCCGTTGTCCATGAGTTCGTTGTAAGCCTCGGTCTCGCGGTCAACGGCGTCCACGTCCCTGGATGAGGTGGCCATGGCAAGAGGTGGACATGGGATGAACAGAGGGTAGAAGGTGGCCCAGGTGCCATTGTTGGAGTGCAAATTCACAGAGCAGAGTTTGGTCAGTGAATCGAAGGACGGGGACCCGCTCGTGGCTGCTTTACACGAACAAAGGTTGATAATGGCTGATGTGGCGTTGGCCCGCAATTGAGGTATGATTCCTGGGACGTTCAGGAAGCTGCATAAAGAGCGTACGGCGAGGCGTCTCTAGAGCACGCAGTTCTAAGGACGTACGGAGTGTTAATATGGTCGTTTCTCTATCTAGATAGGCTTTATTGTTTAACCTAGCTAAGAGCTCTTTTTTATATACTTACTAGATCTTTATATAGCTATAAATATTATCGCTCGACGTCTCGCTTCCCACTCGTGTCGTTTCCAAACAGACAGACAGACACATGGAGTTTCCCTTTTACTTGGCCGGCTTTGTTCCCCAGCGGCCGAGTCCAAGCGTTGCTCTCTCATGCCGCAGCCATTGCACTCTGTCTAGTCTGAGGGCGGATTGCGGAGGCGGAAGCCTTCTTCCCAGGCTGCACTTAGAGAAGGCCAGACTGGCGGCGCGTCGGGCGACCGGTCGAGCTTCCCAGAGACCGTTCCGAAGATGCCGCCGCCGGCTGCGGGGCGGCGGGAATCCTTCCGGCCGAGCTGGTGGGGCCGTCAGCGGGGCCGGCGGCGGGCACTTCCGACTCGGTGGCCGTGCGTGGAACTTGGGCAGCGCGTATTCGGTGCTGGGGGCCACGACAACGTCCGCGCGAGCCGGGCGTGGCGGCGGCGGTGCCTGAGGCGCTCGTGGTTCTCGGCCATGGCTTGCACTTGGGCTGTTCGGCCTGCGGCCGCCCAGCTGGTGAACGGACAGCGCACCTAGGTTTTCCCGTGCTGCCTGCTGTGAAGAAAGAGAGAGGGTTTGCTGTGCTGCCTGGTGATGGAGGAGATGGTGGGGTGTTCATGCTCTCTCTCTGAAAGACGCGGCAAGGCGGCTTATTTTTGATTGGACGGATGGACCCGACGTCTCCTAGCCTTGACTGAAATAGCCGAGCTCGTCTGGTTGTTCCACAGCGAGCTAAGTGTGTATCACGACAAAGGGTGCGGCTCAGGCAACATGCTGGATATTCAGTGGCTGCCGTTCATTGTACGGCCCGGAATCGTGCCAACGTGCGTTGTTTGTCGACATGGCGCTGTGATGGCGGCTCCGTTCTTCGTCCGTCTTTTTTACAGTGAAGAAGAGACGCATATTAAGGCTTCCATTCAGTCATAGACTTTTGCTATTCATCCCATGGCCGCGTCGGGGACGGCACTTGGTGGTCAAAGTCGCTATACATCAGTCTTACCATTGTTCTTCAACTCCATGCCGTCCAGGCTGAAGTCATTGCGAGATCCCGGCACGTTTGCTTAATCGGCGTCTTCTCTCAAGCCCGATTCAAGCCGGAACCCTTTTCCCACTGCTAATTCCCGATAAAAGACTGGCCCTTGCACGACTTGCTCCACAGCTCAAACAGAAGAACCCACGCCGACAGGCCGAGAGAGATGGAGATGAGGTCCAGAGACCGCAGCTCGCGGGCCAGCGGCAGGAGGAAGAGGACGAGGCAGACGACGCCGCGGTTCGTCAGCCGGTAGCGCTTCCGGCACCGCAGGTTGGCGGGCTGGCGGTGCTCGTGCGTCAGCGAGATGACGCCCATGAAGAGGAGCGCCACGGCCAGGCCGTGGCAGTGGAAGAAGTGAGAGCCCGGGGCCAGGTGCGGCACCGAGGTCGCCCGGTAGGCCTTGGCCAGCTGCGTGGCGTTGGCGTTGGGCACGTCCGCGGCCAGCACGAGGGCCGTCAGCGCCGACGTGGGCTGGGAGCGAAGAGATGCCTATCCAGGCATGGTCCTCTCCTATTTCACGCGGACCCACGGATCGGACCAAGGAAGCCTAGCTGTCTAAAGGACTCTGTGGACTGGATGAAAAATAGGCACGGGTTTCGTACCAAGGCCATACGATCAGATGGCGAACTTTTCACCAAGACGGCCCGAGGCTGGCTGAGGCAACAAAGAATAACGACATAAAAGTCGGCCGCCAATATCCGGCCCAGAACGGAGGTGCCGAGAGATCGGGGTCATATAGAATGGAAAGTTTATCTTGACTAGGGCTATTATCTTTGATGAAAGTGCCTTCTTTGATAGACAACACATACAGCCTAAGCTGCTAGATACTGTCATCAAGCTTATACAGCCGGTCGAAGTCCCAGAAAGTCTACATATTAATCTTTAGACATTGGAAGAGATTGAGACGACGCCAAAAGCACTATCTTTGCCTATGCAGACAAACAATAAGACGAAGACCTGACCGAAAAGGAAGAATATGGTCAGGCAAGATACTTTGAAACAGCACTGTTGTCACCGCCGCCAACAGAACTCGAAGAGTCACTTGTGGCAGTATTTTCGATCTGTCGTCTAGTCTCTGTCCTTGAGGGGGTGAGAGATCCGCCACATCCGCCGGAGCCATCAAAAGGTATCTGATTGTATAGGCAGACCAGGAATATCGCTTTAACGAGGCTTCTATGGAGCCTTTACCGCAGGAAGTTGTCACGAGGCTCTTGTCTTTCTCTCTATCTCGGCTTAGGTCAAGTCATGAGCCAGACTAAGACAATCTGAACAAGCAACTCGGCTGCCTCTTTGCTGACTTATTGTTAAGGAAGAAAGAGGTTCCATGGGAGAGATCCGCTGGTCAACTTGAGTGCCAGCGTCGGGCGCTCTCTTGGAAGCCAGACGTGGAAGGCGGCAGAGGCCGGCACGGCACGATGTATGGCGACTCCAAGACATTGGACGATGACTGTCCTGGAAGTCAGACGTTGAGACAACAAGGAGCGCCATGGCTCGTTGAAGGTGCATCTCTCCCCGGAATGAGTAGGTATGTATAACTTGCCGAGCACAATCAGATGGCCATCCCGCACTTGACCACTCCGTCTGCCAGACCCTGCGTGCGTGGACCACAGTGTCCCTTTAATTTCCCATAACTTGGAATAGCCCTCGATACGGCCGATCTCAGTGAGCCTCAAGACCGAGCCAAGTAGCTGAGAAAGACTGCTCCGGAGCTTCTGCGCTGCTGCCCCCGAGGCATCAACATACTCTGAAGCGCGATGCCGCAAAAAGGCGGCAGTCTGCGCAAGCGCAAGACCTCAAGCGCTGGTAAAATCGGCGCCTAGCACCTTGTTCATCCAAGCGCCGACCTCGGCGGCATCCGCGTCGCCCAAGCCGGCCTGAGCAAGCCGCTCTGACCAGTCACGTACGCGGTGCAGGTCAAGACCAACCAGGGCGCTTGCGTCGACGCGGTGACTTCCCCCTTGGACGTCGAACTCGTCGATTAGGCCGTGCCGAGCTTCGAAGCGTACTTTGAGCTGTGCGACGGTCAGGGCCTTGATGCAGAGGAACGTCTTTTACAATCCTCCTTCATCCTCATTTAAACTTTTGAGGAGGGGTGACACGTACATCAAATGGCAGCCGTGGCCGCGGGCGAGGGTCCTCTGGGAATGGATGAGTGCAGAATGAGAAGCGCGGCGTCTGTCCGTAGGTCCATTTCGGGGACTGCAGCTCCTCGTAGCCCGAGCGGATCCTCTCAACATCCAAGGCGCCGCCGTCAAAGTCAGCCTGGAGGTGGACATGGCCGTGCACGCGGCGAAACTGCTCGACGACTGCGTCCTCGAAATCGGCACAGTCGAGGTCGAGGTTCCGGACGGGGCTCCGAACGCTGTCGACGCCGCGGGCCTTGATAAAGGGCTCCGCCGGCGAGCGCAGCAAGCCCGAGATGGCGTCGAGGTTGGGGCTGCGCAGGAGACAGGTGCCGTGGTGCAGGGAGCGCAGGCGAGTGAGCTTGTACGCCGAGCCCGAGACTTTAAAGGAGGCGCCGGCCGCGCCGTCGACGACAATGTCGTGGCGGGCGTTGACGCGCGTCGACGGTCGTCCCAAGGCGTGGAGGGCGCGCACGACCATCCGGGCGTACCTGTCGCGGTCAAAGGCGGCGGGCGGGCAGATGACGCCAAAGTTGACGTTGCCGGCGTCGTGGAAGACGGTGCCGCCCCCGGAGCGGCGACGGACCAGCTGGACGGGGCCGAGGGCGGCCGGTGCGTCGGCGCCCCGGGCGAGACGCGCAAGGCGCGACAGGCTGGCCTCGAGCCAGGGGTTCTGGTTGCGGCCGAAGACGACCGAGGGGGCATTGACGTAGAGCAGCAGCACCGTCGAGTCGGGCGGCGTGACCTGGAGGAGGCGGTGCTCGACGGAGAGGTTCAGCAGCGGGTCGGCGCTGCGGGACAGGTAGACCTGGATCTTGTTGGCGGGATGGGCCGCCGCCTCGGTGGAGAAGGCGCGAAGGCTACGGCCGAGGGGCCCAGAGAAGAAGCGAGCGGGCGTGAGAAGAGGCGTCGTCGTCGTGCGGAGCCATGACGGGCCATGGCGGGCCACGGGGCGCATCGGGAATGGGGCGACTGAGTGAGTTCGAGGGCAAGTCGAGGGCAAGTCGAGGGCAAGTCGAAGGCAAGTCGAGGGCAAGTCGAGGGGAGGTCGAGGGCATCTCGAGGGCATCTCGAGGGCATCTCGAGGGCATCTCGAGGTCATCTCGCCATGGGACTCGGATTGACGAGATGAGATTTCTCCCGAGCTTTCCCAGCCCCACCCGAGATGTGCTTCTCGTCCTCCCCCCAGGGCCCCCACACTCACTCCCCCTCCCCTCTCTCGAAATGACACACATGATAATTAATTAACGGATAATTGATTGACGCCCCGTCATGCAGAGTTCGTCTCATACAACAAACCATTCGCTAGACGCGGCACATGCAAACTCCAACCCCCGAGATGGAACTAACTCGTTCGTCACCAGCAAGCCGGCCCCGGCCAGATACGACCAGACATTATATAACTTACGACTCGTCAAGACATGCATGCTGACGTCGCGCGTCCCCTTGTTGTCAAAGAGCCCCCCATTGTATTCCTCAACCCACCGCCGCGTCGTGGCCGACGAGTCTGGGGAAAGCCGCCACAAGAACCGGGTCAAAAATCAACGCCATGCCAGGCAGTCAACGGTCTTTTTTTCGCTTTCATCCTGCGCCCGGCCAGCCATGGTATATATGCATGTGTCCGTGCGCTTGCGGTCAACAGATCAAGGAAGAATCAAATAAGTGGTCAAATATGAAGAAAGAAAAGTCATAACGTGTCATCACCGCCTCTGCACATCAGTGAGGCCTTGACCCGCCTTGCGCTGCGTGGCCCATCTCGTGGTTCTCCAGCATATTCAATACGTCGTTTGGTATGTAATCAAGCCATCCACTCATCAGCTCTTGCTGCTGCAGTCCGAGAGCTCCAATGTCAATGTCCTGGCTGTCAAAGGTGATGGCATCCATGTTGCCCATTCCGACGCCCCACGGCGCGGGGTATGGCGCGCCCTGGACGTAGTAGACGTTCTGCGGGACGCCGCTCGGGCCGCCGGTGTTGGTGTTGGCCACGCCGCGGCTGGCGGCATGGGCATCCGCCATTTTGCCCACGGGGGACGCGTTATATGGTTCGAGGCCCCCGCTGGAATGCTGGCTGGAAGGGGTGTAGCCCGGGGGGGCAAATAGTTTGGGCCCCTCGCCCTCGTCCGACATGCCGTCGTAGCTCGACGTCAACTGTCCGGAGGCGGGCCTGCCCGCAATGGCCGACAGCCTGCGAGGCTTGGCGAACCGAGGCGAGTGGCGCGCCGCCGACGTGTTGGCCTGGGGAATCGCGGGGGGGTACATGGCCCCGGCCTCTGCGGGGAGGCTCTGCCTGATTGGGTCGTAAACCATGTTGCCGGGCGGGGTGCTGGCCTGCGCGGCCACGCCCGCCATGGGCGGCTGCTGCTGCGCCGGCGGCATCATGTTGGCGTTCCAATTCTGGTACATGAGCGTGAGGTTGGAGTTTGGCGAGTTGGCCGTCCCAGCCAAGCTCCACGCGATGGGCGGTGGGCCCCCCATCTTGGGAGACGCATGGTTGTGCTCCCCGCCGATGCCTGCCCGCGATGGAGGCGCCTTTGTGCTCTCGTACTCCTCCGACGTGTACGTCTCGCAGTCCCAGATGCCCTTTGACTTTTGGTCGAGGGCGGTCAGGATATACTTGACGCCGCCCCAATACGTGTGTAGCTGCTGCAGGGAGTTGTAGCAGCGTTGGTAGTTTTGGTTGGCGGCCGAGGCAAGGAGCGAGTGCCGCGAGGGCTTCGAGGAGCCCGCAGCGGCGACCTTGGCGCGGTCCTTGTTACGGCTCGAAGGGGCCCCAGAGTGCGGCGGAGATCCCTCTCTCGATGGGCCGGCCGAGGCGTTGGCGCTCGACTCCATGAGGAAAGCACAGGCCGCGATGTAAATGGGCTGGCTGGTGAAGGGGTTCCCGATGAAGCTCTTGGGGTCGATGAGGTCCGCAAAGGCCAGGATGTCGCAGATGGTCTTGGCGCTGCTCATGCTGAGCTCCCGGCTGTCCGAGAGAAGCTGCAGCTCGCTCCGCAGCTCGCCGAACGGGGTCAAGAGCGTGGGCTGGTGGAGGACGATGAAGAGGGCGTGGAACCAAAAGTGCAGCAGGATAAACGTCGTGCCCTGCCCGACACTGAGGTAGGCCTTGAAGTTGCTGACGTTGAACTGCAGCCGGGCGTCCCAGTTCTTGTACAGCCTCGTCAGGTATTGCTCCATCTTGGAGAGCTTGCTCCACTTCTCCTGGGTCAGGTCCTGGATGCCATGGATGTTGTTGAGGACGTCCGACACTCGGCCGTAGAGGTGGATGATCTCGAGGAAGATGGGAAACAGGGCGGGCCAGCCCGTGGCCGGGTCGATGGAGGGCTCGGGGAAGGGCAGCTCAAAGTCGTCCTCGCGAAAGGTGACGGGGCGGCCGGTTCCCGAGGAGATGACGCGGTCGAGGATGAAGACGGCCCAGAAGGTATCGATGCGCTCCTGCTCAACCTCCCGCTGCTCGTCCGGGGTCAGCGTGTCCACCTCGTCGTGCTTCTTCTCCTCTGGACTCTCCGACTCGCCGTTGACGCGACTGCGGTGCCGCATGTACCAGGGGTCCTTTTCGCCCTGGTACTGGATACCGACTCGTTTCTGGAGGCCGAGGTCGACGGCCATGCGGATGGCTAGGCCCAGGTACATCCACAGGGCGCTGTCCTGGTTTGCGCCGAAGCCCTCGTAGGCCATGAGGAGACAGGCCTGAACGGCGCCGACCGAGGGGCAGGGGAAGGTGTCGACGGTGGCGTGCTTTGCTCTCAGGGCAAAGACTTGGCCGCGCTCGGTCTTGGGCATCTTGTCGTTGCCGCCCGTCAGGACGGGTGCGTCGGAGAAGCGGGCGGCGAGGGCGCAGATGGCGTCGACGAGGATGGGCTCGACGCGCTTTTCCATGACGAGGCGCAGGAACTTGGGCTGCTTCAAGAAGGGGTAGTTGCATCCGAGGTGGAGGAAGAAGGTCTTGACGAGGCCGATGATGAGGGGGTGGACCGGGGCGGGGCTGCTGGGGTCGTAGGCGGGCAAGTCCTCGACGGCGACGTCGCTGCCGGCGGCGCAACTGCTTCCCCGGACGCCGCTCGGGGTGGAGAGGGGAGAGGCGCCGGACTGCGAGCCACCGGTGGAGCGGCGCCTGTCGCGGACGGAGACGACCATTTGCTTGAAGCCGGGGACGATGGCGGTGGGGCCAAAATAGCGAAAGTAGGGGATGCGGTGGTTGTGATTTCGGCGGAGGGTGGGCGAGGTGGGGGTGTCGTCGGTGTTGGCCGAGGGGAGAGAGCGATGGCGCGAGGGCGGCGGCGAGGCCTTGGCGGCGTCGGCATCCTGTTCGGAGTCGAGGGGCCGAGGAGGGCCGGGCGGGGGCTGCGAGGCCGGGGCGCGGGCCGTCGAGGCGGGCGGACGAGGTTCGGGGGGGATGGGGTTCTTGTCCTGGTCATCGGCGCTGTCATCGATCAAGGGGCCATCCTCTTCATCGGCTTGCTTGTTGGGCTCGGGCGGGTCGGCGCCGTCTTTCCTGGCATCCTCGGGGTATCCCAGGCACTGGTGGCCGTTCTTGGTGCAGGTGGAGCAGATGGGCCTCTCGCCAGCACATCTCGTCTTTCGTCGGCGGCAGGTCAAGCATCTGGGGGCTCAGGTCAGCGAGGGACGTCGAGTGTCGAAGGGCGGACGAGAGTGGGACACGGCGGCGCAGTGCGGGGTGGAGCCGGAGGCGGGCGGAGGCGGAAAAAAGAGGAAAGAAAAAGACCAAACGTACGCTGCATTGATTCTGCGGCGCTTCGAGGGGGGCTGGCCTTGGTTGTTGACGAAGCGGATCTGGCGCAGGGGAGGAGGAGGAGGGGCGGAGTCGGGCTTGTTGAGCAGAGTGGCCATGGCTCTCGCAGAAGTTGCAGAGCATGGCGGTGGTGCCAAAGTGGAGGCGGGTCGAGTCCAAGGCAGCGGGGAAGCTGGCGGGATTGTCGTCGGGTCGGGGTGGGGGTATTGTTATAGGTATGATGGCTTGGGGAGCAAGCGAGGGCGCCACAGCGGCAGAGGCGACAGCATCTGTCGGTCGACTTGCAGGATTTTTAGCAGCCGTCGGAGACGTCGCCCGACATGGTTGACGAGGGCGAGAGACAGAGGGTGGAGATTAAAGCGAGCTGGCGGTTGGGGCTTCCAGAAGGGGAGGACGAGGGCGGCGGCCGTGGAGGAGAAGAGGGGAGAGAAGAAGAGGGAAGAAGCGAGGATTGGATGCCAGCTGCGGTGGTGGTGGTGGTGGTGGTGGTGGCAGCAGCGCGGCGGTGGTGGAGGAGATGAGTGATGATGGTGATGGGGGGGATGCATGGTGGCATGGTGGAGGGAAAAGAGGGAAAAATGGGTGTGGCGACCGGGATCCAGTGGGTGACGGGTCACAATCGGCAGTGACCTGCGCTGGAGGAGGAGGAGGGAGGCCGTGTGCCAGGGCCAGGGCCCCTGTATGTACTGTAGGTTTGTGAGGGGGGGGGGTTGAGTCAGCAGCTGTACGTACATAACTGTGCTTGTCTGCAATTACAGTACGGATAGCATATCCAGTATAAGTTATAGGTAGGTTAGTACTCGGGGATGGCGGATGGATGGCCAGCTACTGTACCTAGGCAGGTAACTTACGAGGAGGAAGCGTGTATGTACAGTATGTACAGTGGTCGACGAGAAACACGGCTGCTAAGAAAGCACTCGTGTCAAATAATAAATAGTCGTCGCCGGGCGAGTTCCGGTTCACCAGTGGCCCCCCCTCTCCCCTTCAGAGCAGCAAGGCCCAACGAGGTGCCAGTAGGTGCCTCATCTCGGCAGCACATGAGCAGCAGCAAGCACCCCCACTAACAGCCACTACCAACGGACCCCGCCGCCCGTCCCGCCGCCCGTCCCTCCGCCCGAGTCTCAAGTATAGAAGCTTCCGGGCGGCGCTTCTAGGGCCGCTTGGGCACACACACCTACCTGGGCTTGTTCATTAGCTAGCTAATTATTAGTAGCTGCCCAGAGACATTCAACAAGCCGCACGTGGCGCCGTAAAACATTCTTCACTATAAGCACGAGTCAGCGGGGGTCGTCGGGTATAGCACACAGCACTACGAATCATACCCGAGAACAATAAGCCACATGCATCCATCCATCTGGGTATGATACATACAGTACACACCTACAGTACCTACATACAGCACATACAGTACATGCAGCACAAGAGGCGACGGCCAACTCGCAACCACTCGGGTGCCATTCCTGGGCAAACAAGAGTGTGTTGGGACGGGCATGTACTGTGTGCAACTTCACTGACTGTAATTACACATCCTCCAAAGGCAAGTTGAAGTACATATCATTATACCCCCGCCTCGCCAGATGATTGTCGCTCGTCCTCGATTCCATATACTGTACATACTTTTTCCCCCCTGCGAAATCTCTCTCTGCATCGGCCAAGTATATACTCTGTACCACAAAAAATACAAATCCTGATGCCTACCTGGGCATGTACTGTACAACGGATCCTAGAAGCCATATCCCATCTTACAGTATTGAATTGTCTCTGCAGCGAGGCGTTCCTCTTGTCTCGGATCCCTCCTCCCAGGCACCCCCCGTCCCGTCCCGGCCCATCTCCACCCCCTTGCCCCGGCCCCGGCCCGCGGATGGAGCCCTCCATCACTCACGGCGGAACCTCCAGGCCCCGCCGGCCCGCGCCTTGACTTGCTCCACATCCATCATCATCATCAGCCTCCTCGTCTTTGGGGATGTACAGTGTGAATAATTACCTACAGTACGACTACCCTACTCCTGTTCTTGCCGGCATCCTTGGACATCCGCAACCCTCCCACGGACAACAGCAGAGACCCGTCACCCAACAGCTCACTCACCCCCTCCACCTCACATGGCCGGTGTGCACTGTACAGTACCATACAGTACCATACACACCCATCATGCATGCATAAAGTGCTTGCTACGTCCACTAATAAATATCCTGGCCTTCTAAACCGAAGCTTCACAGCTTCACAGTGCACGTGCGTGTCCTTGGAATCGACCTTTCCTCCCGGGACACGGTACCGACTTGACTCTCCAAATTCCTCATGGCTCTGTGCCTTTTCATTGTTCCTCCACCTCGGAGCAAGTCGCCGTGAATCATCCCGCACGTCCCTCCGCAAAAAAGGGCCTTTGTGTCGCACAACTTCACAAGGCATCATCCGTCCACCACCACCAACATCAACTCTTGTTTTCACCCACCACCACATCATCACTGCCTTGGTCATACCGTGCACCCTCCTCCAGAGCACGCTCCAAGTGGGTTCCTCTTGTGCTTTTTGCTGTTGGTCCGCGCCTTTGTTTCCGTTGGGGCTGGGCAATCAAACACTGTCAACGCAACCAAGACAAAGCTCCTCGGCTACGCTTGTGCACCTCCATGTTCCGATATCAGCCTCTTCTCATCTGGCTTTTCTTCCGACTCTTCTCCCATTTGTTGCAACGCCTTCCCGAATACACACTGTGAGTGTGTCCCAAGATACAGCGCCCGTCTCTGATTCACTTGTCGAACTGTCCTTTTCCCGCTCGACACACTTCGCTGCCTGTCCTCTCACCGAGCTCGACAAGATTGTTATGCGGTGCCCGTCACTTGTGCCAGTGCTCACCAAGCCGGGTGCACAAAGGTCTCCAGTTGCCGACCTTTCGTGGCACAACGCCACGCGCGCGAGGTGACACATACCCGCCCGGCTGTCGTCGTCGTCCCAGGAGCCTTGTTGTATGTATCTGTATGTACGAAGCAACACTCTCTCTAGCTATGTAGCCGTGCCCATCAGTCGTGGATAAAACGGACCTCTGCCACGCCACATCACCGCCCCCCCTTGTACGTACATGGCATATACTCATACTGTACTGTACATGGCCCGTCGTGTCGTGATCATCGAGCTCGTTGGGCCAAGAGGTCGTCTGCCAGCCCATGTTGCCTCGTCGCTGCCAGCGTGTCAGCGGCTGGGCACCAAGATGCGCCTGCGTCCGTGTCCCAGTCGAGGCCAAACGACAAGACAGGGGGCCGGGGGCTGGCCCGCCTGCTCTGTGGCCCGCCTGCTCTGTGGCCCGCGTGTGTGCGTGGACAGCGTGCACATGTCTGGATCCAGGCGTTGAATAATACTCATCCACCACCACCGCTCCAGACATGTGCATCTGTGGGAACGAGGAGGATTATACGATGTGTCTTACGACCCGAGCCGCCGCCAACATGTTCTCCCAGTCTGCAGTATACGTAGATGCGGTGGCCACTTAGAGCGTGTTGGACGCCCTCGCCCACTCGTATATCAGAGTGCCACAGCGTCGAGCCCGCAGCCAAGCCCCGAGGGTCCCTACATGTCATGTAGTCAAGATCCGCGGTGCCGTGCCGCCTCTGCGTGTTTGTACATGGACAGCCGACGTACATGCATGCCCAAGCACACACGCTCAAGCAGCCGGTACTGTCAGACTCGAGCGTCTCTTGACCGTTCCTCCATCCCCCAGCATCAGCCACCCCCGGACGGCCGCCCGCTCCCCTGCCATTGACGCCTACTGTACCTAAACACCGACCCAAGTCCGACTCTTCACTCTTCCAACTCGCCCCTCACCATCCTTGTCCTCCACCTCTCTTGGCCTTGACTGTCCCCAGTCCAAAGGCTACCCAATCGGCCACCCTCCCCCTCCCGTCCTTGTCGTCTCCCCGCAAAGTTCCACGTCCTCTCACTTCTCCGAGCTCAGCTTTTTGTGGGCCTCTCTCTTCCCTGTGTCCAGGTACAATGCAGATAAAGACGCATGTACGGGAAGCTCGCAGTACGTCTGGACATGCCTCCCTGCTTCGTTTGTTTCGGCAGCCTACCAAGGCCCCCGTTCGTACAAAAGGGCCTGTCCTTTTCCCCAGCAAATGACGACAGTTTCGATCCCCTGCTCTGTCTCTGAACGAGACTTTGAGCATGCAACTGTGAGCCGGGTGTGTTGTCCTTCGGTGAGTTCCCAGCGGGGGTTTGCCTTCCTCGACGATTCATAGTGGTCTGAATACAGGTCGAACTTGAGCTGGTTGCGATAAACATGTAAAATACGCCGTGCATGTTCGTATGTGTACGGACATCTCTACACGCATGTCCAGGTGCGTACGTGTCGGTGCTCCAGTCTGAGCTCCAACCCGCAAATCCCATCCGCAGTGCTCTATCCCAGACCGCAACGTCCATGTTCCGGTCAAGTGGCTTGCCTCATGTTTGAAAATCCCAGCCGGCTTACATGCACCATCCAGGAACTCATCTCACCATCAATCTGTCAGACGCGCGGGTAGGATCGCGATGGCGATTGCGTCCCTTTCTTGCAAAACATGACTGTCACTTCGGGAACCTGAATCCGTGCGATGCGTTCGTCCGCAAATACATACATACAGCGTGCATGCATCACACACATCAAAACCCGTCTTGTCTTTCTGTCAGTTTACATTGCAGACGCAGCCGGCGTCCTCAGGTAAAGATGGCCGTCTTGGATGGAGACGCTCGGACAATGTCATCTCTTGCTGCCCCCTTACCACGGTATATATCCATGTTGACGACACACCCCGGCATGCCGAGGATCCGCTCTCTGTGGCATTCTTGCATGGCAACGACCCTCGGAGGCTTTTTCGTGGCACCGCCATGATGACGCCTTGGTTCGTGCCAAGCCTTCAAGTCCCTCTCTCCTGTCTCCCCATGTCTCTCCCCCTTTTCACCCCCGACATCCTCGCCGTCTTGCGCTTCTGCCCCATCTGCCAAGACAATATTCCGGTCCCCAGCCGACCCCCCTTGGGGCATGAACTCGCCGCGCCCGATGGACCGACCGGGCCTTGTCCATGTCACTTCGACTTCAGTGGCCGCCTCCGCAGAACGCCCAGCCGTTCG